GCACACGTTTCCTCGCGGTAGTTAAGGCGTTACCGCGCGAGTTTAACAGCTATGTAACACCTAGTATGTTTACTAGTGATGTTCCCGAACCTTACGAAACGCTTAAGCTATCGATTTTAAAACGAGGAGACCTAACTGATCGACAACGGTTAGACCAACTCCTTAACAATATCGAATTGCAACATGGTTCTGCGACGTACATGTTGCTTAGAATGAGAGAAGTCATCGGCCAATGAACTTTCGAAGATGGCCTATTTAAACAACTTTTCTTGTCTAAACTCCCTCAACAGGTGCAGGCAGTGCTTGTTTCATTTCAAAACAATGCCATAGATGAACTAGCTGCATCTGCCGATCGAATCTTGGAAATCATCAAATTTTCTAAGGCCGAGGTTTTTTCCATCAAAGAAAAACCCCAATCGACCTCGACTGACATGGCCGAACTATGTCACATGCTTTCAAGAGTTCGTAATGACCGTAATCGGTCAAAATCCTCACGTAGGAGCTTTTCACGTAAAAGATCTGTCTCTCGACCACGAAAGACAGACAACCCCGACTGGTGCTGGTATCACAACCAGTACGGTAAATCCTCTAGAAATTGCAGAAAGCCCTGCAATTATACGACCCCAAAATGGAGTGGCACGAAAAACAGTTCGGGAAACTTCCCAGCCGGCACGCGTTAACGGCAACCGTAGCCGGCGAACACAGCCGTCTGTTACACGTCACAGATGTGACTACGAAAGTTCGCTACCTCGTCGACACTGGCGCAGAAGATAGTGTTCTTCCAGCAAATCCCGACGACAGACTTCGCGAGTCTGTTTTAAGTTTACAGGCGGCAAACGGAAAGCCGATCGCTACTTACGGTAAAAGGTACGTTTACCTTAAAGTGGGTTTACGCAAACCCATACACTGGATTTTCGTGGTTGCAGATGTCTCTATGCCAATCATTGGTATAGATCTGTTACAACACCACAATCTACTAATCGACACACGCTCACGAAAGTTAATAGACGGAAACACTAAGTTATCTGTTTGCGTAACTCCTTGTTCTGGTTGCAGGTTATCCCCAGTCACGATTAAGCACACTATAGACCCCTTGTACCAATCAGTACTCGACAAATACCCCGGGATATACCAATCGCAATCGAAATTGCCTTGTGTAACCAGCAATGTTACACATCACATCTCGACTACAGGACCACCTGTATTTTCGAAAGCCTGTCGACTCGCTCCCGAGAAGCTTAGGTTAGCCAAAAACGAATTCGACCATATGATAGACTTAGGGATAATTCGACCATCTATTAGTCCATGGTCATCCCCATTGCACATGATCCCTAAAAAGGACAGCAATGATTGGCGGCCAACTGGTGATTATCGGCGTCTGAATGCTAGAACCATTCTCGATCGTTACCCGCTGCCTCATATTCACGATTTGACAGCTACCTTGAAAGGTACAACTGTCTTTTCGAAAATCGACTTGGTTAAAGCTTATAACCAAATCCCGATGGCACCTGACGACGTTCCTAAAACCGCCATCATCACTCCTTTCGGTCTTTACGAATTCTTGCGAATGCCTTTTGGTTTAAGAAACGCGGCTCAAACATTCCAAAGGTTTATAGACGACGTCTTCCGAGTTCTCAACTTCGTACATGCGTATGTTGATGACTGTCTAATAGCAAGTCCGGACAGAGAATCGCATCTCAAGCATCTGGACATTGTTTTCGATCGACTCCAAAGGCACGGCACTACTGTCAACATACAGAAATGCCAAATCGGAACAAACTCCTTAGACTTCCTAAGACACCATTGATGCTCAAGGCATCCGACCCCTTAGGAGCAAAGTGGCGGCCATTCTGGATTACCCAGAACCGACCACGATCAAGCACTTACGAACTTTCAACGGACTTGTAAGTTTCTATAGACGGTTCATACCCAAATGCGCATCCCTTATCAAACCGTTAACCGATCAGCTTCGTGGAAATGCGAAATCAGCTAGTTTACACGACATAGCCCGTAAAGCATTCACCACAGTTAAGGAACACATCGCTAAAGCAACCTTACTTGCTCATCAGGACACTCAAGCGCCCATTAGAATCGCAGTAGACGCATCCGACTCAGCAATCGGAGGAGTCTTACAACAATGGGTTAACAACTCATGGCAACTCCTAGGATTTTTCTCGAGACGGTTGCTAGACGCGGAATATAGGTACAACACGTTCGGTAGGGAACTCCTAGCTATGTATTGTGCCGTACGGCATTTCCAACATTCCATCGAAGGAAGAGAATTCACGCTTTTTACCGATCACAAACCTCTTACCTTCTCTTTAACTTCATCTTCAGACAAGTAATCACTGCGAGAGTCTCGACAACTCGTCTACATTTCGCAGTTTACTTCAGACATACAACACATTTCTGGAGCTAACAATGTAGTCGCAGACGCCTTGTCTCGAATAAGTTCCTTGAACAGTTTCCAAGGAATCGACCTTCTTAAACTCGCTCAGTTTCAAAAAGAAGACATTGATCTTCAGCATGAGTTAACCTCGACAACTCTTAAACTAATTATTAAGCAGATGGGAACAGGTAAGGAAGCCTTACTGTGTGACACATCTACAGGTAGGGATCGTCCAATTGTACCAAAATATTATCTACGCAACGTCTTCAATACGTTGCACAATCTTTCTCATCCAGGTGCTCGTGCAACAGTCAAACTCATAGCCGAACGGTTTTGCTGGCCTGGTATGAATAAAGACGTGAGGGAGTGGGCACGCTCCTGTGTAAGCTGTCAGAAATCTAAGGTCATAAGACACAACAAATGTCCCTTAGGATCTTGCAAAACCCCTGACGCTCGTTTCGACCACGTCCATCTAGATTTGGTAGGACCCTTACCCGATTCAAACGGATACTCATATCTCATAACATGCGTAGACCGTTTTACTCGATGGTTAGAAGCAGTACCGATTAAGGACATTACTGCTAAAACCGTGGCCCGCGCTTTCGTCGAACGATGGGTAGCAAATTTCGGCTGCCCTTCCACAATCACTACAGACCGTGGACGCCAGTTCGAATCTGGACTTTTCCGTTGTCTAACCTCACTTTTAGGAATCACGCGCTTCCGAACGACCTCCTACCACCCACAAGCAAACGGGTTGGTAGAACGTTTTCATCGACAACTAAAAGCTTCATTATCAGCTTCAAATATATCTTTCCTACCTCTCCTCATCTGACTTCTGGTTTCTATTCGACTGGGAAAGAACGATTATAGAAGATACTACTAGTTGCTAGTTGCCAAACTAGAATATCCGTGGTATCCTCACTACCCAAATGACAATGTCTGCCAAGTAGGTTAATAAAAGGGCTTAACCAAAATTAACCATAATCGAAATTCGGTGTTGGATAGTTGCTATACTTTGTGGATTGATTCATTTATGATTTGAACTGCCTGTTTCTGATGTCATCACTCTCTCATTTGTACCCTATCCAGCAGTGCATTTTGAATCTTAGAGTTTAAAGTGTAGGATTCGCTATAATTGTACATTGTTTGTAATTTTTGGGGACCGTTCGCGGGACAGACTGTTTCGCAGCACGTAAGATCGTGTGCTATAAGAAATCCAAGCGAACGTCCTCATCAAATTGACTGTGGACTTCTCAATTAATCTTCTGTAAGTTGTCCCGTAATGCGTACTCATGAGACAGTTTAAAATGTCCACATCCGTTGTTAGTAGGATGTTTTAGCTCAGTTTTGCTGATAAAATTGAAAGCTATGACGGCGTTATCACTTTTCACGGAGGACAAGGTTTGAGAGGTTGCCAACTAAGAATCCCTGATCTGTAAATATACAGTCTAAGCGTTGCGGTGTCTGGCTGTTTCTCCATTGAATTGATAAATTCGTACCTTAGAATGTATCTAAATCTTCAGTGATGTTGAAGAATCGAGCTTCTGTAAAGTTGTCACCTTCAATGTACATGTGTTCAAAGAAGTTGATTATAAGAAGATTGAAGTCTTCTAGAATCAGGAAATGAGTGTATCTGAGTATAACAAAGCTGAATAACCCCTCTAGCATACGACTGTTGTAGTCGGTGTCAGTATTCGGCCTTTGAAAATCGACTTTAGCTACATATCTCTAGGTGTTACAGAACCTCGTTGATCAAAATACAGATTCGTCAAGATGATATACTCTTAGGTGTACACTTGATGTGCTACCAAGCAAGATCGTAAGTACAGGCCTGCTGCGCCACTCTTTCAACTTCCTTTGTTATTGCGGAACAAAGACATACCGGGTATTCACAGCTCCTGGTCTGTAGTCTCCAACATTCCTATCAGATGAGTATTATCAGTGCTACTTAGTTCATGAAACTCATCTTTTCTGTTTGAGAAAAAAAAAGAGCATTCGTTAATGCTATTGATTTGAAACGCATGAGTTTCCTCGTCCTGCTCATCCGAATGAGCCTTATGTGATTGGGTGGACATTCTACCTACATACAGTCTTCTGATTTAATCGTCCCTGGCTCTTCTAGGTTCCTTAATTTGTTCCTGACAGTTCAATCTATGTATGCTTCGTGAAACCAACCTTTGCATTTTTCACATTTACAGGTCCTTTGCATGTGTTACTAATGACCATGGTGAAATATAGGTTGCTAATTATATCCTTGCAAAAGTTAGTGGCCGTTATAAAGAAACAATGTACTCAAAACGGATTAAAACGGGTGATGAAACAAGTTAATAAAACTAGTCTTGATGTCAGGAATCCAAAAAACGGAATGGTAAGCAGAGGCGAAATTATACTTATCAAATAACTTGGATAAAACTGAAGAAGAAAAGTGACTTGCCGAACTTTAAACACAGGAAAGATTCTTGGATAACAAATAGTACCTTTGTTGCTCAAAGACTGATGAAAAATAACGTGCATTCTGTTTTTCCATGTATCATATTTTTTAATCGTAAATGCTGTTCAAGTACATATTAGTTTCTATTAAATCAATAAAAGTCATTGCGCTTTTTTCTTTCGAAGAATGATTTCTCAGACTATCTTGTTTAAAATCACTATATACGGTAATAGTATTATCGTTATTGGCTACGCTGTCCACTATTTTAAATTATGCACATGCTTTATAAAGTGAACGATGAAGATTGTTGAAGTTATCAATGAAATAAACAAAGACCACGTTGTGTCAGATGTTGAGAAAAAGCTTTCGCTAAGATCAGTATTTATGCAAGTTTTAGCAGGAGATTGGTAATATTTCTAAATTTTTTTATTTAACGTAATTTTATAAATACACAAATAAAGTATTACTTTATGGGAAGATTTATATTCATTTGTGACTTCAAACGCAGATTTCGTACGATCGGTAAAAGATGATGCTGAGGTAAACTGTGGGTTTTATATTGTTAACATATGGTCTCTTATAGTTCAGATACTTTGTCAACCGATCTATGAGGAATCTTCAATTGTTACTTGGTAAAAAATCAGGAGATATATCACCTAGCTCAACAATACGTTTAAGGAATATTTTTACCGAACTTTCCGAAATATTTTCTCACGTATTGTCAACAGACTCGAACACGGTTTACGATACTGAATCTGTTACTATTCCACTTTTATCCTCATGGCATCGCGGTGTCAGTAATTTTCAAAGCATTTTATCATTTGAAGACGGGAAATCAGTAATTGTGCGCTTCCTTTGATTCACATAGTAGATTTCTGTCGATAATGGTAAAATAAAGAGTATTCAAAGTTCATTATTTAGTTTGTTAGAACAGGAAGATCATTCATTGGTAAATTACTGAAATGAATCGTATATTATCTTCTTGCAGAAAAATATTCTACGAAAAATTCCATTCGGTAACTCAAAATACAGAGCACTTAATGAATACATAAAGAATTTGTCAAGTAATGCATCCGAAATATCTTCAAAAGGAGTTGAGAATATGCGCCCGAACAATGGTTTTGATGCAATCGCCTACTTTTCAGTTTGCAGAGAAATAGGAGTTTATGAGTTTATGTACTTTATCAGAAAAAATATCGAGAGCAGAAATACATCACCATATGATTTAGAACCTACTTTAAGACCAAGGGTAAATGGACAATTTTTTTCCTTAGAATATTTTAGGGCAAATATAACATAAAGTTTAGATGCAAGTTAATTTCGAGCAAAGAAGTTCGTCACACTTTACGGACTTGAGTCGATCACTTGTGCCATAACTATTAGTTTTAGGACAACAAGTTACTTAAAAAACCTCTTCATCATTCACATTTCGGAGGGTTCTCTAACCATAAAGATTAGTCGGAGTACAAGTAGAAAGGGGATCAACTGCCACAAAAATCACGAAAGCAGTATTCCTTTTCTGTTCTTCTTATCATCAGTATTGTGAATAAAAAACTACAAGTATGCTGTCAGCTATTCTTCTCAGTGTTTAATTGACTGCTGAAAGGTAGTAAGTGTCAATAAGGCGGAACAAAGCATCGTTTTGTTTAGTAGAATATCTTTAGCTGAAGTCAAGGCAATCGTATTAGGGAGTGAGGTTTACACCCTTTAAATTATTATTTCAGAAAAACCGCTACTAGGCTTCCCCAGATACCTGTTATTTACTTACTATTTTAAGTAAATATCAGAACCGTAACCCAAAACTGATTTCTTAGAATTCATGGAATTATGATTCATACCAATTGTATCTCTACTGGCATCTTTGTGTTGTCCAGATTATCACCGCAAAATATCTAAGATAAAAGATAAAGCATATTCTTAGGTTCATTTACATTATTACCTGTCACTTTTCCGAATCTGGTATGTGGAATCGGTAGGCATAATGATGTGAAAGATGCTTTCATTTGTGTCTTATAGATACACGACAAATCATCTGAGGCAAAGCTTTATTTAAAACCTCAAGCCTTTTAAATGAGTTATTGGAAGTGCTATACGACCTATTTACTGATCACTGTAATAACGACTTATTTCGTGACCAGATCAATGGCGGTTTTGAGTTGGAGTGCATGACTGTAGTTTGCTTCATAAGTCAGTATTAAGTCTATTACTATTATTAATCATAAAGTATGATAGGTGTTTCATTCATAGTTTCGGTCAAGTCTAAAACGCTTGGGATATTTACGCATATATACCTTTTTATTCTCATATTAATGTCGGAAACTCAAATAAAGGATTGAGGAATGGGAATATCCAGGGAAACAATGATACGTTAAACAAAGGCTTGAAAACCTTTTTCTCGCACTCTTATTTTTTGAGCGAACAATTTGCCGTTACCTGGTAGTATCCCTCTAGAGTCTAGTGATTCCTTCCTTACTTAATGGCTTACAACTTGGTTGGAAATTCGATCTTTATTCAATTGCACAAAATGCTAAACGGCTCTTTTTTTAGTGGCTTTTGCGTGACAGTCATTAAGAAAAGCTCATAAAACTTTTGAGACGAGCCAAATAATAGCTTCAATGGATAGAAAATACATGGAGGCTTTTTATAACTTCAAAACGGTTGAAAAACAGTCTTGTTAAAGTCTAATGCAATCGTCGTCTACTAACATAACGTTAGGTTCAAATAAAACAAGTATAACGAAATTCGCAATTACTATCACTGAGATGTTTCTTAAATTTGCGAAAAAAACAAAGTAATCTTATAGTTGGAAGATATGACATTTTGTCACTAGAATCACCAAAAATTCGGGTTTTAAAAACTCTATTTAGTATAATGAACAGTTTACAATAATATTGAGGAAAGGGTCTCAACGAATAAACATAGAGATCTCAAGCATGAAAGGGCATATAAACCTTATTTCAGATAACGTTAACGTGTTCAAGTTTATGTAAACTTTTACCTAAGCTAAAGGAAATAATTAGTCACGATTTCCACCTCCATTTTCTGTGGACCACCTGATAAAAGTAGCCTCTAGCTTTCAAGAGGTTATTCTTCAATCGAGAGATTTTCCAGGTGAACATCAGAATATTGTTTACCTTTAAAAAGTAAAAATATAAAGATTAACAACTTAAGACTGGATACGAAGGTTTAATTTTAAGTCGTGTGAAAAAATTATATTCATGAAACATGTATTGTACGACAAATTTGTCGTTAACCTGTATAAAATCTGTCCTTATAATATTTACTGTTCTCTGCAGAATGATGAACCACATTATATATTCAGTACATTTGGTATACTGGTCGCTGCCGGAACCGAACAGGAGCATTTGAGTCTCACACAATGGTTTTCAGAAGCAGTTTTATACGAGGCTTTAATAAAAAATCTCACATTTCGATATCTTCCAGCTTGGAAATCCTTTTTCACGTAAGTCAAAAGAACAATGAAATCTGCAGATGATAAGAAGTGTCATACTTTAGTCCACTTAACTTACTAAAACTGGTAAGAATTCTCATGTTTCGACTCTTACGTAGCATAAATTGTGACTCATCGAGTTAACCAGAAAAATATACATCAATTGCCTAGATCCAATTTATTCGTTCACAAATAGCACTTTAAAATATAAGCCCACTTTTGGTTTAATGTTCTTTATGTAGATTGAGTGTCGTGATTACAATATTTTATGAAGACCTTGGATTACAAGGCTATCTTGGTTCTTCGTTTATTAGCCGGAATTTACAAAAATAAAGGTTTCATTGGCAGACTAGATTCAATTATAAGTATATGCTTGATGTTATACCGGATTTTTTACTAGATAAAGTTGTCAAACTGTATTTACCTACTCGGACTAAATATCAAACAAACTAAGACCTGAATTATGTATGTTCTTTCCCTATACAATGACCTTACTGTGGCTTATTTTGTTTTCGTTTGTTCCCAACATACATAAGGATCTACTTAAATGCTTTTTTCATGTCGAATTTTGTTCTGATGGATCGGGTTGTCACATCCCATCATTTAAAGATCTTCAACCTTGCAGAGTCTCAAATATGTGGTAAGATCATATGACATACCTAATATCCCAGTATCCTAATGCCTACTCCCAGACTGGTCAGAATAGTAAAGTAGTGATATTCACTTGATATATGATGATTTTATCTAATGCTAACACGCAGTTAATATTTCATTGCACTTGATAATATATCATATACATTTCAAATTTCAGTTGGCGTCAAGTTTTGAGAAGAAGGAGATTCAAGCGGATAAGTAATATTTTATCAAATAATTGTCTACTTGCAAGTCCTGTATATGTTCGATTATTTCAGGTAGTTCAAAAGTAAGTATATAGACAAAAAGTGTTTCTACTGGATGTTTAAAGTCTTTATAAAACGTTATTAAACATCGGTTTAGAATAATGTTAAGTGTAGTAGTTTTTCATTTTACACCACATGATCAGTACGACATTCCTTTTAAATAAGTGAAACTCGACATTTTTATAATTTTGCCTGAATTATATATTCGAATGTATCTTAATTCCTATTTTATTTGATAGTCCTTTTTTCTATCGATACACTTCTTTTATGGGGCATTTATTCGTGCTTAGTCATGCAGATGGATTTTTACACCAAAAGTAATCTTCAGATTTTATATAAAATAAAAGGTTGAACAAAGTTTGTCTCAAATCATGTTTAAAGAGCAACAGGAATGTCTAAGTATGGTTATCAGAACGTTTAAACTCATCGAGAAAATTTTGTTTTGTTACCATTAAGTAAAAATAAGTTTTAAAAGTTTGGTTCTTCTTTCATAGATTGTATATAATACTTAAATATACCCATAACCCTAGTCACAAATCCCTAATTCTGGCACTAAATCCTAACTAGGAGCAATTCGATAACCTCTAAACTATTATTTTGAACCTTGTTAGCGTTCGAGAATCCGTAGCTTCTACAAACATATGGAGAAACTCCATATGTCATTTTTCTGTTTCACATACAGGAAAACGTGTAAAAGACTGTAATAGATCCGTTAATTATGTGAAATTTCTACTTGATCATTGTGTTTTCTCATAAACCATTAATTCACTATAAGTGTTTTGTGACTGGCTGAAATTAGTCACGGTTATTTTATGAAGCGTTGAAGCACATTCTTCTCTTACTGCTTAAAAAAGGAACATAGAACCCAACCTTATTATTCAAGTTAAAAATAGTCCTAAGCGGTGATACGGGGTATCTTAATGACATTTAAAAAACCTTAATAACTATCGGTGGATATTTGGTGAATAACTTCACAAAACCCAATTAGTAAGTATCGATAATTAAAATAGCAAGGTAGGTGTGTACAAGAAAACTGTGGTTTTGTGACAGTAATCACTTTATAGAAAAGAGAAATTAGGAATAATGTCATAGGACTCTTTGATTAAATGTTCAGTTTGCTGACTCCCTCTATGGGCCAGTAGATATATCTCGGACATTCGCAATTTGTATGAACTTATAGTTATATGGAATACAGCATTATATAGATCGTATGGTTTGTGACTCAGTTGTTCGACCGTTTCATGCAAACAAACTGAAAATGTACAATCATTAAAACGTCAAAGATAAATCTAGTAGTATGCAACTGGTCTATTACAAATTGATAGGGATAGTTCAAGAGCTTTAGTCTAAAAGATCACTTTTGCTGTTACTCATAGTGCCTAAATAAGCCTTACTCAACACTACTAATGTTCATTACCATGGTATATTTTAAGTCTGATTAATTTCAAACTGAATGTTGAATGAAGTGGTCTGAAATTTGCTTGTCAAATAAATCTATTACCATGGATAAAATTAGGGAAGCATCACTCAGAAAATATCATGAGATTCACTTACAGTAGCTAGCAATTTGAAATTCAAACAGTTTAAAACTTAAGCTGAGATGAATAATGGCTAGCAGTGGAGTTCAGGAAGCACGTTTCATCCTATTTGGGACTATTCATATGAATGCACCTGCATTCCAGAGTTGATGTACACTCTGGGACATGAACCCACCACCTTTTGCTCCAGTTGCCATCGCCTTATCTAACTAGTTACTGAGTCCGGACAACCTCTGGCTTGTGCAATAGGATGAATTTTAATTTCAATTCATGCATATTGGTTGTTCGGATTTTCTCACAATTGTTTTAGAATTGCATTTGATCAATCCCTTCAGGCATATGTACATCCGCATCCTATGCTGAAGATTCAAACAACCTATATATATATCCATGATAAGATTTTATAACCGTTTGAAATTTCAGTAAATTTCAGTGTGTTATTAGTAAATGAATCTAGTAAAGTAGGTCATTAAGTTATAACTTAATTATTGATTAGTAACACATAATCAAATTTCTGAGTTCGATTCATCAAGACGCTTGAAATAGAGCATTTAAAACTATTAATGAAATAAGATTAGATAAATTCACTTGGTATTATTTGGTTGAATCTTCCCGTTGATGTTTAGGACTGGAATTGATCAGTCTCTTATTGGCCATGTGTGCATACTGCGCGCATTGCCTCAATATAGCCTTAATTCACAAACATTATAAGCAAAGAAGGATAGTGGCTAGCAATGGAATCCAGGATGTGCGTTTCGTCCAATTTGGGACTCGTTAGCTGGGACTCGAACCCAGTATCAATCGCTTCAAAAGCCATTGCATAATCCACTTACCTACTGAGTCCTGATGGCCACTTGCTTGTTCAATGGGGGTGAAATTTAAATTCGCCTGGTATTGTTTGGTTGAATGAGTGAACATCAATTCTGAGATGCAAGTACATCCAACTAACAAGTCTCAAATAGGACGAAACGCATGTCAAACTGGATTCTACTGCTAGCCACTATCAAAGATTAGATAGCTATTTGATGTGTTCTGTACTCAGTATTTCTTTTAAATGAATCTTAATTTTTAATGGGAATAATTTATATACTAAGAAAATTCTAACAAATTTCATTTATTTATCATCGTAATCTTTTCAATAATGAAAAGTTCACACTTAATCAATAAATCAAGTATTATTTTTGTAACTAAAACTATATTTTCAATTCACTTGGTGTTGTTTACTTGTATCTTCCAATTGTTAGTTAGGACTGCAATTGATCGATCTCTCGTTGGCATATGTGCATCCTGTGTAGACTGCCTCGATATTGATTTAAGTCACAAATAGGACAAAATGTACGTCCTGGTCTTACTGCTAGCCACTATCCATTTTTTCTTACAAAACTTGTGACTTCAGGCAATATCGAAGCAGTTCACACAGGATGGACATATGCCAACAAGAGATTGATCAATTGTAATCTTAAATCACAATGGAAAGATACAAGTAAACAAAACCAAGTGAATTTAACCTTTGCTCCATTGCACAAGCAGGTGGTTATCAGGACTAAGTAGCTGAGTGGATAACGCGATGGTGTTTGAAGCGAACGGTACTGGATTCGGGTTTCAGACTAAACATCAACTCTGAGATGCAGTTACATCCAGCTGACGAGTCCCAAATAGAACAAAATTAGCGTCCTGGATTCCACTGCTAGCAACTGCCCATCTTTGCTTGTAAAATTATATTTTCGTTTCTTAATTTGTTTTAATCCTGTGTAGATATTAATAATTAAATTCTGTTTGGTAACAATGTTCCAATATTCAATAGATTAACTCATATATTTTCTATTCATGATTTTGAATTGATTGATTGTATTCGTTTAGTTTTTGTGTCTAGCACTAAAATGTTATATACTCTTTTGATTTTTATATTTTTAAAGTCTGTATATGATACTAGTTATTTCCCTTCTTTTTCATTGTTTGTAGACTTTTTGATTCTTTGGATACTCTGAAATTCTTTCCAAATATCATGTGGTAAGTTATGTGAATGATTGTTTCATCTTAATAATAAAATATACTTTTAATTTCACTTAGTATTGTTTGTTTGAATCTTCCCATCGATGTGTTAGGACTGCAACTGGTCAGTCTCTAATTGGCATATGTGCATACTGTGCGTATTGCCTCGATATAGCCTTGATTCATGACTCAGTGGCCGAGTGGATAACGCTATGGCGTTTGAAGCGAGGGTACTGGGTTCGAGTCCCAGAGTGAACATCAACCCTGAGATGCAGGTACATCCAGGTGACGAGTCCCAAATAGGACGAAACGCGCGTCCTGGATATCACTGCTAGCCACTATCCATCTTTGCTTAAAATATACTTTTATTCTAAATATGATATAAAGAGTCGATCATAGTCATTAGTGATTATCATTCGTTATGTGAGGAGTGTATTACCGCCCTAGGTCACCTAGCCGAGGCAGACGATTTTTCAAATGGATTTACTAATTTTTGACCTAACCAAAGTGAACTCATAAGTTATTAGTCTATTTAGAAACATGAATCTGATGTGGATCACTGGTATTAAATCTCAGTTTTCTAACTCCTGTAAATTGACCCCCAGTATCCACCTACCAAAATTTAGTCCAACTAGTCCAATTCTCTGCTCTCACTTTTGTGTAGACACTAATGTCTCATCAAATCATAGAGTGAGATTTGTTGGTGAGACAATAATTGATGGACGACATTTAAGCGATCTTGAGAATATTCACCTACTTGCTAGGATTCAAAGACAGTTCTAAATTACTGTGAAGAATTAGGATTAAGTTTTAGAATTAGAAGTTAAGGTTAGGAATTAGAGTTAAGGTTTTCATCTCTAACTGACAACAGCTATAATGTCAAGACACTATTTAACCATATGGAAAAATGAATTTCGCACCGAAATTCAAGAGGTATTATCCTTAATTTCATTGCTTTATCCATAAATTATAGTCTCCTCGACTTGTTGTATATAATAGATGACTGTTGTTTATTTATCTGCGTATATAATTCTAAAACCTCCTTCCTACTATTCAAACAAATATTTTCGTCGTAGCTACATAAGAATGCCCTGGTACGGCCGAGAGTGGGGAGAGTCCGCTCTCCCTCTCCAAATGCTCTCACATGACCACGCGTAGATAGCCTCTTTCAGGGATGTCCTACTCGCTGACTTCTCGCACCACGGGTGTTGTTTACGAAATTGAGAGGACGAAAAGCGGATGTTCGGCGGTTTAACCGGGTTGGTGGACACGGAAAGTCCACCTAGGGGAGTTCGAAAACCCTGATTCCAAACCAATGGTGCACATGGGCTCCAGTATCCTGAGAGAACAAATGGCGTATGAATCAATCGTTGGTCACCGGGCACCATGGAACTGAATCTCCTCACGATAATTCACTGCCTTATAGATCAGATCTTTAGGTCAAAGTCTCCGGATGTGGCCCCCTAAGAAAATCACCTGCTCCGTTTTCTGAACCTGAGCAGTATCACAGCCCTCACACAAATCTCATTTGATTTGTGTGGCGCATATTTATCTGGTGCCCCTTTGTACCAATATTTATGTGTTTAAATAAATAAATAAATAAAATAAAGATTTCTCATTTATGTTTTAGTATTTATGTTCTTCTTACTAAAACTTTTTATTTTGTTCAGTCCATTGAATATGGTGCAATTTTGTGCTCAGATTAACCGAAATGTACGTTACAATACTATTTTAATGTCACATTTAACAAATTGTATATGTATTGCATTAAAATTTGCAAGATATGCCCTCGCTAAACTAATACGTTATAAGGAAGATGAATTAAACTGGAATTCTAAGTAAGTTGACCATTATATACTATTAATTTCACTACCTTGTCCGTTTGAATTAAATAAGACTCACTGATGTTGTTATGATGAAAGGATTATGACATATTGCTTTGGAGATATGTAATCGACTGCCTGTTGTAAATAGTGTTACGAAGTGACAATTGTTTACCAAAAACCAAATTATCCATTCAAATTTGATATGGCTGAGCTCTACTAGTCACGGTTTGTGACTCGAACCCGAGTATGAGAAAAGTATCCACCAGTGGCAATGAAAGATAGCCGAGCAACATCGTGGATTGATTGGAGTTGGAGTTATACACCAATATGTTCCGAATTAATGGTCTAGAGGTTTGCGCGTGAAACCGAAAGGTCTGGGTTTGATACCCTGTGATTTTGTCATGAATGCACACTACTGAGGAGTTTCATGGCCACGCATATGTAGCATCTATCAGGAAATTCCTACTCACTGCCTTCTCGCAGCATTTCTGTTGTTTACGAAATTGAGAGGACGAAAAACGAATGTCCGGTGCTTTAACTGAGTTGGTGGACACGGAAATTCAACCGAAAGGAGTTGGAAAACCCTGATTCCAAACCAATGGTGCACATGGGCTCCAGTATCGTGAGGGAATAAACGGAAAGTGAATCAATCGTTGGTCACCGGCTACTATGAGAAAGCATCTCCTTACGATATTCCACTGCCTTGTGGACCAGACCTTTAAATCAAAGGCTCCGGTTGTGGCCACCTAAGAAAACTACCTGCTTCAGTTTGGGCACTTGGGCAGTACCACAGCCATCACACAAATCAAATGAGATTTGTGTTGCGCATATGTATCTGGTGCCCCTTTGTACCAATATCTATGTTTTTCAAATAAATAAACCATGATAATATTAAATAGCTATCCACTGCCTCAGGTTCTTCAATGGTTGTTCAACTTAGATTAGTTCGTGATCACAAGAAAATTTGATAATCTCCACGACTCGTATACTAATGTAAGGCAAATTAATAATCATTTTAAAGGTATGCAAACTCTACTCATTAAATACTAATGTTCAATAAAATTCCCGGATCCACAAAAATATATAATTGAGTTCTTCTTCAGAAAAACGCCTTTTAAATTATTCTTCATTGAAATTTGAATAACTACCTTCCATTGTATTCTTCTTTTCAAACAAAGAGAAATAAATCAAACTACATCAATGACTGAAACGTGGAAGAAAAGTTTAATAGTAAAAAATAATTTAGAACAATTACGTAAACAATTGAATAGCTTTCCAAATGTATTACACTATATACGTTATCGATTGGCAAGTTCTCTTTTACACAAATTTCAATCAACTATTCAAAATTATATTTATAATGAATTAAATTTGAGTAGTATGGAACAGAGAGATATAGAAAAAGAGAATGTCAAAGAAGATATAACTGAGAAGAATTTTCGTTTAGTTATTTATCCTATTTTATTAAAACAATCTGATAGTAAGTTAAATGTAATTTGTATTTGAACATTAACTATTCATCCATCAATAAGGAATAAATTTTACTTTCATTCAAATTGCATAAGTTTTGTTTTATTTCAAATGGTAGATTGTTTTATCATCAGCTGATATGTTTTAAGTGAACAGTCATTGGAAAAATGGCAGAATATGTAAAATTTTGAAGCTTTTCAGAAATGATCACAAACATACAACTGTACTCAGGATAGAACTCAATACCACTGGGTTTAACAAGGTTTCATTATACTCAGAAGGGGTTTTGTGGAGATTTTAGTATTTTTTTCAAAAGTTAAAATTATGAGTTAATTGAGGCTAGACCACCATCGAAAACCTGGAAGCACTGGATGGCCAACTCGTCCTATTATGGGACTTTTCAACAGTTTGCATCCACAATCCTGCACTCACGAGATTCGAACCCAGGACCTACCAGTCTTGAGCCAGAGCCCTCAACCGATCGACCACCGAGCCGGCATCCAACGGTGTTAATGTCTAACTTCAACCAATCCACGAAATTGAGTAACCATTCACCAACTGTCTTCAGTGAGTTGATATCTCACAACAGACGTGGTTGAACTCCACTGGTTACTGCTTTCCACTAGGACTCCATTATATGTATCATTATACTTTTAAATATACCGTTAGGTTAAAGTACAATGTTCTATATTTTCTCTTTTAGTTAATTCGTAAGACAGATAAATAATCAGTTTATTGTAATCGAATGGTAACTATTGCACTCTCAACATATACATTGGTGAATCACTGTGTAGTAATCAATGTCACATTTATCAAGTTACTTTGTGCTGATTGATAAAGTTACAATATAACAACTAGTCTAAATGACTTGGCATCTTGTACACTGTTTTGATATTGTGTGGTTTGAAACAGTCGGAAAGAGGTCAGGCAAGGCCCAAATAAGACAGTGGTAACTAACGTCTTAGAATGGTAAACTTGATGGAGCAGTTTCAAATCCCACCAGGTAGCATTAATCATGTCAAGATTTAGGGGACTGCCTGCCTGAAAACTGCAAACTAATATGCAACGTAGGTTGAAGATTTCCTATCGACTATCTTTCACCACCTAACACAATTTTAACATGATTTAACTTCCCCGGTCATAAGTTTGTTAGATTTTTAAAGTGAAACGAACTGAACTAAAGTACTACTCGCAGACGTCCAAAAAACTAGTTAGTTAGTTACAGAATATGAGTTTGAAAGTGAGCAATCTATGATGTAATTAAAAGTAAAGGTATTCGAAGAAATGGCCTTAATATAAATATATTAAAACTTGTAGCTAAAGAGGTTAATACAAAGTTAATCCTTTCAGGATGTATGAATATCGACAAAAACTGATTAAACTCCAGTCCTGAATATCAATAACCGAGATAACACAAACTCTTACTATTATCAAAAGGGGGCTTTGTGGATATTATAATAATTTTTATGTAGTTGTGATCATGAGTCACTTGAAGCTAGACCACCATGGAAAACCTGGAAGCACTGGACGGCCGTTTCGTCTCACTGTGGGACTCCTCAACAGTGCACATCCACGATCCCGCACTCACGAGATTCGAACCCAGGACCTATCAGTCTCGCGCCAGAGCGCCTAACCACTAGACCACTGGACCGACATCCAACGGTGTTAATGTCTAACTTCAACCAATCCACGAAATTGAGCAACCATTCACCAACTGTCTTCAGTGAGTTGATATCTCACAACAGACGTGGTTGAACTCCACTGGTTACTGCTTCTTAATAGAACTCCAGTAAGTAACTCATGGAGCCATCCACTATTGAGTATACGATCCTTATCAAAAAGGGGTTTTATGGATACTATAGTATTTTTTATATAGTTGAGATCATGAGTCAATTACTATTATGTTAAACTGTTTTAAAACATCTTATTTTATCTATTTCCTTTTGAAAACAAAACTACTTTTATATTCATACTCAAAACCTGTTATATTATTAAAGAACAAAGTCAATTACTTCTTTGGCCATTACCTTCCACTATAATAACCATTTTCAATTTGACATTTGAACAATTCAAAGAATCATTACATTTAAACAAAACTATATCAGAACATGAATTGACTCAAATCTATTTTAATGAAGAGAAAGAAATTGAAAACATCAGTGAAATAATTGACAATCAAATTGATGCAAATTCTATCATTGAAGCATTTTACAACAATTCTAGTTCAGTAGATTTAAATGATTCCAAACATTCAATGAATATTCCATGGAATATAATTAATCCAATTGGTTTAGAAGCAACAAACATGAATATTCGTGATATGGTTAATTGTTATTTACCAACTTATGAAGATTTTGAAAAAGGTTAATTCAAGAAGTGTTTCACCCCCTTTTCGTATTTTTCTATTCTCTATTTATTACTCTAGATAAAAATTTGGTTCATTTTAGTAAGAAATAAAATGTAGTAGAACATCAATGTTGATTATCTATGTCGAATGATTGGAGGCCTACCAGAGTAAGACGAGAACGGTGTAACGAACAAGCTAACTTCGAAGTCACACCTCGCGACCAGCATCTTACGTGGATTGCCCCATCGATGTATCAAGGGATCATGGATGCTCTGAAGACTGTACAACACAAAGGACGTCATTACTGTAATATATTAGTTAAAGTAGATACAAGCGAAAGTAGAACCACTGCCACATGGGCCAGTCCATGGCGTATGATTAACTGATGCGCGCTGATTGTCATTGACCTTGACAGGGATCGATGATCTGTTCGATATTCGGTGACCCAACTGCCGGATGATTTGGCTAGGGTTCAGTGACATTTCACTGCTCCTACAATGTAAACATAACTGAGTATTATCAGAAGGGGGTTTTTGTGGATAGTATAGTAATTTTAATAGTTGAGATCCCGAGTTCATTGAAGCTAGACGAAGCTAGGACGGAACGGCGGTTCAGTGCTTCCAGGTTTTCCATGGTGATTTAGCTTCAATTGACTCATGATCTCAACTATTAAAAAAATAACTGAATATGTTTGGAAATACGACCTAGTTATTATTAAATTTCATTCTATAAGATTATTTCAAGCATAATTTGAACATTGAATATATATATAAAGCCTAGTTTCTGTTCAGTTATTCGTCCAACTTTTGATGAACACTTGGACAAATTATGGAGCATGTTTGTCTTTCATATGCTCTTATTAGATCGATGGAATTCATTTGCTTTCATAGGCATTTAGGTATTTGTCCACTCACCTCTATATATAGACCACGACTACCCATCCTAAGGTATATATGCCCAAATATACATAACAACTAATAAAGAAAATGGGATGCGCTATTCTCGTTTACTTGGTATTCAGGTTTTCAGTGAAGGACGGACCTTAGCTTTTGGTTAACAATGAGGTAGACTGAGATCATTTTGTATTCATACAAGATTATGAGAGCTACCTCTGAATGGTAGATTAATAAATATCATGGCTTTTTTGTTGCTTTATAAACTTTAATGAATATCTATTTCAGATGAGTGTTTCGGTCAAAAGTTTTGCTTTATTTTTGTCTTCTTTAATAGTATCATTTGTACTTAAACTGTTATCATAACTTGTTTGTGAAAATTAGACTGAAATGAACTTTTATTAAGAAAAAACAAACGAACAATTAATTTCTAGTGTCGTGTGGTCTACTTATATCCATATAAGTAGTATTTGGCGATGGTCAGACATAGAATGTATTTTGGCAGAAGACCGATAAGGAAAGAACTGAAAATGAAGCGCAATTGGTAGGAAAATGCATGGATAATGGAATTAGAAAAGATGAACTGATATTTACAAAAGGAACAGTGAATATTGAGACAATTGGTTGTTATTTTGCAAATTAACTGTTTGCTGTATGGTTAACAGAATTTAGTAAGATAGTCTGTAATTTGTGCTTCAATACATTCGATTGTGCCCACTCGTGTTCTTGTTCACTACACTAGTATCGTTTTTTTGGTTAAACCATTTTTCATATTTCATTGTTTAAAAATATATCTGATTTATACTTTAAGAAAATAGTAGTTGGGATATGAATCATGTAATATTGTAGTGAACGAGAACACACGTGGGGACAGTCGAATGTATTTGGCACGAGAATTACAGACTATCTCACTGAAATCTGATAACCATACAGTAAATAGTTAATTTGCAAAATATCAATCAATTGTCTCAATCTTGACCTTACCTTCTGTAAATATCAGTTTATCATCTGCGATTATTATTGTTCATGCATTGCGATACCAATCGCGCTTCTTTCCTGTTCTTTCCTTATCGATCTTCTACCGAAATACATTCAGTGCCTGACCGTCGTAATATACTACTTATGTGGATATAAGTAGCCTACACCATACTTCATTTGGAAAATGTCAGTCAATCGTCACAGACTTTATTATTCCTTCATTTTTACACCAATCATTTTCTGTTCCCGTCCTCTTTTCTTCTATCTTTTTAATCTTATGCCGCCAGATATTTCACTTTCGATTGATTATACATACACACACTACTACTAATACTACATCAGTAGCACACACCATAATACCAGATGACAAGCTTAGTGTTTATTTGCAAAAAAATTTGTATATGAGTATAACTGATTTATCTACAATTTTAATACTATCTAATGTAATGAAACTATCAGTTTACCATATGTCTCTAAGGCGAACTACATAAGTAAAGGACTTTGTGATGAAAATTCATTGTTAAGAAATATTTAATCAATTTTGTATGGAGTGTTTATGTACAAGGAAATTCGTTATAACTCATTCTTATTCAAAGGTTGAGGATAGCCAAAAGAAAGCTTTCAAACCTACGTTTCATCTCGGTTGAATGATAGTGTTACCCCTTCCGATAATAGAGATCTCGTCTTAATATGTCATAGTTATTTACTAGTATATCGTGCTGAAAAGTGACTACTATCTGAAAATGTAGATTCAGAGCCACTTTCTATTTGTCTTCAATCAAGTAACATAAAAACAAAATGCATTTCTAAGTGGAGTAACTTAGATTAGGTGGCCATGTTGAGAATCTGATCAATCGAGTTCTATCAACACCGAAGAACAAAGTGACACTAGTTGGAAAACATTAAATCCTAAAAAATAGTGCATTGTTTCAAGTTGAAGCTGTCATATCTGTCAACAAATATTAGGCAACTTAAAAGAATAATAAAATTGAACTTAATTACTTTACTTACTTACGCCTGTTACCCCTCGCGGAGGAGCATAAGCCGCCCACCAGCATTCTCCATCCAACTCTGATTAAAATTGGACGGAAAGATAAATTGTAAGTAGCAAAGAATTAAATGGAAATATAGCCGTAGATTTTCCAGGACTTATAATGAGTCTTTGAATCTTCATAAAAAATGTTTGTGTCATATATAATAGATACCCAAACACTATTTATTGTAACTTGGTATGCTATCAATGACAGAAGTAGATTGAAAAGAAAATAACACCTGTCAAACGGCAATAAAATTTGGAACCTTGAATTTATTGAATATTGGACTGAGTTCAGTTAACTATTTCATGAATTACATCTGAGAGATAATCACAATCTGCGGATGCTGTATTTAAGTGATATGGTCTACGCTTGGTAGCAGTGATGCAAATGAAATCGAATATTCGAATATTAAGTCGTGCATTGTTCATGAGTAAGCGAGCGTATAATCAGTGAAACGGTGAGTTGGGTCCCTTTGATACATAAATCCAGCGGATTAGCTATATGAAGCGACGACGAGATTCCAACCAAGAATTCGAATGGTAAGATGTTCTTTGTGAGACTTAAGTTTTTGGGTTAGGTCTCTGATGTGTAGGAATAAGGAATCTCGTACTAGTTTGGACCAGTTGTCCAGTGCCTCCTGGCTTTCAGTGGTACCACAGATAAGAACAATCCTTGAAAATACCATCAACAAATGAATAAAACTGCATGGAAGTTTATTTTTTAATTTCAAATAATCTTAATTTTAGGCCTTATACCTGAATATCAGTCTCATCAAAATCAATCAATATTATCTCGTATGGATCTGGACCAATCTCATCTTAATATTAGTGGTTATAATTGCTTCCCCACCATTGAAAATGCATCTCAAATGGAATTACATTCTCTTATTGAGCGACAGTGAGTTGAGTTAATAAAACATAATCCTAATTATGTCATTTAAATAAATATAAAAAATAGTTTGCTGCATAAATCGGTTGGTTTCCCACGAATGAGAAGTTCAAATCTTGTGTTAACCTAGTTAAGTTTGAACAACTAGGTCACATCATTAGGCTTTGTACAAAAAGTTTGAGTGGAAGTTAAGTGCACGGAATTGTATTGTGGTCTTTTTCATAGTTGAAATCATGAGTCAATTGAATCTAGACCACCATCGAAAACCTGGATGCTGGCTCAGTGGTCTATATTTTAAGTGCTCTGGCGCGAGACTGGTATGTCCTGGGTTCGAATCTCGCGAGGCTGGATCGTGGATACACATTGCTGAGGAGTCCTACAATAGGACGAAACGACCGTCCAGTGCTTCCAGGTTTTCGATGGTGGTCTGGCTTCAATTGACTCATGATTTTAACTATGAAAATACTGAAATCTCCACAAAACTCCTTCTGATTGTATTGTGGTCATTTAGTTCAGATGTCTTGTTTTATGAATAATCTCCTTATATGTGAGAGTAAGAAGTCCAAACAAGTTTGCTGGACGAAACTTTGGAATTATTTAAATTTCAATCGTCGAGAATAATTCAAAGATGTATGACCTTGTAAATGTTTTGTGTATACTTAGAAAATTCAAATAACTTCAAGTTTTCTATAACTCACATCGACTTTACCGTTTTTCAGTAGTCACATACAAATATAGTATTGTTTCGCTTCATGATACCAACTATCTTCATAATGTATTTGTATATCAGCTATTTGAAAATGATTATTTATTTTTCGTCAGAATAATACACCATATATTTGGTGATATGATATGTGAAGCGATAAGTAAGTTTGATAATCAGGCCTCAATTGTGTGGATTTGTCAAATGACATCTAATAATCCTTGGAGTTCTAAGCAAATTTTGGTCATGTCTATTTAGTATGAAATATTTTGCATGTAATTGTGTAATTTTGTTAAATGAAATAATCTATATTATATAGTTGAGGTCATGAGTCAATTGAAGCTAGAACACCATGAAAAACCTGGAAGCACTGAACGGCCGTTTCGTCCTATTTTGGGACTCCAGGTTTTCCATAGTGATTTAGCTTCAATTGACTCATGATCTCAATTATATAAAATTACTATAATCTCCACAAAACCCTCTTCTAAAAATGACCTATATATTGATAACCAATTATTTTATCTTTAGATATTCATTTGTTAGAATATGGCATTAATAGTTGGGATTTTTGATTCATCATCTCCAAGTTATACTTATCTCACCGATTTAAGCGACAGATTGTAGATCCATAGTCAGACAATATTTCCTCCGTTATAGTACTTAATCTAAGGGGAAAAGAAGAAGACTTCACATGCTCTTGTATTTTAAACGTTAGCTTATCGATGATCAGTATTCATTACAAATATTCGGAAATAGACATTGGACCTATCAAAAGTATGAATAAATTTAATTTGTTACATTTCTTATCAGAATAGCTACAGGAAGTTGATCTATATGGGTGAACATTCAACATTCTATTTGACATAACGCAGTAAACTTCTATAGATCTGAGTTATTATTCGTTTTATTTCAACGTCGTCTAATTATTAATATTAAATAATTGAAAAATTAAAACAGAGAGAACTGTTGCTCAACATACTCGTCTCTTGGTTCGTAGATGGACATTTTGCCTACTTTACAAGTGAAGGAAGTCGGTAAAAATCAGTAGGGCTTTCTAAATTTGTGAAGAGATTTAGTTAGACACCAACTCACTGAGTAAGATGAAAATTATGAGCTAAATGAGGTAGTCGATGCCTTCAACTTCTTCACTCCCTAAAATTAATTTCAGTGTTATCGTGGACGGATGTTTAATCACCATTTTGGATATAGAAGAAAAAAAGTGCATCCAAAGAATACTTGTATTGTTACTCAAAGTGATTAGTAGACTCCTCATTTTGTCAGCATCTTCACTATATAGAAAAGTGTCATCCGAGTATTCTAATTAAATAAGTAAATCTCGTGGTAGGAGATAAACTGTATGATCTATCAAAAGGTCTGATAAATTGAAGATATGAACCATTGAATTTAGGCTCAGTGATCTACAGGCCACTTGGCCACTGTTTTACTCGAAGTGTTTGGGTTCTATCTCGTATCAAACTATTAGTTGTACACCATTAAGGACAAAATAAATGTACATTAGCTCTTTATCTTTCACTAATTTTGTTCAACGTATACTAATTCTTAGTGGTTACCACCTAGATGTAATAATTATTACAGTCACTACTAAATATTGTTCCAGAATAGATGGAATTAGCTATTGGCTGTCTAGACTCAGAAGTTAATTATAAAACGCGGTAGCAATTGAAGCGAACGGTAATGGGTTCGTGTTCCTGGGTAGACATGAACTCTGGGATTCAGGTACATACAAATAACAAGTCGAAGGTACGACGAAACACTCGTCGTGGATTCTATTGATAGCTACATTTCATCTATTCTGTACTAACTTGTAACATAATTAACTATGAACACTTACCAACTAAGACTGATCAAAATCCAGTCGAAATATCAACAACGAGATAATCCGATATATTTTCAATTAAACTATCACTTATTCGATTTATAGATGTGAATCTATGAAACTTTATGATTGTTTAATGATCTCATGGAATAAAAGAATTTATGAAAAGACGAATAACACAATTCAATCTTTACAATGGATTATCAAAATGAATGAAACAATAAATGAGTTAAGTGTACTATTAAAGAATGAAGATTTGCATAAAGAATTATATAAACATCAAGTGAGTTATTCATGTAGTATAATAAGACACATTTCAATTCTAACACTATACGTTAGTTGGTTGTTGTATACATTTGACGATGATCTTCATCTGAAAGTAACGTCAATTGTAAGACAATAACTAAAAGGTTTTCCACGAAAGTTAATAACCATTATATGCCTGTTAAAGTTCGGATTTATTTAGCAGAGTTTACTGTTAATCCGAGATCCATTGTATTGCCTTAATTAGAAAGTATAGAAGTTACCGTCTGGGAATATTAAATAAAAATCATGCTTTACTGTAAACTCATGGATCACAGTTAGTAGTGAAATGTTGGACTGAGTAGTTCAGTCAGTAGTGTGTTGATGTTTGAGGCGAAAGTTATTAGATCCAAGTCCAAATGTGTGAATATCTCTGAGATGTAGATAAGTCCAACCTGATGTCCCAAATACGATGAAACACGAGTCCACTAACTCCGCCTGTAGCTCTTCTAGAGTTACTGCCGGTCCCAAGCCCGGGTAAAGGAGGAGGGTTGGGCATGGGGTTAGCGACCCCATCCCGTAGAAAAGCTAACTCGCTAAAAAAACGCTAACCAGAAAAAATAATTCAAACCATTTAAACTCTGCCCTGGGAGTTGAAGGAATAATTATCACGTCTCATGATGAAAGCCGAAATTCTTCGGAAGTCACGAGACCGATGCACCTTCTAACAACCAGAGCAACACTCTTTATAGGTACATGGAACGTCCGGACAATGTGGGAGACAGGAAAGACCAGCCAAATAGCAATGGAAATGAGAAGATACAACTTGGCAGTACTCGGAATCAGCGAAACCCATTGGACACAAACTGGACAACAAAGGCTAGGTACAGGAGAGATGCTGCTGTACTCCGGTCACGAAGGGGAAAATGCTCCACACACTCAGGGAGTTGCTCTAATGCTGTCCAAAGAAGCACGAAATGCACTTGTGGGATGGGAATCTCATGGACCCAGGATAATCAAAGCATCATTCAGAACAAAGAAGCAAGGGATCACAATGAACGTTATCCAATGTTATGCATCCACCAGTGATAGCAACGACGATGATAAAGTTCAGTTCTATGAAAGGCTGCAATCAATTGTAGCAAAGTGCTCAAGAAAGGACCTCACCATCCTGATGGGAGATCTAAATGCTAAAGTTGGAGTGGACAACACAGGATATGAAGATGTAATTGGACGACATGGATTAGGAGAGAGAAATGAAAATGGGGAGAGACTTGCAAATCTATGTGCATTCAACAAATTGGTTATAGGCGGCACAATATTCCCACACAAGCGCATACACAAAGCTACATGGATCTCACCGGACCAAACCACAGAGAACCAGATAAATCACATCTGTATCGACGAAAAATTCCGAAGATCAATGGAAGTTGTGAGAACCCGGAGAGGAGCTGACATAGATTCAGATCACCACCTGGTTGTGGCCAAGATGAGACTGAAGCTAAAGAAAGACTGGACAACTGGACAAACAGCACTACAAAGGTTCAATACAGCCTTCCTTCGAGATATTGACAAGCTCCATGAATTCAAGATAACTTTCAACAACAGTTTCCAAGCTCTACATGATCTACTGAAAGAACAAGAAACTACTTTGGAGGACAACTGGAAAGGGATAAAAGAAGCACTAACTTCAACGTGTCAGCAGGTTCTTGGTCCTAAGAAGCATCATCACAAGGAATAGATCTCTATGGGAACCCTGGAAAAAATTCAAGAAAGGAAGAACAAGAAACTAGCAATTAGCAACAGCCGAACACGAGCAGAGAAAGTCAAAGCACAAGCAGACTACGCAGAAGCAAACAGGGAAGTGAAGAAAAGCATTAAAGCCGACAAGCAGAAATACATGGGAGAACTAGCAACGGCGGCGGAAAAAGCTGCAAGAGAAGGGAATATGAAACAACTATATGATACAACGAAGAAATTGGCAGGGAGATATAGCAAACCGGAGAGACCAGTCAAGGACAAAGAAGGAAAGACAATCACTGAGATTGAAGAACAGAGGAAAAGATGGGCAGAATACTTCGAGGAACTGCTGAATAGACCAGCCCCATTGAATCCACCGAACATCGAAGCAGCCCACACTGACCTTCCAATAGATATCACTCCACCAACGATCGAATAAATCAAGATGGCCATCAGACAAATCAAAATTGGGAAGGCGGCAGGACCTGACAATATACCAGCAGAAGCACTGAAGTCAGACATTGAAATAACTGCAAATATGCTTCACCCTCTATTCAAGAAGATTTGGGAAGAGGAACAAGTGCCAACGGACTGGAAAGAAGGATATCTCATCAAGATACCAAAGAAAGGAGATCTGAGCCAATGTGAGAACTACAGAGGCATCAGTTTGTTATCAGTACCAGGAAAAGTTTTCAACAGAGTGCTGCTGAATCGGATGAAAGACGCAGTAGACGCCGAACTTAGGGATCATCAGGCTGGATTCCGTAAGGATCGGTCGTGCACAGACCAGATTGCGACACTACGGATCATCGTTGAACAATCAGTTGAGTGGAACTCATCACTATACGTCAACTTCATTGACTATGAGAAGGCGTTTGACAGCGTGGACAGGAGAACATTATGGAAACTTCTTCGACACTATGGAGTTCCTGAAAAGATTGTCAACATTATCCAAAACTCATACGATGGACTACAGTGCAAAGTGGTGCATGGAGGACAGCTGACAGATGCATTTCCAGTAAGGACCGGAGTCAGACAAGGCTGTCTACTCTCCCCATTCCTCTTCCTTCTAGTGATTGACTGGATTATGAAGAATTCGACATCTGAAGGGAAATACGGAATACAGTGGACTTCTCAGAATCAATTAGATGATTTGGACTTCGCAGATGACCTAGCCCTCCTCTCTCATACACACAAACAAATGCAGATGAAGACAGCAAATGTAGCAGCAGCCTCCGCATCGATAGGCCTCCACATTCACAAAGGAAAAAGCAAGATTCTCAAATGCAACACGGAGAACACCAACCCAATCACACTTGATGGCGAAACTCTGGAAGAGGTGGAAACATTCACGTACCTGGGGAGCATCGTTGATAAACAAGGGGGATCTGATGCAGATGTAAAGGCAAGGATTGGCAAAGCAAGGGCAGCATTTCTACAATTGAACAACATATGGAACTCAAAACAACTCTCAACTAATTTCAAGGTTAGAATCTTCAATACGAACGTCAAGACAGTCCTACTGTATGGAGCTGAAACGTGGAGAACTACTACGGCCATCATCAGGAAGGTACAAGTATTTATAAACAGTTGTCTACGCAAAATACTCAACATCCACTGGCCGGATACTATCAGCAACAGCGTTCTATGGGAGAGGACAAACCAGTTTCCAGCTGAAGAGGAAATTAGGAAAAGACGTTGGAAGTGGATCGGACATACATTAAGGAAATCACCAATGTGCATCACGACTCAATCCCTAACTTGGAATCCGGAGGGGAAGCGGAAAAGAGGAAGGCCAAAGAACACACTACGCCGGGAAATAGAAGCCGATATGAAAAGGCTGAATAGTAACTGGAAAGAACTGGAAAGGAAGGCTCAGGACAGAGTTGAATGGAGAATGCTGGTGAGCGGCCTATGCTCCTCGACGAGGGGTAACAGGCGTAAGTAAGTAAGTAAGTAACGAGTCCACTGTTGACTACAATCAATCTTTCAATCAGAAATTAATCTTAGTTTATACTTTTATTTATTTTCATTATTTATACACTTGATCTTAATTTTGAACTGACTTTTTATTGCCTATATTGTTAGTTACCAAGTGAATAAATACTGATACCTATGATCTACTTAGGAATTATCGATTTATAAAAATGTTTGCTACCAAATATAAATAGTACCAATCGGGTTAAAGCGAAACTGAAATAAACTTCCCATGGGTTTTTTCATCGAATGGTGCAATGAAGGATATTCCTCATATTCTTGGAGATAATTTTTGTAGTGAATTCGAATAATATAAAAAACCTTTGATTTCAAGGAGGACAATTGTTTCATTCAACGGAAGGGTATTTTGATTTTAGCACTTATATTTTTACATGAGATTGAGTTTAATAGGTTAATGTCTCGTGGTTAGTGTGACACCTTCAGGGCAGTGTGTTAGTTTTGAATATGTTAACTGGTCGGAAGTAGTTGACAGGAAACTTCAGACCCATGTTTCGTGTTAGTTAACACTCATCAGCTAGGTGCATTCGTGATATTGAAGCAACTTATGCTTTACACGATTCGGACTAACATTCCCCACTTCTACAGTCTGAGATAGCTCACCTGAGTTGCTTGGACCGAGCTTTATTATCTGTTAAATAAACAAAACTAAACCGGTTGATCACTACTGAATAATGGGCATCAATTTTGTTAAGCCTCAGTGTTGATTGAATCCCACCAATTCGGTTGAGATGTAGTCATCAGTCTAAGTGACTTGATTTTACGAGCACTATGTCTTGACGTTATCTACTTAGAGGTATTTGGCAAAAAGTTTTGAACTTGGGTTTCCTACTAGTTATGAATATTCCCCGACCACTGGTGATAACTATCTTGTGTTCAAAAACATTGAACTTCATTGAGTCTCTTGAATTTTATTTGAAACTCTGAGAATCCAATTTAAAATTCCCCACTAGTGAATACATGGTTATTAGATTAAAGAAAATATCTTTATTTAAGACATACCCTTATGAATTTAGCTTGTGGATTGACTGAACGTTAATTTTCATAATCATACTCATGCACTCAATTCAATACTGAATACTCTAGTAAAAATAAATTGAGACAATATTAGCTGATGAACATCACGCGTGTAAGAAAACAAAACATTTTGACTGAATTCTAAGTATCATTGACCTTCTACCTATTATTTTAACCGGTAATAAGAACGTTTGATAGTGTTTTGTCCTTTGAGCTAGAAATAGACTCTGAAGATTTTGTCCAGAATGACTTTGAAAGCTTTTCATTTAAACCATCTAACTAAAAGGATACAATACCGTGAAAAAGATTTACATGAGCTACAAATCATCCCCCATTAATTCAGTAGCAAGAACAGTCTTGCATAATAAGACATAATAAGACTGCCCCTAAATGCCCTGGTACGGCCGAGACTAGGGAGAGTCCGCTTTCCCTCTCCAAATGTTCTCACATGACCACGCGTATATAGTCACTGCCAGGGAAGTCCTACTCACCGCCTTCTCGTGGCATTACTGTTGTTCACGAAAGTGAGAGGATGAAATGCGAATATCCGGCGCTTTAACCGGGTTGCCGGACACGGAAAGTTCACCTAGGGGAGTTGGAAAACACTGATTCCAAACCAATGTTGCACATGGGCTCCAGTATCTTGATGGAACAAATGGTGTATGGATAAATCGTTGGTCACTTGCTATCATGAGACTGCATTTCCTTACGATGCTCCACTGCTTAGTGGATCAGATGTTTAGGTCAAAAGCTCCGTGTGTGGCCTCTCCTAGGTAAACCACCTGCTTAGGTTTGGGCACTCAGGCAGTATCACAGTCCACACACAAATCGAATGACTTGTGTGGTGCATATAAATCTGGTGCCCCTTTGTACCAATATTTATGTGTTTAAATAAATACATAATAAGAACCAGTTAAACCAGTATGTAATATGTTTTAATGACTTTTTGTTTTATTCACCTTATTTCTTTTAGCGCTTATTTGAATTATCTTTTCAATGGATCAATAATATAGTAAATCACATCAAATATGAAAGTCTTTTAAATGATCATGAGGATAACCGTTTGAATTGTTTCATTCTAATTGACTACAATCCATTATTTAATTTATTATATCATGAAATTATAGAGAAATTAAATAAATTATTTTCAATCTTTATAACCATAGTTGACAATTCATTGATATCAATCAGTAATCAATTAGATGATTTTATTCAAGTAAGTAATGCAAATTTGTTTGAAGGTGTTATTTACAAGTCTTTACTCGCCACCTTATTGTTGAATAAGTTTTTGTACCTTCCCATCTTTTCATTCATCAAACCTATCATCCAGTAAAGTTAAGGATTTTATTGATTATATAATCTTATATAGTTGAGATCATCAGTCAGTTGAAGCTAGACTACCATGGAAAATCTGAAAGCACTGGATGGCTGTTTCGTTCTGATGTAGGACTCTTCAACAGTGCTCATCCACTATCCTTCATGCAATCCAGATGTGGTTACAGCAAGAGATAATTTGTTTTTTTGACATGGTATATTCTTATATATTTGAATGAAAACTGTGCATCTAGATGTATTTAGAACGTATATTTCTATACCAATTAAAAAAACTACTATCGTTTTAAAAATTATTGTAATCATATCTGTTATGAATTTAAAAAGAAGAACAAGGCCGTATCCAACTCGTTATGATTTTATGTCTGGCTTTTTATCATGTGAGTTACCCATCAATCAAATAAATATGACTTTTCCAATCTTAACACTGTGCCAAATCAATGACGTTCAACTGGTATGAGCAGTCTAGCGTCTTTATTGGTCCCTTGTCCGCTTAGCCCTTTCAATTAAATCCAGAACATCAATTACAGCGAATCTATGCGAATCATTTTTTTTTCAACCATACTCGGTTTATATACTAGAAAGACAGACCACATCACACCATAAAATAGAATGTAATATTTGTACAGGATCAAGCCAAGGTGTGGCTGTGAACGTTGGATACAGTAATCAATAAACTGAGTATAATTTAGGAACAGTAAATCGCATAATAATAATCCACAGGCCAAAATGAAGCTTATAATAAGATGAATATAGATATACACAATCAAATTCCTCAATAGTTAAGCAATGAGAATATATATAGAATAATCGTCCACTAATAGGTACCGGAATTTACTCGTACTTATGTATTCACCAGGATATAACAATATCCTCTAAACTTTTCATTAGGAGTAAGGAAAAAAGTCCATAATCAATTTGTTATCGAACAACACTTCGGGAACGCAAAAAATAGAAGCAATAAAGAAGATATACATTAGGAGTAGGATCAATGTACAAAGAACGAATAATATTGAAGAATTAAAAGTTGTGATTTACTTTAGGAGAGAAAATATTTTATACTTTTTAAGTGAAGAACTAAAATCCATATGTACATTAATATACATCAAATTGCTTTGACAAGGTTATCAAGAGACACTGAACTCATGTTTCATGTTTGTTGATAGTTTCTAGCAAGCAGTATCTATAATCTGTAAAGAATTAATTCCTCTAGTATTGTTCTAACCTAAGTCAATCTATATTACAATCAGAAACATTACCATTTAGTTGTATTGTAGTGTGGTCTACTTATATTCATATAAGTAGTATATGGTGATGGTCAGACATAGAATGTATTTTGGTAGAAGACTGTTATGACTCGTAGGTTGAACGCTTTATTCGGATCCTAGCTATTCGGATAATCCCAGGCTAGCACTACTCAGCGACTTGAAAGACCAGAGAGAAGACACGAGTATCAGAGGATCACTTTACTACAAGGTTCATTTATGTACAGAAAAAACAGGGGTTTTATAGTAATTAAAAAGACCTTGAGATTCCATAGTAGCAGTATGTTTAACAGCCAATCAGGACCTCATTATTTTAGTAGCATTTTAGTAGCATAGCTTCTAACTAATCGCTGATTGGTTGGGCTCTTTATGAGCCTCTCTGGAGGCTCTGATAGAGTTTATTGTAAGCCGACCTAACAAAGACCGATAAGGAAAGAACTGAAAATGAAGCGCAATTGGTGAGAAAATGCATGAACAATGAGATTAGAGAAGATGAACTGATATTTGTAGAAGGAACAGTTTAGATTGAAAGAATTGATTATTATTTTGCAAATTGACTGTTCATTGTATGGTTTCAGAATTTACTGAAATAGTCTGTAATTTGTGCTTAAATACATTCGATTGTCCCCAATCAGTGTTTTGTTTACAACAGTATGGCTAAGTTTGAAGAGTTTTGAATAAAGACATATTAAGCATCTTATTAGTTAGGTCGACAAATCTATTCACTGTACAGTTTACTCAAATTAGTATCATTCAGTCAACAAAAAAAGAAACATTCAGTCAGTTGACAATGTTTAACCCCCTTTTTTTTTCTATATTTTATTATAGATACATGCAAATATTCCATCCGATTTTAATGGATTTATACAAATTGTTACCTATTTAAATCGTGTACATAATGATTATGAGAAATTATTCAAAGATCATGATAATCTATGTCGTCAAGTTGAAGTAAGTTCTAATGTTGTTTTTTTTTTAAAGTGAACATAAATCTACACAATAAAATTGACTCACGCTTTCAACTATGAAAATACTAAATCTCCACAAAACCTCTACTGATAATAATAATAATAATAATCTTATGCTCACTAGTGACTGACTTCGAGAGGTAAATCCAGGAGTTCTAGTGAGAAGCAGTGATCAGTGGAGTTCAAACCACGCCCTCAGAAACTCACTGAAGACAATTGATGAGCGAATGCTCAACTTCGTGGATTGGTTAAAGTTATATATAAACTCCATCGGATGCCGTGTCATTGGTCTATCGATTAAGTGCTCTGATGCGAGACTAGTAGGTCCTGGGTTCGAATCTCGAGAGTGCGGGTTCGTGGACACACACTGTTGGGGAGTCTCATAATAGGACAAAACGACCATCCAGTGTTTTCAGGTTTTCGATGGTGGTCTAGCTTCAATTGACTCATTATTTCAACTGTGAAAATTCATAATTGTTTACTGTAATTAAATACAACAATTAATGAAGCAATGAATACCTTCATACAAAATATACTTTTTATTCATTTTATTCTTTAGTTTCTACAACATATTCAAATGTATTCAAACAATTGTATTGAATTAAAATTTATTCAATTTATTAAATGGTCAAATTATGAACAATTTTTAATTAAATGGAAAAAATTTATTAATCAAATTGAATGGGCTAGAAAAAAATTTCAAAGATATCAAGATGAATTCTATCAAGTTTATAATAAAAAAGTTGAGGTAATACTAGCAATGACTTTTTTTCTTTTCCCCACTTTTGGAAGAACTGGTATCAGTAATGTCTATCTATTTGACTTTGAAAATTATACAATGAATACTTTGATATGCTGATGTAATGATGTGTAGGGGATGGTTGGAAAAGAGTTAGGGGCGGTCAAACCAAAACGTGACATCAGTGCATGAAGTCACTAACTTCTAGTCTGAGCCATGTTGGTAGATGTATACTACTTGGTTGGGGTCCGTGTGACTACCGTAACCAATGGTTGGAGACTCTAAGTGACATGGCTTAGAATCGATCACAATGGCGTAGGTGTATACACTCTTTATCTTCCCTTAAACCTTGAGATTAAAATTGCTTCATAACTTTCTTCCTTTCTATACTATATCCTTATATACAACCTATTTTTATATACTACCACCATTAAATTAACTATTTCTATGAATCCGGTGTTCATCTTGTTGTGCTAACGAGGTATAGCAAATTGGACTGATGCATATGTGTGCCTGGTCCTACGTTGTAGCTGACTGACTGACTGATGTAATGGTATATTTCTAAAGTATGATAGTAATTAAATGATAAGAGTTGTTTATTGCTTTGTAAATAGTACAGAATGTTTTATTCATAAGTATGTCAAAGGGGAATAATTAAAACTCCGCCTGTAGCTCTTCTAGAGATATTGGCGGTCCCAAGCCTTGGTAAATGAGGAGGGTCGGGGTTGGGGTCGGCAACCCTATCCCGTAGAAAGAAATCTTGCTGAAAATAAGTCAACCAGATTAAACAAATTAAGCTAAGTGGAGTACCTGAGAAAATCGTCAACATCATCCGGAATTCATATGACGGACTACATTGCAAAATCATGCATGGAGGGAAGCTGATAGGTGCATTCTAAGTGAGGAACGGAGTCAGACCAGGCTGATTATTATCCCCCTTCCTCTTTCTTCTGGTGGTCGACTGGATTATGAAGCCCTCAGTGTTATATCCCAAAGTGATTTATGAATGTTAACTTTGAGAATTATTTATGGACCAATATAATATGTATATTTCCTATTGTATAATTGTTAAGTAACTAAACTATCCATATTCGTATCCCTCTTATTATAAGCTTTATTTTGACCTATTGACTATTATTATACGATTTACCATTCTTGAGTTATCCCCAGTCTATTAATTACTGTTCCCCCTATTCACAGCCACATTTAGCCAAATCTTGGACAATTGTTATTTTCTATTTTATGGTACGATGTGGTCATTTTGTTTCGCATATAAACCCAGTATGTTTAAGAATAATGATTCACATTGCAGAGGCTGTTATTGGTGTTCTGGACTTAACTGGCTGGGCTAGGCACATAGCAGAACTTATAAGTACTCACGATTGCTCATACGGCTTTTGTGTATCATTGCTCTGATCGATAATTCACACGTCTCTGACTCACGGGAATCATCTCGCCCGGTAGGTAGTTAAGTAAAGTAAGTGATAAGTAACCTACAAAATTCATATCGCGCGATTATTTATATTGTAAGTGAGATTCAATCATTATATTCTTTGATATGGGGTTTCGTCCTAGTGAGGACTCGCCAGCTGAACGTTTCAACGTCTCATACTGAAATTCAAACCCTGTACTTATCTCTTCAAACTCAAACTCGTTTCCCATCAAGGTGAAGAGTTTATTTAATCTTTAACTTATTCGACGAGTTTGAATTAAATTGTGAAGTTTTGTATCTTTGCTCCGTTAATATTCACAACTAAATTTGATCAGTCTCTACTGTTATATGTGGATACCAAGAATTTGTTTCCATTGGCAATATTGAGGTATCTACTTAAGATGCAAATATAATAACATGAGGCAATTAATTATAGTCCTGAATATCAATTACGGGAAAGCAAGTACGTTTAAAAGAATACTAATCACTGTATTAAATATTTTGTAGATGAACACCGTCATCTAATTTTCCTCCATTAAAACAGTGTTTAAGCAGAAAATGTTATTCAAATGTTTATTTATTTATAATTTTTCGTATTATGTCTCTGAGAATCAGCCATTCAGGGTGCGACGTTGTGGTGCCTGATTCGGTGGTATGATCTCAGGGATTTTAGTCGAATTCATGAAAAATAATTTTCTTTTCAACATTGTTACTTAAATTCACTTAGTATTGTTTGTTTGAATCTTCCCATAGATGTGTTAGGATTGCAACTGGTCAGTCTCTCATTAGCATATGTGCATACTGTACGTATTGTCTCGATATAGCCTAAATTCACAAGCATTATAAGCAAAGATGGATAGTGGCTAGCAGTGGAATCCACGACGCGCGTTTCGTTTTATTTGCGACTCGTCAGCTGGATTTATTTGCATCTCAGAGTTGATGTTCACTCTGGACTCGAACCCAGTAACTTTCTCTTCAAACGCCATCGAGTTATCCACTCAGCTACTGAGCCCTGATAGCCACTTGCTTGTGCGATGGGGTGAAGTTTGAATTCACTTAGTATTGTTTGTTTGAATCTTCCCATTGTTACTTGAATTCTGTACTTACTTAACCAAAAGCTAATATTTCATGTTTGTTTTCAATAATAATAATAATATTAATTTCATATTAGGAAACTATTAAAGAAGTTGAACGGTTAGTTCATTTACTTACAACTGGTAAATATTCTGATGTTAATAATGATGCACAAATGATACTCAACGATATGAAGGAAGTGAGTTTAATTGTTTAATCTTTTAACCACTTAAATTTTTTCTGTTTAGATTATTCATTTTTAATTGACATAAAATTCATGTAAATATATCAGATAGTAGATGATTGGAGACAATTAGTATGAAGCTCTATTCTAATCGAACATCGTTTGTATTGAATAGGGCAGTAACTATAGTAACTAAGATATTGACCTGTCCACGTTGCTTTTCTAAAAATGGATCGTTTGATTCAGCCATCTTCTCGTCTACTTAAAAGTATATCGAGGAAGGGAAGCTAGTCGTTCTTCTTCTCTTTGCATAAAAGTCTGGTGTGGTTATGGAGAGTGTTTAGTTTATTCAATAAACAAATCATATCGTCCTTTCTTTCACAGATAACTAAGATATCCACGTATCCCTTATAAAAAGACATGCTCTCAATTAGGTCTTCATCTAGATTTGCAACATATGTCATGAACATATCTACTAATAATGGTCCTAAGGAACTAACCATAGCAACCTCATCGATCTAGCAAAAGTATTCACCTTCAAATATGAACTGGACTTTGTCAGTACATAATAGTGCTAAATCTTTAAGAATTTTTAAAGGAACAAGTAATTTAAGGTTATTCAAAGATATATGGTCACATAATATATCAATAGTCGTTTTCAAAGGTACATTTGTGAACAAATAATTCACGTCAAATGAACATGTCTTTTCCTAATTGACCTTTTATTTTTATATATAAATGTTCTTAACAAGTATATGTGTGATCAGATTGTTCGAAATGTATTGCGCTAATATATCACATAGTTCTGATAATCTTCATCTTCTTATTACACTATATCGAAATGAAATGGCCCGCATAGCTCAGTGCTAACTTCTCTGACTATGAAGCTGAGTGACACGGGATCGAATCCGTCAGGGAGCACCAGTTCCCTCAATATTACAGGTACACCTTGCTGATGAGTGTCAAATAGCACGAAACCCAGGCCCCAGAATTTCCTGTTGACCACCTCCAACCACCATCTTATCTCAACATAATGCACGCTGTGTAGAGCCATCTAGACTAGTGGCCACACTGCAACTTGATAGATAGCATTCGACCAGCACTAAGAAGGACTTGATACGCATGACATTGATCACCACCCAGTGATTAATCGATTGTGAAATGATTACTTTAATTTAGCCTATAGCTTATAATCTATACTTTCTTCATCTCATCTCAGTACTTTAAATCCATAGATTACTTTCAATTCGTAATTATGTTCATAGTTGAAAGCATGAGTCAATTGAAGCTAGACCACCATAGAAAACTTTGAAGCACTGGACGGCCGTTTCGTCCTATTGTGGGACTCTTCAGCAGTGTGCATCCATTATTAACTATGTGATTATATAACCTTTTTGTTTTCTTCTTTCATAGCCATATTGTTATGTTATAAAATTGGAAAGTTTTATTCATCAACTTGTGAATCAATATCAAATTGTTGAAAAATGTAAATATAATGAAAAACAATTTGATAAGGTTAAAATTAAAAAACTAAATGTATCCCCATCGAATAAATCATTCATTAAAACAACTATTACATCAGATGATAATACAATTCATATTAAAAAAGATTGTCATGGTAACTATTATAAACCCAAATATTTTAATGAAACAAATAATGTCTTATTATATATTGATGATGAAATGAAGAAAATCAATTGTCGATATGATGCATGGCAACTAAATTTAAAAATTGATACACTTAAACAGGAGTTATATAAATCAAATTTAGGAGAAGTAAGTAGTCAATATTTCATTTTTATCTTATTCATTAATGAGAGATTCTTTGATAATTAGTTTAACTGATATGTAATTTTTATCATAAGTAAATATCAGTTGATGATAAGTCTTGTTAATTGAACGCTATACTCGGATCCTGAACCAGTTTCGTAAACCCCAAGCTAAATCTACACAGCGACTTGAACACGACAGAAAAGGAGCAAAGTATGCGAGAAACACTTTAATCCAAAAGCTCATTTATGTACAGAAAATATATAGGGTTTTTATAGTATTTTAGGAGACCTTGGGTTTTCCTGAAAATTCTGGAATGCTACTAAATATAGTAGCAGTTTGTTATTTATTTATTTCAACGCATAAATATTGGTACCAGGAAGCACCAAATACATGTGCGCCGCACAAATCTCATTTGATTTGTGTGAGGGCTGTGATACTGCTCAGGTGCCCAAACTGAAGTAGGTGGTTTTCTTAGGGGACCACATCCGGAGACTTTGGCCTAAAGGTCTGATCCACAAGACAGTGGAGCATCGTAAGGAGATGCAGTCCCATGGTAACCGATTGTTATGTTTTTGACCTTGGCTGTGGCCAATTGTTATGACTTGATCAAGGTCGTCGCTGATTTGTTATGACATTACGAATTTAACAAGGACGTAAGTCGCGTAAATTATCCACCAATAGAATACGACTTCTACGACCTTCACACTGTGACAATGACGTTCGATTAGTATGAGTAATCTAGCGTCCTTATTGGTCCTTATCCGCCTAACCCGTCCACTTGAGTCCAAAACACCAATAGCAGCCACGGCGATACGAATCGTTTATTTCAAGCATACTTTGTTTATATATCAGACAGACAGGCCACATCATACCATAAAATAGAAAATAATATTTGTACAAAACCAAGCCAAATGAGGCTGTAAGCGTGGGAGACAATAATCAATAAACTGAGTATAACTTAGGAACAGTAAATCATACAATAATCAATAGGTTAAAATGAAGCTTACAATAAGATGAATATATATATATAGATAATCCAGTTACCGAATAGTTATACAATAAGAATGATAGTCCAATAGTATGTCCTGCAAGTTACCCGTACTTATGTCTTCGCTACTACATAACACCGATGAACAACAATTGATTCATACGCCATTTTTTCCCACAGAATACTGGAGCCCATGTGCACCATTGATTGGGAATGAGGGTTTTCCAACTCCGCTAGGTGGACTCGCCGTGTCCACCGACCCGGTTAAGGCGCTGGACATTCACTTTTCGTCCTCTAAATTTCGTAAACAACAGTAATGCCACGAGAATGCAGTGAGTAGGACTTCCCTGATAGAGGTTGTATATTCGCGTGGCCATGTGAGAGCATTTGGAGAGGGAGAACAAACCCTACCCACTCTCGGCCGTACCAGAGCATTTGGGGGCAATATAGTAGCAATGTAGTAATCAGCCAATCAGAAACTCTACATGTGACTTTTCATTTTTGTGATGTTTCTGGCAAAACTTCTAATCAAACGGTGATTAAATAAAATGCTTCTTAATGTTTCCTGAGCTTATCATGTCTATTGAGATATATTTTCAGAATCGCCCCAACAGTCGGAATACAGATGAAAAATACAAGACACTGAAAAGTTATTCTATACTAATATAGGACACTATTCCATTGAATATCTAATAATATCTTCAGTGATTGAGTTCAGAATCTTTTATTTGGAATACGGTTCACCGTGATTTTAGATACACAACTTCTTTGTTTCAGCTGATAATATCTGAAAGGTTGAGTAGAGATTTCGGCATAACACAAAGTAAAAATTCTTATGAAGAATAACAACAGTTTAATTGAGACTCCTAAACTATACAGATTGATGTGAGATTGAAGTTGATAATATAATTTTTCTAGTACTTACGGCTTACCACACTAGATCAAGCATGTTTTTGAATCTTCTTAAATGTGGCTGATATTAAAGGAAGATTGGTAGTTATTTGAAATGCCAATATTAATTCAGCTTAGTAATTACATCGATATGTCACAGTCATACTGTGAGACAATAAATAACACCGAACATTAATGGAAATACAACTTCTTAGCCGAATAATTACGTCTAATTAATAAAACGTTATCGTAAAAATCATTAGCATGCAAATGCAACTATTAGTTATTTGGTAGGTCTCTGTACTGAATACCTGCTTTCTTATTGTAATTCTGCTATATAGTGATGTAAAACATTTATCGTTCTCTGAATGTTTTGTTTGATCATTGTAATACTGATAACTTTACTCTGATTATTGGATCGATAAACATGCATATTGGTATAGGGAATTTATGGAGATTGTAGTACTTTCACCATTGAAATCACGAAATGATTTGAGCTAGACCATCATCAGAAACCTGGAAGAACTGGATGGCCGTTTCTTCCAAATATAAGACTCCACAAGAGTGTGCATCCACAACGTGCATGTGAAAATCGAACCCAGGACATTTGGTCTCACGCGTGAACGCTTAACTTCCGGACCATTGAATCGGCATCCAACAGTGCTAATGTCTAACTTCAACTAGCCCGTACATAGACGAAACGATCGTCCAGTGCTTTCAGGTTCCCGGTGGTGGTCTAGCTGAGATCAGTTCGTGATTTCAACAATGAATATATATATTAACTACATTAATAAAGAGAACAGAAAATAAAATTTATTTACCATTTAGTATCAGTGAAATGCGTTCGCTATCAATAATAAACCGACGATAATTATGGTCAATAATCGATATCAACGAAAAATTCATCTAAAATATAAGAAATTCGAGGTTTCCTGGTTAATATCGGATCAGAACAAAAATTATGTTCACATTTAATTAGTCTCTCAGCAATCCATTCAGTTAAATTAATAATAATATCTCAAATACTACTGATGCATCCTAATGAGTAATGAATATTGTTTAAGTAGAAATTTCAAAATTTTTGTAACTTAGTATTCTAAAAATATAAAATTTTCCAACAAGATTTCTCTTCAATATCAGTCAGTTAACTAAGCCTTATGGATGGTCTAACTTCAACCAATCCACAAAATTGAGCAACCGTCTAGAGATTAAGCACTCGCGCATAAGACTGATAAGACCTAGGTTACTAAAATCTTCACAAAACCCCTTTCTGATAAATTTTGTATGACATTAATTGTTCAATATGAGTATTCATGTACCGTCCACCGTTGTCTTCAATGAGTTACTATCTCACAATAGACCCGGTTGATGAATATACATGTCCCATAATTTGTTTTTTTTTCTTTTTTTTTTGTTTGAAAATTAGATATCTTTAAATATGTTCAATGAGAAATATCAAAAGCTTGTTTCATTATGTAATAACCTAAGAAATGATGACGTAATCATTCAATATAATATGAAATGGTTGAATAAAATGAAAATATTGATAAAACTCTTAAATTATATTTTGGATACAAATTTATTGGTTAGTTAATTTATTTTTATTACCCCCCCCCACCTCTTTTAAAGTATGAAAGTTGACATTGTATCTCAGGGTAATTTGAAAAAAAAGCAAAAAGGAAAAAGAATTGTGTTAGTTATTCTATCTTTATTTAAGATTACTTAGCAGTTACTTATCAAATAATCAGAAGGGGTTTTGTGGAGATTTAGTATATTGATAGTTGAAAGCGTGAGTCTCATAGTAGGACGAAACGGTCGTCCAGTGCTTCCAGGTTTTCCTTGATGGTCTAGCTTCAATTGACTCACGCTTTCAACTCATCAAATAGTTGTTATATCCTGAGAATTAATACAATTCAGAGGTTTATACTGTTTTCCATCAGACTTTAAGGTTATGAGTTTAACATACGTAACAGTGGATATTATTCGGGATATCCCAAACTTGAAAAGAACAGTACTTCATGGAGAAAACTTTATTTTTAACACTTATTCAACTATAGCAATGATATTTTTAAGTGTGATACTTTATTATAAGTATGCTAGACTGATTGATAAGGTTAAGATAAGTTTGAGTAGCTCTCTATGTAATAACATACTTGAAATATTGTAGTAAGTAATTGTTGTAACGAAAACAAGAACAGATTTTTGTGTTGTATTCAGGTACCACGTGATCGGGCTGTTCCTTGTAGTATCAGTTATATTACCTAGTTCGAGTACTGACTAATCCATGTAGGTTGCCCCCATAGGATTGATAATCATCTATTACCTAAGGACCTAAATTGCATCCTTTGTCCAATAACTCAACGATTGTGAGATAACGACCGATATTAGTACTTAACATGTATTGGTCTAGGATGGAGTTTCCTATGCCCACTTGTTCAATAATCGGATTAGGACAAGAACACAACAGACATATAACTTTTGTTGTACCATTCAATTCATAACTCAAACTAGTGTGATAATATAGGTTAAATTCCAGACCACACATCAGCATAAATAAAAAATTACAATTCCGGGTCAACCATGTCATCAGTGAAAATTTACTTAACGATCGGTTCATATTTAACCAACGTAAGGAGGATAAAACACAGAACATTAATTTATGCGCAAAACAAATGTTTAAAACTATTATAATATAACGGTTATGAACTGATCGATGTTAGACCACTGTTGAAAACCTGGGGGCACATGATGACCATTTCTTCCCAGTATGGAACTGCTCAGTAGTGCACATCCACGATCCCATACACTAAAATGGAACCTTGGAACTTCATCCTCACACAGATGCCTAGGCTCTAGACCACAGAGCCGGCATTCGATGGTGTTATGCTTCGATAAAACTCAGGAATCTCTACAACTCTATACTGATAATTATCATGTGCTCACTAGTTACTAGCTTCAAGAGGTGAATTTCAGGAATGAAGCGGTTTTCCACCGAATACAATTTAAGATGGACCATACTGATACAAAACGACTATCCAGTGCTTCCAGGTTTTCAACTGTGATCAGACACTGATCGGTTCATGATTTCAGTGGAATGTATGTTATATTTAATAAAGAGGAGTGTTTTTTATTAGGTTCACTGCGGCAAACACCGAAATTTGACAAATAGTATACAATTTCTAGCATATAAAATTGTTTCTCTTCTATTTGGATCTATACTTGATTAAACTGGGAAATGTACTAGGATCTGAATTTAATGTTGAGAGATTGCGAGAAGAATCGTACGATTTCATCCGATAGAATCCCGAACATGATATTTCTATATTATTAGTATAAAGTAGATGAAAAACGGTTACCGGTTGAAATCAGGGTTCAGGTTTCATCCTGTTCGGGACTAGTCAGCTGAATGTATTTCATAGTTGATATCCATCTCAGGACGCAAGCTCAATCCCGTTCATTTCAAAAGCTATTGCGTTATTCACTTAGTTACTCAGTCTAGATAACCCTTTACTTGTGTAACAGGTATGAGTTTTAGTTCCATTTGAAATGGATCGATTCCGACAAAAATTAACTGCTTCCTTAGGCTATAATCTACAGTGGAATCCAAGATGCACATTTCATCCTCTTTTAGTCACACTATTTTATTTATTGTTTATTTAAACACATAAATATTGATATGAAGAGGCACCAGATGCATATATGCGCCACACAAATCTCATTTGATTTGTGTGAGGGCTGTAATACTGCCCGGGTACCTAAACTGAAGCAGGTGGTTTTCTTAGAGGGCCACACCCCAAGCCTTTGACCTAAAGATCTGATCCACAAGGCAGTGGAGCATCGTGAGGAGATGCAGTCCCATGGTAGCCGGTGACCAACAATAGGTTCATACGCCATTTGTTCTCTCAGGATACTGGAACCTATGTGCACCATTGGTTTGGAATCAGGGTTTTCCAACTCCTCTATGTGTACTTTCCGTGTCTACCAACCCAGTTAGAGCGTCGGACATTCGTTTTTCGTAAACAACAGTAATGCTACAAGAATGCAGTGAGTAGGACTTTCTTGGAAGAGGCTATATACGCGTGGCCATGTAAGAGCATTTCGAGAGGGAGAGTGGACTCTCTTCACTCTCGACCGTACCAGGGTATTTGGGCGCAATCATACTACTTGGATTTATACACAATACAATTTTCATTGTTAGCAACTGTTTAAATGTTAATGCTATACTAAGTCTTTAGTAATTAATACATGAAGGCTTGTTTTGATATTTTCTTCTAATTGTATAAAAGAAACCATATCATATAAAGTAACTTTAATTGTTTTCATAAATTTTTCTTATTCAAGTCATTCTCATCAGACTACTGGAATCATTGTTCAAAACTATTCAATCTATCATCATTTACTATAAATTGGAAACATTGTACAGTGAATGATTTAATAAAAAATTCTAAATATAATTTATTAAAACAAAAATATAAATTAAAAGAAACTTGGCAAATATTTCAATATTTATTATCGATTCAAAAAATTAAAACAACCATTGAAACTCAATTCAAATCATTAAATATTCAATTTATATTAATGAAATCAAATTCATCATTGATTAAATCAGTTCATTCATCATTTCGTAATGAATATATGAATCAAATGAATCAGGTACTATGTATTTATGATTCATATCTTTTGAAGTAACTGATTTGTTAAGATTTATACTTATTTACGTGGTGACGCCTGTTATCCCTAATGAAGGAATAATAGACTGCCCACCAGTATTCTCTATCCAATCCTGTCCTGGAAAATCTTTTACAGTTATTTTCAGTTAACATTCATCCTTTTCATATCTGTTTCTATTTCCCGGCGTAATGTGGTTTTTGGCTTTCCTCTTTTTCCGCTTCCCTTCACGATTCCAAGTTAAGGCTTGCCTCGTGATGAGTTTGGTGAATTCCTCAGTTTGTCCAATTCACTTCCCACGTCTTTTCATAATTTCCTCTTGAGCTACAAGCTGGTTTGTCCTCTCCCATAGTAAGTTGTTGCTGACAGTAACCTGCCAGTGAATTTTGAGTATTTTGCTTAGACAACTGTTTATAAATATTTGTACCTTCTTGATGATGGTGGTAGTAGTTATCCATGTTGCAGCTCCACACAATATAACTGTCTTGATGTTCTTAATGAAGATCCTCACTTTGAAATTAGTTGACAGTTGTTTTGAGTTCCATATGTTCTTCAATTGTAGGGTTAAGATTCATCATAAATCTTTAATGTTTAGTTCATTAGACCTGTTAATTAACAAATAACTAGCCGTTTTAAGAAACATATTTTAATAAATATCTTGACTATTTAAACAAGTAATTTTGCAAATATTCGAGAATAAATTAGACTGAACTTTAATAAACGGATAAGAATTATGTACACAATGTACGTAAATTAGTGTCTTTATTGTAAGTATATTCGTTAAATACTTGTTATGACTTTCAAATGATATACTAATTTAAAGAGCCAATCTAGGATATATCTGAGAACAGAGACAACGTCAGAATAGACAGTAGAAATCAACTATTTCGCTAGTGGAATGAGGAATCTGATATGGTGTGCAGCTGAGTGAGAACCGCATATGAAATTAGCTCTTTGGAGCATGTATCATCACTAGTTGAGGTGAAATTATATTACTTAGTCAATTCGTTATACCTGTTGGTCATCGATGCTTAATTGTATGACATTCTAAGACTTAGTTAATACTGTTAGATACTATTAATCTCAATTTAGACAAATCTGACTGTAAATGAATCATTTAAAAAGGCATTGTATCCATACATAATTTCAATTAATTGTTTTGAATCAAACGAACATTGATCATTAGTCTTTGTGTTCTCACTAAACCTCGTCGAAATCGATGTTTCAGTATCAAGCACAAGTCAGTCGAACAATTTCGTAGGGATAACAGTGATAGACATAACAGAATTAACAGAAATATCCCAATTATAAAACAGAACTTAGAACAACTTTATTACATTCCCATGGTAAGAAGAATGTAAACTAAAGTTTTTTTCAGACATATAATCTTATATGTTTGTAGAGATTTTAATATTAAACCATTACTGCGAAAAAATTTATTCAGGAGAATTGAGATTAATATTTGAAAATGTCTTTGAAATGTTTTACCAGGTCAGTCTTATACAAGTGCAAGTTCTCCGAAGTTTAGAAATCAAATTACTGTATATCGGTTAAGTCAAAGCAATGTGACATGAATTAGGCACGTACCAAATACAGGCTCATGTACTCAACTTTGAGACGAAATTTAGTTGTATGAGGGTTAGTGACACTATCTGGTTGTCCAAACCACAGTAAACAAAGAGAAATTCAACGCTACGACCTATTTCCTAAATTCAAGTGTTTTAACCACTCAGGAAACACATAACATATTCTTGGTCTGTTTAATAATCACTTTTATTAATCTACTCAAAAGAACAAAGTATCAGTTACTAGAAGAAAAATTTAAAAAAACTCACTTCTCTCTCAAGTTAATAGTGACGTTTTTGTTCAGGAAGACAATGAAAGCTTTAAAGTTAAACCATCCAGCACGAAGAACGAAACCACCAAATGGAGTCATGAGTTCACGATGTTAAGGAATCCCATATTAGGATGTAAAGTAGTTGCACGGCACTCGCTAGTTTTTAATAGTACCTTAAGATCAGCCCATAAAAAATACAATTTATAACTTAAATCCATCCCCACATAACTATTAACTAAACTGTGAGTTTGATAGAACACTAATATGGTGATTTCAATCAAAAGAAAATTACATTTTTTCGATGAATGTTATAACTTGAAGTCTTCGAACTATAACATCAAACAATGTATATCATATACTTTTAGTTTCATAAAAATTGCAGTATATTTTGTTTCCTATTGACTCGAGAATTCATAGAACAGATGGAACATGGCTAGTAGTGAAGTTCAGGACGTGCATTTTATTCTATTTATACGTCTCAGCTGAATGTAAACAACGACCCTGACATGCAGGTACACCTAATCGATGAGTCCCAATTACAACGAAACGTACAAACTGAATTTCACTACTACACATATTCCATCTATTTTGTACTAGCGTGTTATATTGAGATACTCTCTACATGATGCACATATGTCATTCAAATTGGTTATATTCCAGTCAAAATATCAACAACGGGATAATCTAATTTATTTCAAATACAGTTAGAAAATTTATCTGAAATTTATGGTTGCATTTAAGCGTGAAAAATATTTAAGCTTCTACAAAAATGAATCTTTTCACCATGATTGTATTACAGAGTTATTCATCTCTGTAGACGTTTGTGTAGTTTTTCACACTAGTCGTGGTTAATAATTTGAAACATAAGGTGGCTTGGCTTCAGATCATTTACTATCATTATTTATTCACCGTTACTTTGAAAGTTCGGTGTCATATGATGCTTTCATTTTTAAGCATCATTCAGTTCTTTTAATTTATATATTGTTTTGCTACGTTTCCTAACAAAGTCACAATTCAAAACTCTTCTAGTCTGAATTCACTTAGTATTGTTTGTTTGAATCCTCCCATCGATGTGTTAGGATTGCAACTGGTCAGTCTCTAATTGGCATATGTGCATACTGTGTGTATTGCCTCGATATTGCCTAAATTCACAAGCATTGTAAGCAAAGATGGATAGTGGCTAGCAGTGGAATCGAGGATGCGCGTTTCGTCCTATTTGGGACTCATCAGCTAGGTGTACCTGTATCTCAGAGTTGATGTTCACTCTGTGACTCGAACCCGGTAACAGTTGCAGTCCTAAACATCAATGGGAAGATTCAAGTAAACAATACCAAGTCAATTTAAACTTCATCCCATCTCACAAGTAAGTGGCTATCAGGACTCAGTAGCTGAGTGGATAACGCGATGGCGTTTGAAGCGAACAGTACAGAGTTCGAGTCCCAGATTGAACATCAACTTTGAGATGCAGATACATCCAGCTCACCAGTCTTAAATAGGACGAAACGTGCATCTTGGATTCCACTGTTAGCCACTATCCATCTTTGTCTACTAGTCTAATTTAGATCTTATCGAATTCTTCCTTCTATCTGTTTGTTCTGTTTTAAGATTTACTAACTTAAACTGTTTGGTATTTTTACCGTGTTCTACGTTACCTCTTACTGATTGATTTGCTTATCAATCTATATTTTTCCTAATATCCTTTTTATATTATATAAGGATACTTCTGGAAGGAATTCATCCAGAAATGATCATTGTACAACAGAAATCCCTTATCATCCATGGATATTCTTGAATATTGATAATTTAATTGAACAACTATATGAATTAGCAAATAAACTTCAAAGTTTACTGGATTCTGAACTTTTGAATAGAATAAAACAAAATGAAACCATGGAGAATGATTCCTATTTAATAAAGAAATTAAATCAAACAATCAATGGATTATGTAATCTGAAATTAATACAAAATTATGTGAGTATTTTTTAATGATTAAAATATTACTACTGATATTAGTAGTTTTAAAGTAGATTCATTTAATTTTTAGAAAATTTTTATTATGAAATAAAATTAGTTAAAGAACTATTAAAAAAGAAAGAACTAACAAGAACTTTTTTGACGGAGTTTTGTTCTTTGAGCTGGATGGTTTGACCGTGGAGGTTTCATTGTTCTTCTGAACAACATAATGTTATATCCTAGCGAAGACATGAGTACGGTTAACTTCCGGGACATAGTAATAGATGATTATTCCATATATATTCTTATTGTTCAAATATTGAGTAATTAGATTGTGTATATCTATATTCATACTATTGTAAGCTTCATTTTGACCTATAAATTATTATCATACGAAATACTGTTCATAAATTATATTTAGTTTATTGATTATTGTCTCCCATTTTCACAGCCACGTTTGATTTGATCTTTTACAAATATTATTTTCTATTTTATGGTGTGATGCGGTCTGTTAGTCTGGTATATAAACTGAGTATGCTTGAAATAAATGATTCGCAAAGCAGAAGCTGTAATTGGTGTTTGTGGACTCAATTGGAAGGGCTAGGCGGATAAAGGATCAATAAGGACACAAGACTACTCATACTGGTTGGACGAATTTCGGGTAGAAGTGAAGTGTTTGAATTTCGCCATATATGGTTCACAGTTTGTCCTGTACAACTCGATGTTAACTGGTTCTTGCAATAAATAAATGTAATAAATTCTATTTTATAGTTCAAGCCTAATTGAACTTTGGCGGTATTCTTGAATATCTAGGTTATCAATCCCTTCTATCTAAATATTTCAACAAGTTAACTGCTTTTGTTTGTTTTAACTGTATAATTTATTCAGGCTCGTTTATAGAAAGTTTATGAACTTTCTCTCTAAAGTTACAAAAAAGTACAATCAGAGACATTGTACTGGCCGGCAATATGTACTAAAAAGAATGAACATTGTTCAGATGTTGATTCCTGTACTGCTAACATCTAACTGGCGATCACTCAGTATTTATCGTCAAGATCAGTCAAATTATAAGAAAAGAAAAGTTGTTGAAATACTTTGTTTTGCGAATTCTATATTATACCAAAAATATAATATTGAATAAAGCCATTATCAATAATAATTCAAAGTCATTATTAGGTTAGTATCATCGTATTGACTTAGTTTTTAACAGTTAACATCGTGAATAGGTTAAAGCTAGACCACCATGGAAAACCTGGAAGCACTGAACGGCCGTTTCGTCCTATTATCGAACTCCTCAGCAGTGCGCATCCACAATCCCGCACTCACGAGATTCGAACCTAAGACTTATCGTTTTCGCGCGCGAGCACTTAACCACTGAGCTTGCCGGTATCCAACAGTGTTAATATCTAACTTCAACCAATTTGCGAAATTAAGCAACCATTCACCAATGTCTTCAGTGAGTTGATATCTCTCAACAGACCTAGTTGAACTCCACTGGTTAATGCTTCTTACTAGAACTCTAGGAAATACCTCTTGAAATCAGTCACTAGTAAGCATATAATCATTCAGAAGGGGATTTGTGGAGATTTCAGTATATTTCAAAGTTGAAATCATGAGTCAATTAAAGCTAGATCACCATCGAAAACCTGGAAGCACTGGACGGCCGTTTCGTCCTACTATGGGACTCCTCATAACTGGTAGGTCCTGGGTTCGAATCTCACTCGCGAGAGCGGGTTCGTGGATGTGCACTGCTGAGGAGTCCCATAGTAGGACGAAACGGCCGTCCAGTGCTTCCAGGTTTTCGATGGTGGTCTAGCTTCAATTGACTCATGATTTCAACTTTGACATATAATCATTATCAGAAGGGGATTAGTTATTCTACATAGAAGTCATAGTTCCTTGATCAATCAATAAAGTTTCTTTTGAATAATCAAAATTCATATCTAATTTGATTATATTCTTCCATGTTTACAGTGGTTATATTTATATCGATTAAATTTATTAAAACAAAATAATGAAGAAGGTAATGATAGTCAATTTACTATATTAACTATTAATTATGTAAATTTGGTAAATGATCCATTATTAAATGATCAATTAATATCTATTCAATCTATTGAATGGGATAATAATGAATTCATTCAATTAAACTGTATAAATCTACAATTATTTATTGAGATTATGAATTGTAAATGGAATTTATGGTTAACATTAAAAGATGATCTTTATGAAAATGTTAGTATGTTTGAGAAATCAATTGATGAAATGTGTGAGGTAAGTAATTATGTTCAAGTTTTCATTGATTTTGTTTCAATTTATATGAGTCGTTTATTTGTTTTACAAATATGGATTTAAGTAAGTAAGATGATGGTTGGAGATGGTCAACAGGAAACCCTAGACCTGGGTTTCATGCGACTTGGCATTCGTCAGCAAGGTGCACTTGAAATCTTTAGGGAATTGGTACTCCCTGACGGATTTGACTCCGTGTCACCCAGCTTCACAGTCAGAGATGTTATTAGTGAGCTATCGGGGTCACGACTGACCTTCTGTAGGACTGGCATGTAATCACAATTGATTGATCACTGGGTGGTGATCAATGTCATGTGTGTCAAGTTCTTCTTAGTGCAGATCGAATGTTATCAATCAATTAAGTAAGATAAGAAGAAACAATATTGAGATAATGAAAGTACTGTGTAGTTTTGTTTATTTGTAACAGGAAATCTCCAGTAGTCATTAGCTTCTTGAGGATTTCAGTGGTAACTTTCCAGATGGTAACACTTAGTAGCATGAATTTGAATAACAGTCTCTTTGAAATTGTAGGTAAATTAATGGTATTAGATCCCATCTAGCATGAATTAGATGTAAATAAGCATTAATAACGATCTTCTCTAACAATCTCGAACCAAAAGATAGCTCACACAATACTAATTTATTTGCATTTGTACAATACTACGTATTGGTTGACTGAACTCAATGATAGTAATACGTATTATGTACTATTTTGAAGTTTACATTAAGCACTGACACTAGTTAGACAACCATTATAAACCAGAGTGAGACCGGAAGGTTGTTTGGTTCCAGTATGGGCTCGTCAGTAGTATACATCCACGACACTATAGAAGATTAGACCTAGGACCTTCACTTGTCCAATATTTCCTGATTTAAATGATGGTCTAGATAAGGTTAGTCTGTAATGCATACTACAAAATACAGCAGTCTCCACTAGTGTGGCATTAGTCGAATCATTAAACAGATTCTAATCCTATTGCGACATGTGGTGCCTGATACTGATGATTAGTGTTCTCAAAAATGAATCCCACTAGCTATTCGAGTGAAAAAAGCTAGTTGTGCGAGTTTACTGATTGACCAAATCGGTATATATATATATATATCCCTTAAAAAATTAGGCCACTGACGATTGATGTCACATTTATTAGAAATGAAAACCATTTTTCAGCTAATCATGTAACCTTATCATTTAACTAATTTCCGATTGGGCAAACGCATCACCTCTCCCTTCTGAGAAATACATCTTTCATATCAGATTAAGCTAAAGAAGTTGGAACGGATGCACAACGAAGTCATTTTCTTGAAGTTTTCTAAATTATCAGAAGGGGTTTTGTGAAGATTTTAGTAATTTTATAGAGTTGAGATCATGAGTCAATTGAAGCTAGACCACCATGGAAAACCTGGAAGCACTAGACAGCCGTTTCGTCCTATCGGTTAAGGGCTCCGGCTGGAGACTGGTAGGTCCTGGGTTCGAATCTCGAAGGTGCGGGATCGTGCATGCGCACTGCTGAGGAGTCCCATAATAGGACGAAACGGCCGTCCAGTGTTTTCCAAATTATCGAAAAAAATTATTTGATGCTAATCATTTTTTTTCTATTCTAGACATTTCCATTATTTTGTTTATTATCCAAAATGGAAAGGATTGAACTCTTAAGTAATTGGTCCATTCCATATTGTGATTATGCAGCTCCATTGAAATGTTCTGTTGACGACTTTATTGATCCAAAACAAAATTCTTATCAGTCTTATCTAAATACAAATTTAACTAATTGTGGATTAGTCAATCTAAATAAATGGATAAAACGCTTATTTCCATATCTATTAGATTGTGTAATGGTATGGTGCAAAGCAGAGAAATGTTGGAAGGTTAGACATAATGTGATAAACTTATCTATCTATCTGTTATATCGTATTAGTGCCAGTTGTTATATCGATTACCTGCATGCCCTCTTTATTATATGAACCCCTAATTAGCGAGGAGTGGATTTATTGATCGGAGCAATGATACATAAAATCGTACGATCAGTCTTGAGTACTACTCCATCCTGCTATATGCCTAGACCAGCCAGTTAAGTCAAGAACACCAATACCAGCCTTGGCAATATGAATCATTATTCACAAACATACTGGGTTTATATGCCAACCAAACAGACCACATCGTACCATAAAATAGAAAATAACATTTGTACAATAATTGGCCGAATGTGGCTATGGATAGGGGGAAAATAATCGATAGACTGATGATAACTCAAGAATCGTATAATAATAGTTTAGTTACGTAACAATTATACAATAGGAAATAGGCATATTACATTTGTCCATAAATAAACCTCAGATTTACCATTCATAATTCACCAGGGGATATAACATATCTATCTATCTAACTATCTGATTTCTGGCATATAATATTATCAAACAATTTTGATAAAATATAGATATCAACTGATCAATCATTGGAAACTATGAAGTATAAGATGGATACTTCATTTTGATTTGATAGTCTTCATTAATGGCATATCCGTGACGCCATGTGACCACGAAACTGGAAACTTCAAATTTTGTAACAAGTCCTGTAGTAAACGAGAGCACGAGTGTGGACAATCGGATATATTTAAGCTCAAATTACAGATTATCTCACTAAATTCTGATAAGCATACAGCAGACAGTTAATTTGCAAAATAACAATCAATTTTCTCAATCTTCACTGTTCCTTCTGTAAATATCAGTTCATCTTCTCTAATTCCATTGTTAATGCATTTTCCTACCACTTGCACTTCATTTCAGTTCTTTCCTTATCGGTTTTCTGCCAAAATACATTCTATGTCTGACCATCACCATATACTACCTATATAGATATAAGTAGACCACACTACAGTCCGATATTGTTCTGTCATGGAACTGTTATGCTGAAGTTCTTATTTCTAAACTTCAAGCACTTTGTAGGATAACGCCATCTGCAGCTAATATTGTTCCTGAGTAACTGTGTCGCTCAGAACTTGAATGATTTAATAGGTTACTTGTTATAATAACCAAATGGTATTAGCAACAGTTCAGATGCATATTAGTAGGTGAATAAAGCTTAAGAACTAACAATGACTACTTAATTAGTTATAAGTTGTCATTAATCACCGTTTTATAGCGATCTTGGTGCATTAAAAGGAAATATAAAAATAAAGAATGTTAAAAACTGTGATCAAATAAATATAGTATGGTAATTATGTAGAAAATGTTTTGTTATCGGAGATGATCTGAAATAGAAAATTTACATCTTATTATCAAATATCATAGACTGACCTAAACAGATATGGAAAGAAGCAATATCTGTTAATGAACCTAACCATTAATAGCAATGTTTGGTGCTTTGCTATATTGGGGATAATTTGGAAACGGAATCGAGAAATAGTAGATCCCTAATCTATGATGTTTAAAAGTAATGCAGTTTCCTCCAAGACCTATAAATCTTGAGTTCAACACTTGAATATGCTCATTGTTAGAAATTTTTATACTAGAAAGGAGTATTTGCTCAGCGGTTCGGTAGTTCTCAAAGGAACAGGTGTATTTGATGTGTGGTTAATGAGAATGAATGTGATTGACCACTGAGTACAACATGACAAAGCCAACTTACTAACTTACGATTTCTTTTCTATGATTGATTTCTACTCTAGACTTCATCGAGTAAAGACTACTTTGTAACTGTGTTGAATAAAGTATTATCTAGTCTTTACTCTGGTTCTCTATACTCGGTCATGAATCGTATATTTCATGTAATGTGATGGAATTTGTGCATAGCGCATTGATTGTATATCCAATATGGTAATAGAATATTCTCAAATACCGATCGAATTATCGCTCTATGATAGTAATTTCTGGCAAACAGAAAATAAGCCTGTTCATTCATTATATCGGTATCACTCTGAGAAAAAAGAATCGTTAAAATAATTGTATTATTTATTATCATTATTTAAACAAATAAACATTTGTAGAGGGACGTACCAAATAGATATGTGCCACATAAATCATCCAACTTTTGTAAGGTCTGGGATACTCCCCGGGTGCCAAAACCGAAGCAATTGGTTCTCCCAGAGGGCCACACCCAGATCCTTTGACCTGAAGGTTCAATCAACAAGGTAGGAGAGCAACGTCAGGAGATGCAATTCCATGCAGCCTGTGACCAATAATCGGTTCATGCGCCATTTATTCCCTCAGGATCCTGAAGCCCAATGTACCATTGGTTTGGAATCAGGGTTTTCCAACTCCCCTAGGCGGACTTTCCGTATCCATCAACCCGGTTAAAGCGCTGGACATTCACTTTTCATCCTCTCAATTTCGTAAACAACAGCAATGCAGAGAGGATGTAGTGAATAGGACTTCTTTAGCAGTGTATGTATGCACGTGGCCATGTGAGAGCATTTCGAGAGGGCAAGCTAACTCTCCCCACTCTTGTCCATATCAGGGCATTTGAGGACGAAATAATTGTATGCACACTCAGTTGACATCAGCTGATACAATTTTATATTTCATTATTTTTTTTTTAGATTACTGGAGTCATTAATGAATTCCATCAACATATTGAACTATTAAATCCACTCAAATGGATTCCATCAATTAGTCAATGGTTTAAACAATTTTATTCAACTTTACAATTAACATTTTTAAAAATGACATTGAGTTCTTTGTTAGAAGTTGAAAACAATCATAAATGGATAAATGAATCAATTAGAGAAAAACAACTGGTACCTATAATTATATTAGAATTAACTATAAGAATTACTAGTTGGCAACAATTGGAGAAAATTATAATACAAGAAGATAAGAGAAATGAATTCATTGAAATAATGTAAGTGGTAAAATTTAAACTCTCGAGTTCAATTTTTCATAATCACATGTAGATTTCCGATTATCTAAGGGAGTCGTTTATGTTATACAATGTGAATGTCTTGGAAGTTGGGTAAGGAATATTCAGTAGTCTGACTTAAGTCACTAACGTTCGATAGTGTAATAAGAAGTTGAAGACTATCAGAACTATGTAATATATTAGCGCAATACAATTGGAACAATCTGATCATACATAATATACTTGTTAAGAACATTTATATATATATAGAAATAAAAAGTCAACTAGACTGGAAATGGGGGGTAAGAGTAGACAAGTATAATAATAGTAATACAAATAATAATAATGATGATATTAAGTTGTTAAACAAGATAATAATGGGGAATGGTTATCCACCTAAACTTATGAATAGATGGAAAGTTCATGGCACAGTGAGACCTATTATAACCTTGACAGAAAAAAACCCTGCCTACATCACCTTACCACTTAGAAGTGATTCAAATAGCCTTTTATTGAGACAAAGGCTTGAGTCAGTCATTAAAAAGACGTATTACACAGCTTCCAGGTTTTTCCTGATAGTCTAACTTCAATTGACTTACGCTTTCAACTATAAAAATACTAAATCTCGACAAAAAAACCCCTTCTGGTTTTAATTTGATCTTTTTTTTTCATTAAGAGAATACTTCGAAGAACAACTTAACGGCATTATTGAACGAATGAAAACTATTTCGGTTAGTTATGATAATCAATTAAGTTCAAGAATCGATCAGCTCACATGCCAAATATTGATTGGAACAATTTTGGGATTTATCTATTTAGCACAAGGTAAAACTTATTTCTTCATGTTTACGGTCTATAATTATTTTTTGAATTTATAGCATATATACCATATGTATTATCTTCATTTATTCATTTCCATTCTATTGACTGTTTGTTCAATTAAACTCTGATTATGTAAGTGGACGGTTTTATCATCGTGGACTGATAATCTAATCCATATCAGTATTTTTATTGATTACAAATTGATCACAATGATATGGGTCTTGGAACTTTTTCAATAAAGAATTTCAACAAATACGCTAATGATGAACTCTTTCAAGATTACAAGTAAGAAACAGAATCATCAGAACAAAATGGATTAATACTTCTGGAATATTTTCACAGTTGAAATCATGAGTCAATTGAAGCTAGACCACCATCGAAAACCTGGAAGCACTGGACGACCGTTTCGTCCTATTATGGGACTCTTCAGCAGTGCGCATCCACGATCCCGCACCCGCGAGATTCGAACCCCCTCTGATCTATAATCATATGCTCACTAGTGACTGATTTCAAGAGATATTTCCTTGAGTTCTAGTGGGAGGCAGTGGCCAGTGGAGTTCTACCAAGTCTGTTGTAGTGATATCAGCTCACTGAAGACAATTGTTGAACGGTCGCTCAATTTCGTGGATTGGTTGAAGCTAGACATTAACACCGTTGGATGCCAACTTAGTGGTCTATCGGTTAAGGGCTTCGGCTGGATACTGGTAGGTCCTAGGTTCGAACCATCCCGTTTATATATATATATAAACTTTGGAGATAAGTGTAACTATTTCTTAATACTAAAGTCAAAAACCATTTTCTAAAGAAAATTTGCCTAAATATTCAATAACTTAGAGTTATCGATATGAGGTTGTGGAGATTGTTGACTTTTTGTTTGAGATCATGGATAGATCGATTTTAGACTACCATTGAAAACCTGGATGTATTTGATAATTGTTTCGTCTTAGTATGGGACTCCTCAGGAGTGCTCACCCACTATCCCTTACGTGGAATTCGAACCCAGGACGATAGAGCCGTCTAGTGCTTTCAGATTTTCAATTGTAGTCTATCATCAATCAATTCATGATTTTAATCAAACATTTAAAGGTACTTAATTTTTCTGATAATTCTATAAAGGAATCGTTTTATTGGTGTGTTATTACACATTTTAAACATACGAACTTATCCATGAAATATATTTGAATTTTTGTTGAGTACAGATTTAAGAAAAGAGTCAAATTTAGATAAGAATAATTTTATTTGGCAACGGTTAATTAAAACACAGCTTATTACTCCAATATTAAATTATGAAATAAATGACTCCTTTTCAAATGAATCAAATGAATACAATGATATGGCAATAATTGGGATCAAACAATTTTCAACAATTCATCTTTATAAATGGGATAATCAAAGTTTACTAATGAATAATAATACATTATATATACCATTATTAAATACTTCACAAGAATTAATTCAACTTGGATCAACTTTGAATAATCATGAGGTGAGAGATTTATTTGACACAATACAATTCAACAGTTGTTTTTGGAAAAAAAAAACAAGAAACAGACTCGATTCATTGTAATGAATTTTACGTGAAATTTAATTATATTACTTACAATTATTTCTAGTTTTTCTAATATTACATATTTAGAAAAGGGGTTTTGTGGAGATTTCAGTATTTTCATAGTTGAAATTATGAGTCAATTGAAGGTAGACCACCATGGAATACCTAGAAGTATTGAACGGCTGAAGAGTCTCATAATAGGACGAAACAGCCGTCCAGTGCTTCCAGGTTTTTCATGGTGGTCTAGCTTCAATTGACTCAGAATTTCAACTATGAAAATTACATATTCAATTCGTAAGTGGTAGTTGAACAGTTGCATTCAAGGTAAAGAGGTTGTTTATGAGGATATTAACTTCAAGTTATACAATAATTAACATTATGATAACAGTAGCTTTAGATCACTGAGTTAGTTTTACAGTGGATTAGATTATTGAATTCGTTTAATTTGTCGCATAAAACTGTGGTCTGGGTTACTGATATTCACATAAGTAGTATATGATGATGGTCGGGTATTGAATGTATTTCAGTAGAAAATCGATAAGGAGAGAACAGGAAGGACACGCGATTGATAAGAAAATGCATGAACAATTATAATCGGAGACTATGGAAGGATATTTACAGAAGAAACAGTCAAATTGAGACAACTGATTGTTATTTTGCAAATTAACTTTTCACTGTATGGTTCTCATATTTTAATGAGAGATTCTGTAATGTTTTTCTGAGATACATTCGATTGTCCCCACTTTTGTTCTTGTTCACTACAGCACGATAATAAATCAACGCTATAAATAATGTTTGTTTTACATTCAACATGACTAAGTCTCACAGGTCACAACTTTACAATATTCTTATAATGACTTCAATTGGTTCACATTATTTTTGAGAGATTTGAACATATTTTGTCTATCTGTATGACATTCTGTTTTTATTCAACATTAGTTACACTACTTATTATGTTTGATAAAATTACCGTTTGACTGTTGGGGGCATATGAATTAAAACTTATACTAAATTACAGAAGTAAAAATATCACATTTGAATGAGCTTTAATAACAAAATCTTTGATAATTGAATCGGAAAACAGTATCATTTGTAATAAAGAAATAATATTCTGAACAGGTTACTTTATCCAGCATAGTCCATTTGAATAGTTGAGATCATGAGTCAATTGAAGCTAGACTACCATGGAAGACCTGGATTACCATTTCGTCCTAATGTAGGACTCCTCAGTAGTTAGACATTACAACCATTGGGTGCCGGCTCAGTGGTCTAGAGGTTAAGCGTTCGCACGCGAGACCGACAGGTCCTGGGTTCGAACCTCACGAGGCAAGATCTTGGATGCGCACTGCTGAGGAGTCGCACAATAGGACGAAACGACCATCTAGTGCTTCCTGGTTTTCGATGGTGGTCTAGCTTCAATTGACTCATGATCTAAACTATTAAAATTGGTATAATATCCACAAAACCCCTTCTGATATTGTATTTGATTAAATGTTTTCATAATGCAGAAATCATCATAAAATAATGTTCGGAAATAAACATAATCAGTACTAATGTAACTTATTAACTGAAGGAATACTGTAATGATTGTCACTAGTTCGATTTGATGTAATCCTTATTCATATTCAAATCGGATAGATGAAGTAGGGGAAAATATATTCCGTAAACAGCCGAAGTACAAGCAATCATACTAGGAAGAAATGAAACATATTTATACAGTACAAAGTTGTCCTTAGGAAGCATTACAAAATAGCACACTAAAAAGATACAACGGACCAATGACGTTTAAGATATTTCCTAGTGGGAAATGCGTCTCGAAGGTGAAAGGAGCGCTTTTGGAGTGAAAACAAGGAAATTCAAATTTTCAAAATAAATTTACAAAAATAAGTCATTTACCAAGTAAGTTCTGGGAATTTAACATCCCAAACAATATCCTAAGCATCTTGTTGATAGACGTCACGATATAGTTTCGATGACTGCTTACTTAGGACACATTCTGCACTGTTGTGTTGATTTGTTTCATATGTAATGGTTGAAAAACATCCTATGTTTCTCTATCACTTCTGGTCAATTCATACTCATATGAAAATGTTGTTTTTCTTTACTTCAAAGTTTGGATTATTAATTGGATCATTTGGAACTGGTAAACAAACAATCATTCGTCAACTTGCTTTTCTACTTGGTCGTCGTCTTATAGAGTTTTCATCAAATATCTTCCATGATAAATTTGAGAATAAATTGAAAAATGATATTCTTAGTTGTACACGAATTGGAGGTTTATTTTCAATAATGAATATGCATGTAAGCTTATCTTTATTAAGAGTAAATTCTATTTTTCATAGTTTTTTTATATCACTATCAGAAGGGGGGTTTTGTGATTTTAGTAATTTTATATAGTTGAGATCATCAGTCAATTGAAGCTAGATCATCATGGAAAACCTGGAAGCACTGAATGGCCGTTTCGTCCTATTGTAGGACTGCTCAGCAGTGCGCACCCACTATCCCGCCTTGTGAGATTCGAACCCTGGACCTATCAGTCCCGTGTGCTAGCGCTTAACCTCTAGATCACTGAGCTGACAATCTACATTTACGCTTACATCTACACAGAACTCGAGAATATCTAATTAAATGGTTCATTCAGTTTCTAAACTTCGAAAGTGTTTGTAATTAGTTAATGCGATGACAATTGTAGGAACCAATAAATAAATAGCAATTGATATTCATATATCAAATAATATAAAACACAACCATAGACAGGGAAAGTTACAAAGTATGTGAACAATACAAATACATATAGTCCTATTGTGGGACTCATAAGCAGTGCGCACCCACCATCTCGCCTCGTGAGATTCGAACCCTGGACCTATCGGTCTCGCGCGCGAGCACATAACCTCTAGACCACTGAGCTTACCGGCATCCAACTGTGTTAATGGCTAATTTCAACTAATCCACGAAATTGAGCAACCATCGACCAATGCCTTCAGTGAGTTGATTTATCAGTTATGTGAATACTCTCAGAAGTCATATTAAATTGATAACAAGCATATTACACTCATTCTATTGATCAATTTTTGTTCATAAAGGTTATGGAATTCGACGGTTTATCCTAGTTTTGAGCTCGTTTATGAAAGTTTATTAAGCTGTAGAGGTATAAGTAGATCCTAAATATCATTACCAACACTGTACATGGTAAATTCAAATAAACTGAAGACTAGGTGAAGCGTTTATATTATTGGAAATGATATATTTGTCCGTAAGAGAATGTGAAGATTGTTGGATTTCATTGGTTTGATGAACCGATCAAACACTGTAGACCTGAGTTTGTGGATGCACAGTAATGAGGAGCCTCATACCTTGACAAAACGGCTATCCAGTGCTTCCAGTTTTCCAACAGTGGTCTAAATTAGATTGGTTCATGATCTCCGTAATATATTTTTGATATAGTGATGATTTGGAAATAAAATGAATTTCTAACGTCTGATAACTTCATACAAATAAGACATACATACATGTCAGATAATGTAAATGTCTTGTCAGTTAGAGAATATGTGATTCTATGTAAAACATGAGTCAATATAGTGCCTTCATTTATGGTTGTGGTCTGATCTTAAATAAGTCAACTATGACTGTGAATGAATGAATTAACTTGATTATACAGCTAAACCTTTTCGACCAAATAAAGTAATATGTAGTAATATATCAAATCGTTCAGACATTTATCTTTCCTTATAGTTGGATTAGCCTTTTCAAATTATTTATACAATTTTAAGATTAAGCTTATAGTTATTAAAATTGAAAATCTATTGCTAATACTCAATCAATTGATAGATTTTCAAGTTCTGTACCGTTATTAGGTCTTTTTGTGTATCAGTTTGTTGATATGCTAGTTCAGTCTTAAATTTGTTTGTGAACATTAATATTGAAATGGAGGTACATTCAGTTAATGAGTCTTAAGTTAGATGAAATATGGGTCTCAGATTCCATTGCTAGTCACAACTGAAAATATATACCATTCTGTAGCACTGTTTATAGTGGTTGGAATTATCCAATCATTGGTATTTTGACCTAAATATGATTGATCTTGGTTAGGATATGTAAATTCTAACTGAATTGACTCAATATAACGAATATGACACAATTTAGTATAGAATGGATTGAATGTGGCTAGCAGTGAGATTTATGAAACAGGTTTCATTGTAACCGGGACTCATCAGCTGCATGGATTTGTATCCCAGAGTTGATATTCACTCCAAACCAGAACTGATCAAAGTTCAATCGAAATAACATCAGCGGGATAATCCAAATCACTGTAAATTGAATTAAAATTCATATCCGTTACACAAGGTTTTTTTAAACCAGATTCGTTTTTTTAAATGGATAGCGGATTGGTGTTTAAAATGAACGGTACTAGGTTTGAGTTCAAGTGTGAACATCAACTCTGAGATCCAGGTACACCCGCTGACACATCCCAAATAAAACGAAACGCTTACCGTGAACTCCATATTCTTTCTTTTCTATGTAAACTGTCGTGTTTGAGTTTATTCTCTAAGTTAACTATTGAATATGTAGAACTGGTATGAAATAATTTTAACATCTTTTTTTAACAATCAAAGAACTTAAATTTTGGAGAATTGGAAATCGTGCTAAACTGTTTGAATGAAGTTCGGAAATGTAATTTTATGAGCAACGGTCGGATTCAAGTTAGTTTACCGAGGTTTACTGTGGTATTAATATTCGTAATGCAATAAATTTGTACATATCAAAATTAATTGTTATCATGAATTGACCTTACCTGAAAAAATTGTTTCGTGTTGGTTTATGACTTCAAAATCATACTCACTCAATACCTCACATGATATTGAGCGTAAAACATCAAATGTTAGATATTTTCTATTTCACTAAGTTTGGGATTCATTATCATTCACAATTGATTTCTTCATAAGTGAGTACTCTCAATTGGTTGACTTATCGAATTATATTGTTTAAGACTAATCATTTTTACTACTACTGATGCTGTTACTAATTCTACTATTATGGGTTCTTCATTGATAGATTTATCTGACTGTGTTGATATGATTTTTTCTCGTTAGCGTTTATTTAGCGAGTTAGTTTTCTACGGGATGGGATCGCTAACCCCATGCCCAACCCTTCTCTCTTATCCGGGCTTGGAACTGGCAGTAGCCCCCAGAGGGACTACAGGCGGAGTTCTACTGTATGGGAAGAACTACGAAGGCCATCATCCAGAAGATACAGGTATTTATTAACAAGTGTCTACGTAAAATACTTCCGATGCCTTGGCCAGACACTACCAGAAACAATCTACTGTGGGAGAGTGGGATGACCCTGCATTTTTCTCGCAAGCGACATAACAAGCTCAGGGGTCATCAAGGAGCATTTCAACCAATCAGCGATTAATTAGAAGTTATGTGAAGTTATGTTACTAAAATAACGGAAATGGAAAAGTCACATGTGGAGATCCTGATTGACTGATTTATACACTGCTACTATGTTTAGCAGTATTCTAGAACTTTCAGTAAAACTTAAGGACTCTTAAATTACTATAAGATCCCCAAATTTTCTGTACATAAATGAACCCTGTAGTAAAGTGCTTCCCTCACACTTTGTGCCTTTTCTCTGGTCTTCAAGTCGGTGTATAGTTCTAGCTCGGGAGTACGGAACTAGCTTAAGGAAGCGAATATAGCGTTCACAATAGGCCAGACGTAACAGAAAGAACAAACCAGATTTCAGTGGAGGAGGAAATCAGGAACAAGCGCTGGAAGTGGATAGGACACACAATGAGGAAAGCACTCAACTGCGTCTCAAGGCAAGCCCTCACACGGAATCCTGAAGGCCAAAGAAGAAGAGGAAGATCAAAGAGCACATTACGCCGAGAAGTGAGGACCGACATGAGAAGAATGAACGAAAATTTGATAGAACTAGAAAGGTAGGCCCAGGACAGAATGGGTTGGAGAAAGCTGGTCGGCGGCCTATGCTCCATTTGGAGTAACAGGCGTAAGTAAGTAAGTGTTGATATGATGTGAAAAGCGATGTAAATATGTGTCAGTTTTTACGTTGCCTATAATTGTCTGGCTGACATGCCTCACCTTTCTACTAGGAAGAAAAACTGTTTAACATCTCTTAGTTAACAAATGATTACTGTTACGGGAGTTATTCAGAAAAGAAGCAGATAATCAATATATGTAGCTTAGTACAACTCTTTTCTCTGACTAAGTTATCAACATATACTGTATTAAAGAGGTTTAAATTCAACTTACTATTCCTTCTCCAATTTTCTCAAGTTTCTCTAATTGTTTGTGTTCATACATAAATGATGATTTTATAAATTAACTTTGAACTACTCAATTGTTTAATTCATTTCTACAACCTTTTCTTTTCAGTTTGAAGATTTTACAAAGAATCTTCAACAATCTATTGAAAACATAGATAAAAATAGTAAGTATTCACTTTGATTATTCAACAAAATGTAGTTTTCTCCTTCGTTAACTGATTGAAACTAACACATACTTCAAATGAAATGGAATATTCAAATTTAAACAAATGTAACTATATTTGAAAGTTGAAATCATGAGTCAATTGAAGCTAGACCACCATCGAAAACCTGGAAGCACTGGACGGCTGTTTCGTCCTATTATGGGACTCCTCAGCAGTGCGCACCCACTAACTATGTAACTATGTCAAACAGCGTAGTAGATATGATCATTTTGAATGTATGATGAAGTCTTATATCTTATGTTAAATAAGACCTACTATAAAGATGGACTTATGGTGACTGTTATAATCTGTTGTCTAAATTGATATTCAACAGATAAACAAAAGTGTTTTAAGGAAAAAACAGTAGAAATTGTCAAACAATAACATCCGTTAGTTCATTAAATTATGTAATAATAGTTAAGGTTATATTGCAGTGAATGAGCACACGAGTAGGGGAAAATCGAATGTATTTAAACACAAATTACCGACTATCTCACTAAATTCTGATAATCATACAGTGAATAGTTTATTTGCAAAATAACAATCAATTGTCTCCATCTTAACTGTTCCTTCTGCAAATATCAATCCGTCTTCTCTGATTTTATTGTTCATGCATTTTCGTACCGATTGCAATTCATTCCTGCTCGCTCCCTATCGATCTACTGCCAAAGTACATTCTATGTCTGATCATCACCGTATACTACTTATATGGATATAAGTAAACCACGCCACAATATTAGAAAACTGTAAGCCATTTGACAATAGCTTATTCCTCCTAGATGAAAACCATAAGCAATGTAGTCTAAAAACTTATTATAATGACCATCTGACTGGTCTATTTGAAATAAAAAAACCAGTTTTACAACTTCATTCAACCGATAATAATCGTTACTAAAAAATGCATGAAAATAAAACTGATCATCAAACTGAAATTAAGTTAAAATCCATAACATACTTATTTGTTAGTATGCCAACAACCTTTCAGTGACAAATGTTACCATAGTTGATAATTATAATAGGAAAGCCATTATATCTTTAAGCTCAGGTTTTTTGCAAGTCATACTGATGTACACTGAACTAGATAACAATAAATTCTAACTTTGACTGGGACACCTAGTGACCTCCTCAGTTTCCCCCATTTTTCAGGTCTCAGTTTTATCGAAATAAAACCATGTGAGATTTAGTGAGACTGACTCATGAAGCAAATACTATACAGTTGTAGGTGTTATATATGCAGATTTTAAAATAACGTTAACATTTAACGTACTGAAAGAATTTAAGCGGGAAAAACGGAACGTCACATTCAAAAATAACAAAATAACCAGCAATGAACAAAGTTTAGTTGATAAAGCTACTGACTGTGTGCTATATCAGTAAAAGGCTTTCAGTATACATTTCTATTACGTTGAACAAAATCTAAATAAGGAAAAATTGACACTTGTACAGTTTAATGAAATATTCATTAATTTCATTAGTTTGTAATATGTCTTAGTTTAATAACAATTATCTTTTAATGTCAAAAGGGGTTATATGGATATTATAGTAATTTTAATAGTTGAGATGATGAGTCAATTGAAGCTAGAATACCATGAGAAACCTGGAAGCATTGGACGGCCGTTTCAACCTATTATGGAACTCCTCAGTAGTGCGCACTCACCATCATGCATCGCGAGATTCAAACCCACGACCTGTCGGTCTCGCGTACGAGCACTTAACTTCTAAACCACTGAACTTGTCGGCATTCAACGGTGTTAATGTCTAACTTCAACTAATCCACGAAATTAAGCGACACATCTGCATTTGTCTTCAGTGAGTTGATATCCCCCAACAGACCTGGTTGAACTCCACTGGTCACTGCTTCTCACTAGAACTCCAGGAAATATCTCTTGAAGCCAGTCGCTAGTGAGCATATGCTGAGGGGTCTCACAATAGGACGAAACGGCCGTCCAGTGCTTCCAGGTTTTCCATAGTGGTCCAGCTTCAGCTGATTCATGATCTCAACCATTAAAATTATCTTTTACTTAGACTGTCTATATCTTAACCTGGATAGGATAATATTGAAGAATATCTAACAACTCACTGACACTATTTGTTTCTTATATTCATAACAATTAATTTTTCAGGTCACAAATTAATCACTTATCATTGTAATCAATACAATTCTGATTCACAACAATGTTTATTTAATCAAAATGTTAGAATTGATTGCAGTTTTGGATTGTTTGGTACATTTGATTCTCAAAAATTTCAAAATCTTTCAAAAGTACAAAAAGTAGGAAGCACTTTTTTCTTTCTCTTTTATCAATTTATCATCAATGTATGATAAGAATATTGAAGTTATACTAAATGTCCAACTTTGGTTTAAGGGAAGTTGTTTGAATATTAGATTGTGGTATAGATGACAAAAATATGCAAAATGATGATTGTTACACCAGTCTATTATGACTGGTGACTAATGGTAGAGTTTCATTCCCATTCTAGAGGTATCCGACCCAATAATTTAGGAATAGTATGAACATGTAATCCTTGAAACTTCCTTTAAATGCCTTAATAATTCATATTGCATACATAAAATGCCAACAACTGTGGTTAAAACTCTCGACTTTGGCCCTCTGCACTTATTTTCTATATTTGGAACTCATTATCTAGATAAGCCTGGAAACAAGTGTTAATTTCCACACCGGGACTTGGACTCAGTATGCATAGATCAAAACACCGACGAGCTATTTTCTAAGCCACTCTGTCCAGACAGCTACTTACGCTTTTGACAAGTATGAATTATTTTAAAGAGTTTAGATTTTCCAGTTATTTATGGTGCAAACTGTTGACCCAAATGTATCTTGATAGAATTACTTTAATATTGTCATTCAATTTCAAGGTTTAGTTAAGCTGGTTTATATTCCTTAACATCGACAACGGAAAAGTACAAACCCTTACTAATTGAAGTTGGATAGTATAAAAAAGTTTTTATTTAAATTGTCTTTAAAACCTACTGCCGTATAACCGATCTAATAAACTATTTAAAGGATGAATTAATTAACACCGTTGCATGTCGGCCCAGTGGTCTATCGGTTAAGTGCTCGTATGCGAGACTGATAAGTCCTGGGTTCGAATCTCACGAGGCGGAATCGTGGATGTACACTGCTGAAGAGTCCCACAATGCGACGAAACAATCGTCCAGTGCTTCCAGGTTTTTCATGATGATCTAGCTTCAATTGACTCATGATTTCAACTATATAAAATTACTGAAATCTTCACAAAACCCCCGTTCTGATTATATACTTATATAAAATTTACTTTACACAGCTTTCATTCCGTAATGTAACCATTGGACCGCCAAATTATTCATTTATTATACAATGTCTTTTCAAATATTATTTACCGGAATATCAAAGTCATTCAATAATCCCTCGACTAGTCAGTCTTTTGAATAGATCTTTAACCCATTTTAAAAATGAATCAGATCCTAATTACAAACAAATGAATAATTACTATTTATCATTTTCAATGATTATTAAATCATTCGAATTGGCTAAACAATTTTGGTTAGAAAAATTGAATCATCTTCAAGAGATACGTCAACGAACTGCACTGAAATCATTTATGATATTAAGAAAAGAAGAAGATCAATTAGCTGAAGCTGCAATAATATATGGATTAACTAAAGTTTATAGAATAAATTTATCTATCCATAGTATACAAGATAATCCTATAAAGATTTTATTTCAATCTAGCTCAGATTTTAATGGGTTAGCAACAATTGAACAATGCTTATCCATAAACTCTGTATTACCTTTAATGTACAATAATGAAGAATTTTTAGAATGTGATAATAGTATGTATCCAAAAGTTTCATGGGAATTTATTCATCGATTGTTAAGAGAAATATATGTACGTAATTTGGAAATAGTCAGTAGTCAGTTAATAAAGGTAAGCATATACACATTTAAATTATCTTTGAAGTAATATTAGAAAGGGTTTTGTGGATATTATAGTAATTTTAACAAATGAGATCATAAATCAATTGAAGCTTGACCGTCATGGAATACCTGGAAGTACTGGATGGGCCTGGGTTCGAATCTCTCGAGGCGGGATCGTGGATGTACACTGCTGAGGAGTCATACAATAGAAAATAACGACCGTCCAGTGCTTCCAGGTTTTGCATGAAGGTTTAGCTTCAATTGATTCATGATCTTAACTGTTGAAATTATCTTTGAAGTATTACTTCATCGTAACCATTATGGTAGATAATATCATTAGCAATTTATTTATCATTTCTGTCGTGTATATAATGTTTCCTATCTTGTGGCAATACCTTTTTTCTATCATCTTTAACATTATTTAAAGAAAAAAATGTAGAAATTTTTAGAAACCAAAACTTCAAACTGCCTATTCAGCATCAAAGTCTTAAAGGAATCTGGTGGAAGTCTTAAGGATAAATATGGAATATAAAACTTCATTTTATCGAGATAATATATATATAAGAAAATGACTCTTTATGATTCAATCACCAGTTTTAGAAATCACTCTAAAAAATGAATGAACAGTATAGGGTTAGAAAAAAATGTAAAAGAACAAAATAAAGAGTCTGATGTTGGATGTTTCTCAGGAATATTTTGAACAACAGAAATGGAGGACAGATAAGTAATAGACCTCAAATGAGTTTTTCGAAATAGATAAGACTGAATTATTCTTGGTGTTTTAAAAAGAAACTTTATGATATTGTTGGGATGATCGTGAAAATTTCTTACAATAGACATGACAAGCTCAGAAAACATTAAGTAGCATTTTATCCAATCAGCGTTTGATTAGAAGTTTTACTAGAAATATCGCGAAAATGAAAAGTTACATGTGGAGGTTCTGCTTGACTGATTACTACACAGCTACTGTGTTTAGTAGTATTCTAGAATTTTCAGGAAATCCCAAGGACGTCTAAAATACTAAAAAAAACCCTATATTTTCTGTACTTTAATGAACCTTTGGAGTAAAGTGTTTTTCGTATATTTTGTGCCTTTTCTCTCTCGTGTTCAAGTCGCTGTGTAGTTCTAGCTTGGGAGTTAAGAGACTAGCTTAGGATTCGAATATAACGTTCAATCATCAAGACATATCAAAACTGATTGCTATATATTATTAATCAATATAATGAATACATTAAAAGGAATAAGATAAGGAGAAGACCAAAAATTAAAAAAAATACACAAAGAAACTTAGCGCTTATTAGATCGACGTTTCTTTGTCAAACATGATGTTCCAGAAAAACCCCTGAAATCTTGAATAAACATGTTGGTAATTTGCATTTACCCTCTATTTGTTTATTTTCTAAAAATATTGTCTTTTTTTAGATCATTGAATTATGGCAGCTAATAAATGTAAATCGTCCAATTTTAATTATTGGCTCAGTTGGATCAGGTAAAACTACCATTTTAAAAATACTTATTTCTACAATCAATTGGTATCATTGTACAAAGAGTAAAAAATGGAATAAGTATTTATCGTCATTATCTAAGTCAACATCATTATCAACAGATACATCATCATCATTTTCATCATCATCATCGGCATCATCTGAATTGTCATCATCAACACCAACATTCACATCATCATCATCATCAACATCATCGTCATCATTATCAAAAAAATTAAATTTGCCTCCAGTTTCAAATGAAGAAAACAATAACAATCAGGAAATAGATATTGATAACTTAAATTTAAAACAAAATGTAAAGATTTTCAATATACCAGATTCATTGAATTCATATCTGAATAAATTTAATCTTATATCAACAAATTCCCGCTCAAAACAATTTGATATTTATTATAAAATTATTTCATTAAAACACTTATTTCCATATTCAAATGAACATTTAACAAGTTACTTTTTAAGGGATAATAATATGACTGAATTAGATGTTGATATATCAAATATATTAGAAGAATGGTTATTATTAGATTTAAGTGATCAATCTATTGAACATTTAACATTTTTAAATGATGATAACATTTTGAATTTATTGAAAATGATTAAAAATTTAAAATGTAAGTTTGTACTTTGTTGTTAATTTTACTTTTTATGAAGTAAAATGGTGCTCCCCCAAAAGCCTGATACGGCCGAGAATTGGAAGAGTTCGCTCTCCCTCTCCAAATGCTCTCATATGGCCATGCGCATATAGCCTCTGTCAGGGAAGTCCTACTCACTGCCTTCTCTTGACATTACTGTTGTTTACGAAATTGAGAGGACGAAAAGCGAATGTCTGGTGCTTTAACCGGGTTGGTCGATACGGCGAGTCCACCTGGGAGAGTTGGAAAACCCTGATTCCAAACCAATGGTGTACATGAGCTCCAGTATCGTGAGGGAACAAATGGCATATGTATCAATCGTTGGTCACTGGCTACCTTCATTATTAATCAGTAGATGAGTTTATTCACACATTTCAATTATAAGGGTTATTTTTAAAATTAAAGTGAATTGAAGACTTACATTTTATGAATAAACACTTCATGATTGTATAGTTGAAATCATGAGTCAATCGGAGCTAGACTACCATGGAAAACCTGAGGGCCGTTTCGTCCTATTGGGGAACTCCTCAACAGCGGTCATCCACGATTCCGCCTCGTGAGATTCGAACCCAGGACCTATCGGCTTAGCGTGCGTCCGCCTAATCTCTAAACCACTGAGCTTGCCGGCACCCAATGGTGTTAATTTCTATTTTCAACCGATCCACGAAATTGAGCGACACATCCACCATTGTCTTCAGTTAGTCACTATCTCACAACAGAGCCGGTTGAATTTCACTGGTCATTGCTTCTCACTAGAACTCCAGAAAGTACCTCTTAAAGTCAGTCACTAGTGAGGATATGTTGGTTAATATCAGAAGGGGTTCTCGTTGATATTATGGTAATAGGTACTAGGTTTTGATCTCGCGAGGCAGGATCGTGGGTGAGCACTGTTGAGGAGTTCCAGAATAGGACGAATCGACCATCCAGTGCTTCCAGATTTTCCATGATGGTCTCCCTTCAAATGACTCATGATCTTTACTATTAAATTATAAGAATTAGTGATTTTTTTTTAAAACAAGATATTCATTTTCATAATTTTACCTACTAATTAATTATTTTAGTCACCAGAAAATTGTTCATAGAAAAGACAACAATAAATGATTTATCACCAGGTTTCATTCATCAATTTTCAATATTATCAACTGAAATTATTAATAATAATGAATTAAATTGGTTACATTTATGGAGAATTTGGTGCAAACAAAGTTATTTATCATATATGGTTATCAATTCTATGTAAGCTATTTGTAATTTATTTTGTTTCCGGGGTATATGTATATATAAATTCATTGAATAATAATGACAAACATCTAAGATGTTTGATGCAACGGATTCTATTTCATGTAACACCTTAGAAATTAAAATTAAAAGGCAATGTATTAGTCTATGAAGTCATTCACAGTTGATTCGAGCCATTTCAGTTACTGCGAACTGATTGATTGAGGTTCATGTGATGATTGCAATCAGTGGTTGGAGGAGACATTAGGTGATATGGACAAGAACTGATCAGTCATACAGGCTGTTATGCCCCGATAACAATAGTGAATGGTAACTTTGGGATCCATTTACGGACCAATATTATGCATATAATTTTTATCGTATAGCCGCTAAATAATTAAACTACTCATATTCATGTTCCTTTCATTGTGATCTTTATTTTGACCCTTGAATTATCATTGTACGATTTACCATTCCTGAGTTATACCCAGTCTATTAATTGCTGCTCCCCCTATTTACAACCACATACAGCTGAATCTTGTACAAATGTTATTTCCTATTTTGTTGGTACGATGTGATCAGTCTATTTGGTATATAAACTTGAAATACAATGTTTCATACCGCAGAGGCTGTTATTGGTGTTCTGGACTTAACTGGCTAGGCTATTCAGAAAGCAGGATCGATACGTACTGTAGACTGGTCGTACGGTTTTCGTGTGTCACTGTTCCAATCTATAATTCGCTACTCTCTGATTGACGGTCTTATCAAGTCATACATTAACTACGCATCCACTCGGCCCTAAGATATAACACAGGCATATTTATTTGTTTAAACTTCTTCACAGTCATCTTTATGGTATGATTTCGTTTTTTTTTCTCTGTTCACGTTGTTAATTTTTTCCTTCAGAATGTTACAGCATAGTAATTTAGGATTGTTATATCGTGTTATATCAGGAATGGCTCGCCTATTAGTGAGGAGTGAATCATCGATCGGATCAGTGATACACAAAAACCGTATGAGAAGTCTTGAGTGCTTATCAGTTCTGCTATCTACCTAGCCCAGTCAGTTAGTCCAGAACACCAATAACAGCCTCTCCAATATGAATCATTATTCTCAAACATACTGAGTTTATATACCAAACAAACTGACCACGTCCTACCATAAAATAGAAAATAACATTTGTACAAGATTTGGCCAAATGTGGCTGTGAATAGGGGGAATAGTAATTAATAGACTGGGTATAACTTAGGAATGATAAATCGTACAGTAATAGTCTATGGGTCAAAATAAAGCTCATAATAAAAAGAACACGAATAGTTGAGTTACTTAGCAATCATACAGTAAAAAATATACATATAATGTTGGTTCATAAATAGTTCCCAAAGTTACCATTCATAAATCGCTTCGGGATATAACAAGGTTAAAGCCATTTATGTCAAGCTTTACGTTAATTATGATTAACAGATTAACTGAAAGGTTGATAAAAACAGAAATCAAGTATTTTAAAATTTCATAAAGTTATGTTTACCACGTTTCAAAATGTATCTTATTGACCATGCATATTTTGAAATGGTAGTCAGTATTTGACTCTGACGTTGTTACAGTTCTATTAATTGAGGATCCCTTTTAACTATCATCAGTCAATTAATAGTTAATGGATGTCTTCAATTCTATTTCAAAGCAATTTCTAAAGTTAATACTTCATATGATTAACTCATCTTGAATTTCTTTATTACATTTGTTGATGTATGTTTGGTATAAATCCAGCTAACAGAACTCATATACATTCCTATCGAGTTCACTGAATATTACCACATATATAGATGTACGTTGTTTAAGCGACTTTATCTTAGAGACATTTAATTAGCTTAGAATTAATTTATGCTGTGTATTCCATTATAATCAGTGGGAAATTTTCTATAATTCAAACTATGTACTTTTCTTCACCGTTTAAAACATATTGGTGCTCCCTTCTGGAAATTTAAAAGATCAACTATGACATACTTTTATGTACAATTACAGGATTTAGTGACCATACTGAGAATCCTTATTTATAAATAAAGCTAAGCAAATGATTTGTGTACTGATGAAGCCTTACAGATTCTTCGGAAAACGTTTTAAGGCAATATTTTTACTCTTGCTGATGATGTGATTCGATAGACAGATAAGTGAACTATTCAATGTCAAATTTCGATAAAAGTTTGTAAACCCTCAGATATTGCATAAGTTGTTGAAGGCTTTTAGTGAAGTCTATCCCTTGAGAAAAAATAGATATTTTCAAATTACTATTCTAGGACTGTACAACAATGTGATATAATCTACTAGTTGAGGTGTTTGAATTTTAAAGATTTCCAGGACTGTTTTAAGCAAGAGAAACAGAGGTAAAACAAGTTCATCTTTATAAATAAAGAGTATTTTGTGTATGATGAAATTTACTTGCTCAAAAGTTTGTAAAATAAATTATTTATGACCTCAGTTTAGACACTAGTCCGAAGGATTGTTTTGTTTTTTCATTATCTGCTCGATTCTACAAACAACACATTTCAATGATTATTACCCTAAAATGCCCTGGTAAGGCTGAGAGTGGGGAGAGACTACTCTCACTCTCGAATTGCTTTCACATGGCCACGCGTATATAGCCCCTGCCAAGGAAATCCTACTCACTGCCTTCTCTTGACATTACTGTTGTTTACGAAATTGAGAGGACGAAAAGCGAATGTCTAGCGTTTTAACCGGGTTGGTCGATACGGAAAGTTCACCTGGGAGAGTTGGAAAACCCTGATTCCAAACCAATGGTGCACATGAGTTCCAGTATCGTGTGGGAACAAATGGCGTATGAATCAATCGTTGGTCATCGGCTACCATGGGACTTCATCTCCTTGCGATAGTCCACTGCCTTATGGATCAGATCTTTAGGTCAAAGGCTGTGTGTGTGGCCCCTTAGGAAGACCACCTGCTTCGGTGTGGGCACCCGGGTAGTATCACAGCCCTCACACAAATCAAATGAGATTTGTGTGGCGCATACGTATCTGGTTCCCCTTTGTATCAATATTTATGTGGTTAAATAAAATAAATGATTATTAGTATTTTTGATTAAATTTGACTTCATCAAACTTATATACTTTTCTTCTTAACTAATTTTAGATGGGATAAAATTCTTAATGAATTAGATCATCACATCCCATTAGTATTAGATCAAACTTGGGAATTTATAAATCAATGGTGTCATAAAGATGAAGATGATACTTCTGGCCTAATAAATATAAAATCCTATAAGAATGTATTCTGTCAACAAAGTATTAAAAATTCTTTAGCCTTAATGTCTGAACTATTGAATAAATACTTTCCAAGAGAATTATGGGAATTACGTAAAAATAGCATGAAACCATGTAAGTTGTGATAAGTTCTTGTTTTTTAAACTCTATATTTTTTCAGAAGGGGTTTTTGTGGAGATTTAGTATTTTCATAGTTGAAAGCGTGAGTCAATTGAAGCTAGACCACCAAGGTGAGGTCGTGGATAGGCACTGCTAAGGAGTTCCTCAATAGGACGAAACGGTCGTTCAGTGCTTCCAGGTTTTCATTGGTGGTCTATATTTTTTCTCAAACAGACTACTTTACAAGTAGAATAAGTAAAATTAGATGATTAATTTTTAAGGTCTCTTATTTTTTACTGATTTGTGATAATAAGGAAGATAAATAATACCATCCTTAAGCATTTGGAACGGTGAATGTTACTGAAAACAAGAATTTAAGTAAACCCTGAAAGTAGAAGGTATTCAAGTCAGTTTTTTAACGAATTCTCAGTTATACTCCTTGGTAACCATTACTTTATTAAAATTAAGATTTTTTCATTAAAGGACTAAGTGTTTAACATAATCGTTTCTTCTTCAAGAAGAACAAGGCATGAACATTTTTATACATTCAATTACTGTATAAACTATTCCAGAAAGTTCTAGACTTTAAACTTAAAGTGTTCATAATTTGCTTGCAGTTCATCAAACTAAATATTTAGTAAGGTGATGTAGTTGATAGCCAGTCACTGGAACATCTCCTTTCAGTTCATCATCGAATGTCTAATAACAGATCAGACAATAACAAAGACTAGTGTAGAAATGTGAAATGGAAAAGAGTTGCCCCACACTCCCGTACACTAAAACAAAAAGATTCGAGCTTTTATTAACCCTTATATTGCCGTTTTGTTTAGAAAAATATTTTTTTTGGCATTAACTTTTGTTCTATCGTTTTTTTTCACATTTTTTGATCCTACATAAAGCAACTGCCGAACTACATTTTTAAGAATAAAGGAACATACTTTCCGAAGTTTTTGCATGATATAAGACTATAGGCAATTGAGGTGAAACTGTAATTTATGGACGATTGTTGAGCAGCGCTAAAATGATCTTGGAATATCCACCTACTTACTAGTATTGATTAACGGTTATAGATTAGTGTGGGTAATGAGGATAAGGATTTACTGTTGAACGTTAAGGATAGGAATTAGATGTAATTTTTTTCATCGCGAACTGACATCAAATATAATACCAAAATGGTATTTAACCAAATGAGTAAATGAATTTCGCTCCAAAACCCAATATCTGATATTTTAAATCTGATTTATTAGTCCAGAATTTACAGTCTCTCTGCAATTGAAATGAAAATGTAAACTGATTTCACATTTTTATTAGTTAACAAACACAAACTCAGTCTTTTATTCTATCAAATTGTGGTGTGTACTACTTATTTCGAAAGATATAAGTAGTATGTATCATCAATAGAAAGTGAAATGCTTGGAGGTAGAAGGTAATGACGGCCGAAGAAAAGAAGACGAGAACAAAGAATGATTGGTATGGAAAAGAAAGAACAATTGATTCTGAGACGATTGATTGATATTTGCAGAAGGAAGAGTCAAGTTTGATACAATTGTTTATCATTTTGCTAATGAAGTATTTACTGTATGGTTTTCAGAATTTACTAAGGCGTTCCTCATTTGAGTTCTCGTTTACTACAAAATCAATTTATTGTCTGAAAAGTTTACAATAAATGAACATACTCCACAAACAAGGTAATATAAGTTCAGCTTCTTGTACTAGGCTGTATACATTTTCCTACTACTGACCTCTAAACCGTTATCAATGCATGGAGACCTTACAATTCTAGGTTTGTAAACATTTTTGATTTTTTGATTTACCTCCATAGAAGTGTCATATTTTGAATATATATCGGCTTGTGATTCCATGGTATCGCGCATATCTCGACCATTGAGGTCTGAATACTCAATGGATCCACTAACTAACTTTATGTTTCAGTTTTATTCCTAGATGTTACACATGTATAATAGATGAAATCACTCTTATTATAGTGAACAAATTTTAATTTTTAATTTTTAATTTAGCATCTGTTTGTCAATCAAATCTTACATTAATTGATTATTATTGGTCGGAATGGCGAAACATTGAAGATCAACCAGTGTTTTATGAAATCTTGATAAGAAATTTATTTTTATTCTCATTTATTTGGGGTATTGGTGGTGGATTAGCTGGTGATCCAAGATTAAAATCACGGTAAAATAATTTAGTTAATCCATTATACATTGTTTTCGTAAAGCATTCTAAGTTTGTTAACGTATGTCACCTGTGCCGTAGATGAGATATTATTCTTCCAGACAAACGATGAGTATACTGTTAAGCAGTTCACTATGTCCTACTTTACAGGTATGAAACTTGGCTATTAAGAACAGAGAATATTTTTAGTTTACTTATATTCGATGATAAGTGTCTTCGAAGCACTGTTCATGGATTTTGGGATCATCGGGTGAAGAACTCTGAAATCAAACATAGAGTTGATGTACCTTCATCAGCTGAAGTAGTTGGGACATTACTTATTTACTTACTCCTGTTACTCCTCATGGAGGAGCATAGGTCGCAACCAGCATTCTCCATCAAACTAGTTAGGACATATGTTGGTTATATCCGACCATTGCTTACCTTGATGTGCATTCATAGCCATTAAGAGCCAGTAGTGGCCAAAACAAATGTGGCATCAGTTCATAAATTCCTTGACTATTGGAATGACCCGATTCGGCGTGTGCTAATTAGTAGAAAAAAACGCTTAACCTCTAGATCACTGAGTAGGCATCCAACGATTTTATTGTCTAACTTCAGTCGATCCATGGATGGTTGAGTTAGATTATGGATCGATTGAAGTTAAACATTAACACCTTTGGATGCCGGTTCAGTGGTATAGAGATTAAACGTCAACGCTCGAGACCGAAAGTTATGGGTTCCAGTCGGGCATGCGGTATTGTAGATGCACACTTCTGGGGAGTCAGATACTAGGACGAACTGGCCGTCCAGTGCTTCCAGGTTCTCAATGGTGGCGACCTGGTAAATGAGTAGCAGTACAACTAAGAAAGATAAAAGAAAACAGATTTAATTTGTGTCAGTATACGGTAATCAATTAAAGTGTATCAGTACCAAAAAATCAACATTACAATTTGAACAAACTGTTTAACTATCCATAATAAGGAATGTACATGTAGGGTTACATTTTAAAGATTGAAATATAAACTTAATCTATGTATAAATTAAATTTCTCTTAATCATCTCTGCAAGACTTCCTAATTTACGTCTGGAATATAAATTCAGTGAATAGTAGGTTGTAGTTGGACAGGTATATTTCCCCCCCTTTGTATTCCTATTATAAATGTTATTCTACACTTTTTTTCTGTTTTTTCAATCCCTTCAAAAGATACTTTTACTGTATCGCTTTATACTTTACTGTTTCTCACCATTATTTCGATATTTTAAGTTTTCATAAAATCATTTTTGATTTAGATGGGCTGATAAGAAGTGTAGCGAATCAGAATGGCGCAAATTTACTTTAGGTCTCAAAATGTTGATGGTTGACTGACAAATGTGTAACTAACGTGAAAGTAGATGACGATACATTTGAATGTTATCCACAGATTTACAAAATATCCTGAAAGACTAAAAGTGCCATATTCTTAATTCACATCAGCATGTTATTGTTTAGCGATGATTTTATTTAATATCCATACTACTTATCATTACATTATAACTAGGAATCTGAAATATGGATCATAGATTTAAAGGGTATAAGTGAATTGTGTTAGAGTTCTACTTCTTATTTGATGATGCTTAACTTTTTATTGGTTTTCAGGAATTTTCCAGACTAAATCTTCATGTAAGTAAAAGTAGATAGTGGCTAGCAGTGGAATACAGGACGCGCGTTTCGTTCTATTTGTGACTCGTCAGCTAGATGTACATGCATCTGGGTTGATGTTTACTCTCGGACGCGAACCCACTATCCATCTTTGCTTCTAAAGCTTGTGACTTCAGGCAGTATCGAGGCAGTCCGCACAGTATGCACATGTGCCAATAAGAGACTGATGAATTGCAGTCCTTAATAACAATGGAAATATACAAGTAAACAATACCAAATGAATCTTCTTGTATTTTGTCGTTGATCATCAAAAGCATATTTGTTTTCTTGAAATATTTCGGTGCCACTAATAGAATAGAATCCTTGACCCTCAGAATCACAATTAAGGACATAACTGACTAATCTATACTTTCTAGTCTCATAGAAGATAGTCGTCATTTCAGAAGCTAGATGGCGCTGTCTTAAACGGAAGAACCAACGTTGCCGTTGCAAACTGTTCTTTAGTTCCATGGAATTCGTTATTTTAAAACACTTGGACACAAATCTTAAACAGAACAACATACTGTGAGATGAGCATTCAGTTTATATAATAATTACATTTAGAAATACCTCCCTCACAGAATAGTTTACTACGTTACCTAAAATAAGCATGCACTAAACACCTAATTCATCCTAGCTTGAGATTCAGCTGAAGTGAGAACACAACAAAAATTATTAGTTGAATTCTTGAGTCATTTGAAACTAAACCACCATGCAAAACCTTGAAGCACTGGATGGCTGTTTTGTCCTGGTACAGAACTCCTAAGCAGTGCTCAACCACAATCCCGCCTAGCGAGATTAAAAAAAAACAAACAAAATTTACATAAAAATAAAATTCAAATCTTCAAGTTTTGAATGTAGCTTTATAACTTAAAGTCAGTGAATCGTAACACAGCACTTCATATTTATAACTACATTCGGCCTGAAATACTCAAAAGTCCAGAGCTTCCTGTGTTTCATTCACTCCCCTTTACATTCAGCTGATGTTATTTTATAATGAAAACTAATCTTGTAATAAGCAAACTACTCTACTTTTTCATTTTTTGTTTTGTTTTGTTACTATGATATTTTAGATTTGAAACAATAATCTTAAGAATATTAAAGGATTTTATTAGATTACCTAATTCATTGAATATTGATTCCATAGACAATGCATCATCATCATCACCATCATCATCAACATTATCCATTGAGTCATATTATGCAAATCAAATTCATTCTACATCATCATCTAATGAATGGAATAATATTAATAATAATAATCATGAACAACAATGTGAAGATATGGAAGAACTTCAATATAATTTGTTCAATTGTCTTGTTAATTTAAGAACTGGTTATTTCACACCATTTTGGTATACAGATTACCCACAATTACATTGGCCAGAAGAATATGATATCATTAATCCAAAAGAGAATAATTATCATACAAAATCATTCCTGCCAACATTATTTCATGTAAGTTAAACCTTCAGAAATGTTTTTAGAGTTTTATTTTATAATGTATTATGGTACAGATATTCAATAAGATTATGTTATGTAATTAGATCTTATTACGAATAATACATTCTATATATTGAAAGTAGGACTATTCGAATAGTGAGAAAGGGTTTTGTGAAGATTTCAGTATTTTCATATTGCCTGAAGTCAAAACCTGTTCAAGATTTATTATCAGATCATGATCTTTATCATCATATTATTCTAGAGATGTTAAGTGTTAAAACTGTTATCTATTTTAATAGTTTTTTCATGGTTGAAATCAAGAGTCAATTGAAGATAGACCATCATGGAAAATCTGGAAGTACTGAACGGCCGTTTCGCCCTATTATAGGACTTCTTAGCAGTGCGCATCCACGATCCAGCCTCGCGAGCAAGATTCAAACCCAGGACCTAACAGTCTCGTGCTGGAGCACTTAACCGATAGACCACTTAGCTTGTCCGCATCCAACGATGTTAATATCTAACTTCATCGTGAATGCGCACTGCTGAGGAAGCCCATAATAGGACAAAACGGCCGTCTAGTGCTTACAGGTTTTCCATGGTGGTCTATCTTCACTTGACTCTTGATTTCAACCATGAAAAAACTATTAAAATAGATAACAGTTTTAACACTTAACATCTCTAGAATAATATGATGATAAAGATCATGATCTGATCAAAAACTTTGAATAGGTTGTAACTTCAGGCAATATCAAGGCAGTATGCACAGGATGTATATATACCAATAAGAGACTGAATCAATTGTAGTTCTATATAACAATGGGAAGAAACAAGTTAACAATGCCAACTGAATTTGAACAGATTTTGTTATTTCTTTTAAGAAATGTTTGTGATTTAAATATACTTTGCATGAATTGGTTGAAAAGTGGCTTTAATATCACTTTATCATTTGAAGAATCACTCAAGCTCACCTGTATATTACACTTTTAACAAAGTAATTATCATGAGATTGATTAGATTGAATTGCATTATAGTAACCAATGAAACTTTTACATAATTGTAAACATTTATCAAGAATAGATTGATGATACTTAAACTTGATAATTAATGGCAAATAAACTGTAATTTAAGCAAAGATGGATAGTGGCTAGCAGTGGAATCCAGTCTGACGCGCTATTCGTCCTATTTGGGACTCTTCAACCGGGTGTACCTGCATCTCAGAGTTGATGTTCACTTTGGGACTTGAACTCAGTAACTTTCTCTTAAAACGCCATCACGTTATCCACTTAGCTACTGAGTCCTGATAGCCACCTGCTTGTGCAATGGGGTGGAGTTTAAATTCATTTAGTATTGTTTATTTGAATCTTTCCATCAACTCTGAGATGCAGGAACATCCAGCTGACGAGTCCCAAATAGGACGAAACGTGGGTCCTGGATTCTACTGCTAGCCACCATCCATCTTTGCTTATAATGCTTGTAAATTAAGGCAATATGCCCAGTGTGCACACTATGCACATATGCCAATTAGAGACTGACCAGTTGCAGTCCTAAACATCAATGGGTAGATTCAAACAAACAATACTAAGTGAATTGAAGCTTTATAATAGATTTTTTTTGGAAACTCGTTTGAAGTATTAGAGTGCTCAAACAATCGTATTATGTTTTCATGATTAAGTGATTATTTGGTAATGGACAAAATAACTTATGATAAATGAAAAGTTGATGAAATAAAAAAAATTACTTCGTTTTGTTTTATAATGAGACTGTTTCTGGACATAGTTACCAACGTCTATTAACTGAAATAGATGATGATTTGTAAATGTTTTCCTTCATTTCAAAATTGATAGGTTAGATAGATCATTTGCTTGATGTTAGAAAAAGATTTCAAAAAATATATTCAGTTTTCTGTTTAACATTAGTTAAATTCTGTGCTATTAATAGTCTGTATATTTTTAAGAAGATACTCTGACGATGACTTCAGAATTTCAGTTTGTATGGTGATACTGCTGAAAGTAATTTCTAGAATGAACTATCCAAATTTTTTTGTGTTCCACCTATCTGCAAATTATATTTCCTTGTTAGTAACTCTTTTATCAATGTGTTTAGAATAAGCTAAGAGTCTTGTTGTATTAACGTGTGTTTTACTCACTTTTGTGGAGCTATTTATATGGATCATAAAATATGTAATCGATTAAAGGAAACTCATGGATTCAGTTTAGCTAAAAGTGAATATATAAATATATATATATATACCAAAAATCACCTGATCCGTTTATGCCAACTGGCTTCTAAACAGTTCTTTAAAACACCATAGAGTAAGATGTAAGTATCTACTCGAGATACTGTTATGTATTCCTCAACTGTACTTTTAATGTAAACTTTAGACAATGAGTATTTTCAATTCCTATTCTCGAAATTTTTATCAATAACCATATCTTATTTACGAATAATCTACGTAATATTGTGTGCTTCAAGTATTTCAACACTGAGTACTATATCCTTTAATTTACAGTCTAGGACAATACCTTAACAGTTAAGGGACTGGACTGATAAAAAAATTGAAATCATAATTGAACTCTAAAAACTTCAGTCCATCAAGAAACCTACACTGAAATCGATCCTGTCATGACGTTTGCGTTCGCTGAGAGACCTAAAGGTCCTAGGCAAAATTCCTAGTGAGGTCATGAAGATGTGCCATAACGAGGAGATGAAACAACTGTCTGGTGCTCCCTGTTTATTAGTAGTACCTCAGTAAAGATCAGTCTGTAACAAATAAAATATAAAAATTATGTGAATAATTTCGAAAATCAACTAATCAAGTCATTTTTTTATTCGTCACATCGTTGATTCATCGTTGTCGTAATAGACCACATCAATTTTAGATAATACGTAATGTTAAAATGAAAAGTGACCGTTGTAAGGAAAAACTTATTATAAAACTAAGATTTACATATTGGATGAGCTGTTTTTTACAATTGATTGATAACACTATAGTGACTGATTTCACATTTGTCTAATTCCCTAGTTTTGGTCGAATTCGATAAATCAAGTTACAATAATGGTCATCAGTTCAAATAATATAAGTCGTCTGCAAAAAATTAAGATTTTAAATGGTAGAAGATAGTTATCAGATCTCTCACTGACTACAGTCAACCACTTAACAACTGTCTTGCTTTTCAAGCAAAGATGGATAGTGACTAACAGTGGAATCCAGAATGCGCGTTTCATCCTATTTGGGACTCGACATCTGGATGTACCTGCATCTTGCTTTTCATTTCTGTTCAAACAAGAACAGTTTAAATAATCTTATTCTCATACATTTATTTATGCATATATTTATTTATTTATTATAGCTTACAGTTCATTTATTCACTGGTTCATTATTCATTCAATCTGGTCGACCATTAATAATTTCTGGTCCATTTGGTTCAGGCAAATCACAACTAGCTATTGCTATAAGTCAAAATTCAGAGCAATCTAAACAATTAATTGATTCATATGATAATATGAAGAAAAAGCGTACAAGTTTAGTTCGAATACAATCAACTGATTTTCTACATAGAATCATTTCTAATTCACAAAAGACTAGCAGTCAATATCAAAAACATACATCTGATGAAAAAATCAATTTAATGCATAATGTTATCATTTTGGAAGATGTACATCTGATTTCCAAAACAGCGGCAAGTAAGAGAATATATCATTATTAATCATTTGATCTGTAGATAATGGGGTGTATCTAAACCACAATAAACCACAATTCGAATAACTCATTAATAACATCTCTTAACGTTATGATGAGTGACACCCAAAACTTCACTTATAAGAAGCTTAATATATTTTAATCATTTGTTGGTGTTGTACGTTCATTATTCAGTATAAAGATTGAGGATTCTTTCTCATTTTATATTTAGGTATCATAAACTTCAGTTAGCTGACTACGAGCAAAGCAAAACCTGGTACATATGTTCATCGATTTACATTGTTACACTACATAACCATAAAGTGATGAAATAATGATGACAAATACCAGAGTAGTAGAAGTAGTAACAGTCTCAGTAAACATACTAGACATAAACAATAATGAATTTGTGGTACAAGGCGTATGTGATATCATAAACATACTGAAGTGTAACAATTTACTATCAGGTTGTTAATAAAATGATAAAATGTTGAATGCACTGTAGTGAACGAGAACACAAGTTGGGACAATCGAATGTGTTTGAATACAAAATTACAGAACGTCTAAGTAAAATCTGAGAACCATACAGTAAATACTTCATTTGCAAAATGTCAATCGATCGTCACATACTTCATTGTTCTTTCGTTTCTACACCAATCATTCTCTGTACTTGTTCTCTTTTCTTCGATCGTCTTCACCTTCCGCCTCCAGGCATTTCACTTTCTATTAATAATACATACTACTTATATCTATCGACATCAGTAACACATAACATAGCATTACCAAAAAAAGATGAATTGGAATTTAGTGTAGATTTGAACCCGTACGTAAGACTAAATAATTCCTGATTTCAAACGAACCAATATCTTTTTAAATTTTTATTGGCTTTCTATCTGATATTAATTTGTGTTCAAAAACATACGTCTGTGAATAAATGGAAGTTATACACATTAAAAGCATAAGATTTGGTAATATTAAACTATTCCGTTAGACACAGATTTATAAATTTAAACCAAAGGGAAAGGTGATGTCAAAGGAGATATCAATAATAATAAAACATATCTACGCCATTAGGCAGATCAACAACCACACTCCAGTAAGTAGACAGAAAATAGAGGATCCAAGAGATCTTTATTTCTCAAGGAGAGATTTGTATACATGGAAACATTACAGTGCATTTTGTAAGAGGAAAACGTCAATAAAATTAGGTCTTGTAAGGTTGTGGATGCTCAACGCTAATAAATGGAATACTGAAATAAAATGGTTGTTCAGTTTTTTCAAGTTTCCAGTGGTTATTTTAAGAATGACAGTTCGTGATGTAATGTAATAAACTCGGCGATCTCTCTTTCTCTCTCTCGATATATACATATATATCTTAAGTGGAACGAAGCGTATGTCTAATATCCGAAATCTAACCAATATACTGAAGAATATGGAGTTGTCGACGTTTATTTATAACCAAATTTTCTCTATATGTATATGAGGATTTGCGGAGAGTGATAAATTTTTATTTCTCAGCTAAACCACCATTGTAAACCAAAGACCATTGGACATCTGTTTCTTCCTAACATGAGACTTATTAACAGTGTACACCCACGATCCAAACTCAGGGAATCAAAGTGAGAACCCATAGATATTGCGCGAAAACGCTTAACCGACAGAACACTGAGTCAGGATCCAATGGTGAACATTATCTAGCTTCAATCAGTTCACGATATTGTGTGACGATCTTCCATTGCCTGAAGTGAATGATTGTCTCACATCCAACATTGTTGAACTCTAGTAGTCACTGTTTCTTACCAGAGCTCCATGAATTACTTTTGAAGCTAGTAACTAGTTTTATCGTTTATGATAGTATTCTGGATGAGCACTGTTGAAGAGTCCGCTACTAGGACGAGACAGGTGTTCAATACATCCTGGTTTTCAATGTTAGTTTCGTAGTGTCTGGTACCATGTCAAACCTATATATGTTGTTCTAGCTACCTGATGGACCACCTTATTTTTTCTTTCTTGAGTCCCATTTCGACCTTGTCAATTATTCACTTATAATTCTTGACTGTTTTTATATAAGCTCACGTGGTTTAGTCGCTTACACTAGTTATCACATGTCTATGGCCGATTTTTGTTTGGCTATAAGTATTAAGTCAAGCTTTATCAAATAGGGTCGGGATGTTTGCGTTTTCCACTTCTTTACACTTTTAACCTTGTCATTTTCAATGTTTACCTGAATAAATGAGGGACTAAAATCAATACATCCAAATGAACCCATATTCGGCTTCTCATTACCTCTATCACACAAACAGGGTTAGCCTAGGTGTAAACATACGGAATTAAAATGGAAGACTTTTATTTATGGTATATTAGTAGGTTTTTCTTAAAGTGAATGCCATTTCATTGGTTTGAACTATGAATTTCCTCTATTTCATTACTCATCATTACTGTTTATTTATTTTCTTTCATTCAATGTCTCAAAACAAAAGCACAACGAATATGGAATCAAGAATTACGCAATCAATTAACTACTTGTAATTCATATCACAATAAATTGAATTACTCTCAATCAAAATATAATTTTATTCCAATCTTAACATCTTTAGATGATAATCATCAAACCATACAGCTACATTGTCCAACAAAATTAAATAGTTTAATGTATCAATTTGCATATATCCATTTAACAGATCCTTGTTTATTATTTGTAAAAGAGATGAATATCGATGGATTTCATCATGAACAAAATATTTATGGTTTCAGTCCAATAAGTTTACTTTGTCAGTCGATGATGTGTCATGGATTATCAAGAATAAGTGGAATGTTAGTTGAGGTAACTAAAGTTCTTTTGTTTTTGCTTGGTTGAAAGCGTAAGTCAATTGAAGCTAGACCATCAGGGAGAACCTGGAAGCACTATACGGCCGTTTCGTCCCATTGTGGGAACCCTCAGCAGTGCGCATCCACGATCCCGCCTCGCGAGCGAGATTCAAACCCAGGACCTACCAGTCTAGAGCCAGAGCACTTAACCGATAGACCACTGAGCTGGCCGGCATCTGATGGTGTTTATGTCTAACTCCAACCAATCCACGAAATTGAGCAACCGTTCACCAATTGTCTTCAGTAAGTTGATATCTCATAACAGACGTGGTTTGAACTCCACTGGTCACTGCTTTTCACTAGAACTCCTGGATTTACCTCTCGAAGTCAGTTTAAGCATATTCTAAGAAAAATCTCTTTCGTCTCTTGTATCATTAGAGAGTATTTGCCTAATCCTCAAGTTTCAATATTAAATTAATGGGAATCGGCTTTGGAAATTAGTTTGACATTCATTCCATGTCTCCTTTTTTAAAATATAAGTCCCTGTGAGAAATCATTTGATTTTTTCACGAAATTCCTCATGCACTTTTTCTTCCAGTATGAATTTGATTGACTGGTGATAACTGTTGAATGTATTCAAGATCTGATTAAGGCTCAAGTTTTTTTAAGGAATAATAAAATTATCAGCCATATGTCTCCTATATAAATGAAACCTCATAATTACTGGTTGAGGTACCGCATTCTACAGACGGGCCATGAAGCAATCAGAGAAGAAGAGATCTGGTACATAACACATTCCAACTTTATTAGTTCGTCGATAGAAATTTTTATTAGGTCTTTGTGATAACTGCTTGAATCTTCCCGTTGATATTGTGAAGGTACGTTTTACAGACGAATTCCAAATAGAATGAAACCCATCTCTTGGATTTCAATTCTAGCTACAATCCAGCTCTCTTTAAATACTTGTAATCTACATATTTGTTCAATCTTTAAAATACAAGAATTACAGCCATTTATAATCAGTAAATTAATATCTTTATTCAGAAAGGAGTTTTGTGAATATTTTTAGTAATTTCATATAGTTGAGATCACGAGGTAATTGAAGCTAGGCCACTATGGAAAACCTGGAAGCACTGGACGGCCGTTTCGCCCTATTGTTGGACTCCTCAACAGTGCGCATCCGCAATCCCACCTCGCAAAATTTATGCGTTGGTTGAAGTTAGATATTAACACTGTTTGATGCTGGCAAGCCGAGTGGTCTATCGATTAAGTGCTCGCGCGCGGGACTGATAGGTCTTGAGTTCGGATCTCGCGAAGCGGAATCTTGAACACGCACTACTAAAAAGTCCCACAATAGGACGAAAAGGCCGTCCAGTGTTTCCAGGTTTTCCATGGTAGTCTAGCTTCAATCGACTAATGATCTCAACTATATAATATCTTTTTGTCTGTTAATACTCATGCCATTGTTTCTCATTAACTTTATCCAAAAGTATCTTAATATACTGAGCAGGTTGATAATATAGGTAAATTTATTCATCTTAACATTCCATTATATACTTTAATGTTACTAATGTATTTGTCATTTATGAACTCAATGAATAACAAGATGTAATTTAATCATTAACACAAAAATGTTAGAACATTTACAAGTAAAAATGATTTTATTATTTAATTGATCGAAATACATATAATAAGAACAAGACTCGAAGATGAAAGGGAAGAAATAAAAGCCAGGCCTTAATGCTCAAGATCTAAACCATTTGGTGCAGATTCAGTAGATATTGCTTACTTGTATCTTCCCATTGATATTTAGGACTGCAATTGGTCGGTCTATTATTGGCATATGTGCATCCAGTGCGGACTGCAGAGTAGCTACGTATATATATATATATACCAGCCATTAAGTCTCATGTTCGTTAAACTACTTAAATCAAGGCTTAGTCACTCACATCATGAACTTTCATTATGCTTAAGTGTAAACAACAAACAATTTGCTGTAAATTCCTGCCGACTTCATTACTTAAAGTAACATCCTAATGAAGTATATCATGACAATTATAATAGATTTAAACTATATTGTTCAGAGTCCTATTTCTATTACTCAAAAAACTTTAACTGAGGAACAATATATCATTTAGGTACTGCATATGAAATTTTGATTGAATGATTACCTTCAATCATTTATTAGTAGCTTGTCTAAAAAGCAGCTCCAGGTTTTTCAAATTCAATCGTCAGAGTAAAGAACAACGTAAAAATATGATCAGGATTAACTTTTCATTTTATTAGCTGAATAGCTACTGAATACCAGGAACCACCAGATATGGTTCGTCTCAGCATACTATCCATAAGCGGCGCGCATTTACAACCCTATCAGAGAACAAAACCGGGACTTTCAGGTTTCTCGGTGTAAGTTTAGTCATTGGGCCACTTAGTCAGCATTCAATGTTTTGAATTTCAGGTTTCAATTAATTCCAGAGTAATATTCTACTTAATGTTATTAATACAGTAAAATGTTGTATTCTAAAACAACAATCATGAGGACGTAACAACACATTTGTTTTTTCTTATCTTCAAGAGATTCAGCTGGATAATATGGTATATGCATTGTGCTTTAATGAAAGAACGTTGTACTTATGATAATACAAAAGTAGATTGGTTAATCATGCATAAGATTGCATATTCTATGGGATACCACTTGAAAAACTATTATCCATGCAAACCAACTAATGAAATAACATTGAATAGTTCAATTGTATCAGATAATATAAATAGACATATTTATTCAAGATGGACACCTTTATGTAGGTTATCCCTTTTTATGAAATGTTTATTGATTTGTTGAATTAAGGTTAGTATATATATGTTAATATGATATTTACTTTTCAAATTTCCACTTACATGACTAACAGCTTGTTCTGTCATCTATGAATGTGATTGGTTCGAATTCAGTATCATGGAAACAAGGTGTTGGTCATATGTGTAAAATTTCAAATATTTACCAGTGGAGTTCAACCACGTCCGTTGTGAGATATCAACTCACTAAAGACAATTGGTGAACAGTTGCACAATTTTGTGGATTGGTTGGAGTTAGACATGAACGCCATCGGATCCCGGGCAAGCTTAGTGGTCTATCGATTAAGTGCTCTGACGCGGGACTGGTAGGTCCTGGATTCAAATCTGGCTCGCGAGGCGGGATCGCGGATGCGCACTACTGAGGAGTCACACAATAGGATGAAACGGCCGTTCAGTGCTTCCAGGTTTTGCATGGTGGTCTATCTTCAATTGACTCATGATTTCAACTATGAAAATACTGAAATCTCCACCAAGCCCCTTCTGATTATCTACCTTTTATTTTGGAAACTTGTACTGATGATTACGTTGTCTAGAAAGAAAAAGGAAGTTTCATGATTAAATCATTAAACTCAAAGAAAACGATTCCATCAAGATCAAATCCCTCTCTCAGCTACAGATTCTCTCCAACATCTCGAGATAATATTCATGTTTAAAAGATTAGTTAAGGTCGGATGTAACTTACTGACAATATTTCATACACATAGTTCCATTTGTCATTTTGAAAACAGCAAGAATAAATATTCCAGCAGAATAGCATGAATTCATTTTTCGTTAGTTCTCGTCAGCTGCTTACAACCTATAATATTTAAGCATCATAATCAAAAATGGGTTTAAATTACTTACATGGAAGTCTTTAGTCGGGAGTTCTGTTGAAGACATATTAGTATAGCAAGGGTGTAATATATACTTTATGTAAAAGAAAATTCTATAACATTGTTTGTGACAATATTTCGAACGGCCAGAAACAAGTGATTACTCATTTTATTCTTATCAGCTTTTACTCATTATATAGTCACATGTTTCTGGCCCTTTGAACTGTTGTCACAATCAATGTTATAGAATTTTCTTTTACATAAGGTTTATATTTACAATATTCAGTCTATGAGATTTATTTACATCCTCTCCATACTAATATGTCTTCAACATAACTCCCGACTAAACACTTCCAGGTAGGTACTTTAAACTCATTTTGTGATTATGATGTTTAAATATCACAGGTTTTAATCAGTTGACGAGAACTAACGAACTAAAATGAATCTATGCTATTCTGCTAGAATCTTTGTTATTGACAATATTTAGAATGAAACACTTGCAATCGAATATCCATTCGTAGTAATGAACATGTACATAGTAGGAATTTAACTCGATTTTTTAAAGTTTCAGGAATTTTATCGATATATTTGTAATGTGAATAATAGTCTGAGTGATTCAACATTTCGTTTACTATATTACGATCTCATCAACACAACTTACTAAAGCAAACAATTCCATTAGAAGAAATCAGGCTTTTTAGTCAAGACTGAGGATATTATGAAATAGTTTGAGACCAAGACAGTCGTTGACCGGATATATTATTAGAACCATTGAACTTATGTAGTCTCTTTCACTTTTCGATGAGTAATTAGACTATTTGAATGATTTCTGTTGACCTGAATTCTAGGATGATTGACAATAAACAAAATTCTAGAAAATCATGAAATGACAAGTCATCTAAACAGTTTGACTTCTGAAAACTTTAGGGAATTTTCTAAGCAGTAGAAGAGACTTGCACTGCCAATTATAACGTGTGAAGTATATTGAAAAGTCTGAAAATTAATGTACCCTAAATATTGTACAATATTGTACATCCGAACTTATTTTGTGTTTTTATGGAATAGATTATGTAATGATTGTTTTATCTGTTAATGTAAATAAAGTATGTTTCTTTTTATTTCAGTGTTAAGTGAATCGATTCATGTCAATTCAAAAAATCAACTCAGTAACATTTTGCAATCAGTAATGTTTTTATGTCAAGAAATCAAACGATATTTTAGTCCATTATTACCGAAAGATTTATGTTCAGAATGGTTATTTAATACTTTATCAAGATCCATTGATTATTATTTAATGAAACCATCTTCATTGAGTCTTTTAGTTCCAATATCATATCTTCTTTTTGGACCAGCTGGAAGTCTTTTCCTTGATTCAAAATTCACCAGACAGTCTATTTTACATTTAAACATACATTCTTCAACAAAATTGACAGATACATCTTTATCTGTTGTATCTCAACGTGTTTGTAATGAAAGTGGGTTTTCGATCAATTCAACTTCTTCTTCTTCTTCTGTATCTTGTTCAACACTAACAACATCTTTCAGTTATTCTTCATCTTATTCTAGCACGGTCACATCTTCGTCTATACCAACCACATCTATAACCAATAATTCTTTTTCGACACTATCATTAAATACTTTTTCAACATCTGCTCAATATAATTCGAACAGTTATATTTCATCAAACTATTCCACTACTTCTGTGTCTACATCTTCATCTGATTCATTAGTATATGGATCTTCTTTAACTTCTATGCCTATCCTATCTTCTTCCATGCTCTCTTTATCTAACTCACGTATTTATACAGTAATGACTACGACTACTACTACGTCTCTAGTGAATTCATTGCTTACTCCATCTACCATCTCAACATCAACATTTCCAACCTCTTTATTAACAAATCAACTTTCTAATATGTCACTTCAGGAGGCCGAACAAGAAGAAAAAGAAGAAGAGAAACAGATTATTTCAACTGAATCAATATCTAATCATGATAATAATAGAAATTATGAATTTAGTACACAAATCGAACAGTTATGTTCCAAGTTGAATGATGAAACAGAAACTAGTTTATCAAGTTATAAAAAACCTATCTATTCACCATTCTATGAAAAATATAATAGAAAGTGTGATAAAAATCATCGAAGTTGGGCAAAGTATGGTTTATTAAATCCTCATCTTGTACCATGTATTAGTTTACCAGGATGTTTGGATCAGATCAATGATTTAGAAGCTATATTTGTTAATTTAAAAAATGATTTATCTATATGTGATATAGATATCAACGGTTATGATTCAGTAATGCAATATATGATTAGAAATGCAATGAATTTAATTGATAAGTATGTTTAAATGTTATTATTATTATTATTATTATCAAAAGGGTTTTATTGTGAAGACTATAGTAACTTAATAGTTAACCTCGCTCGTGGGATTCGAATCCACGGCATTCAGTCTCACGCGCGAGAGCTTAACCTCTAGACCACTGAGCTTGCCGGCATTCAACAGTATTAATATCTAACTTCAACTAATCCACGAATCTTGCGAGGCGAGGTCGTGGAAGCACACTACCGAGGAGTCCCATACCAGGTTTTCCATGGTGGTCTAGCTTCAATTGACTCATGAACTCAACTATTAAATATGACTAGTTATGCTGATACTAATTATTATATAATTTGAGTAATGAGATATTTTAAGTTTAGAATACAAAAGACAGTTGACAATTATAATGATAATGGGTTGAATACTATATGACACAATTATTGGGAATGTCATATTTGATGGTGCATAACGTTAGATTGTACATCTTTTGAAATTTATGGCACTAAATACTGAAGTATCATTCGTTTTCATTTCTCCGATGACTAAAAATCTAAGGTTATATCTTGTGTATACTTGGAATTCTATAAAGTTTATATTAAGGTTAGACTTCAGAATTTAAATTTTTTTATAAAGTTTAATCAAGGAAGAGTAAAACTTGGAAACGTTTTGGTAATATATTGGGCCAATCAAAAACCGGTCGAATGATAGGCTTACATGATTGACCAAGAATTGTCTTTCATTTCTGAGGGATTTGACACAAAACAGAACAGGCAATATATATAGAAATTAGTACACGTATCTGTATATTTTGTTTAGTCAAGAGATTTCAGTTATCTTTTTCACACCTTTTATTCAAGTTGGCGGTCGTGCTCGTGCATGGTAAGATTATGTACTAGTATCGACCCTCGGACACCATACGTCACAGTAAAATGTACAGTTACCGTCTATATATATGATCTGATGTCTTTCCCTTCTCATTGTTGCGTTGAATTGTCTTCCTTTAATCTGTGTGTGGTTTAGTTGAGTTGAAACATTAAGTAGAAATTATTGCAGGTGATATAAAGTAACAGTATCAGTATAAATAGGGATCAGATTCATTCACTAATAAGCAATCGACTTTGCATCAAAACGGGTTTATTTTCAAGTGATGAAACTTTATTGTTTAATAATTTTCATTAAGTCATTTATTTAATTTTTAATCAGTTTAGTAATTCACGAATATGAGTAGTTAAATTTGTTTCTTGACGTGGATTGATACGAACGAATAAACATTTTATCTTGTTTTGAGAGTTATGAATTATGCACTCTACTAGTGTGGATCGACTATCTAATCTTTCAAACTTCTCAATAACTGTCACTACCTTATGATAGTCCATAGAGAAAAAATATATATCTTGAAAATAAGGTAGATGGTAGAGAAGATTTTTAACTCAGTCAAATGATTTTAATCAAGTTTTGTTCTTTAAGCTTGATGGCAAAAGTTGATGCTGATAATATCATTCAGTAGAACGATGAAAGCTCCATGTCCAAATCATTCAACTTAGAGAATAAAACTCCATCAAAATATATCTTGAAATATAAATTCACTTGGTATTGTTTGTTTGAATTGTCCCATTGATGTTTAGGACTGCAATTGATCAGTCTCTTATTGGCATATGTGCACATTGTGCTCATTGCGTCGATATAGCCTTAATTCACAAGCATTATAAGCAAGTAACTATCAGGAATCAGTAGCTGAGTGGATAATGTGATGGCGTTTGAAGCGAACGATACTGGGTTCGAGTCCCAGAGTGAAATTCAAATCTGAGATTCAGGAACATCCAGTTGACGAGTCCCAAATAAGACAAAACGCTCGTCCTGAATTCTACTACTAGCCACTATCCATCTTTGTGTACAATGCTTGTGAATTAAGGCAATATACAAAGTATGCACGTATGCTAATAAAAGACTGACCAGTTACAGTCCTAAACATCAATGGGATGATTCAAACAAACAATACCAAGTGAATTTAAGCAGAATATTGTTTACTTTTCTCAGTTGAGAAGATTCTATGACTAATTAATTCCAATAATTTCATGTACATCTAGCTGATGAGTCCCAAATAGGACGAAACGTGTGTCAAACTGGATTCCACTGCTAACCACTATCCATCTTAGCTCATAATATCTTGAGATATATTATTATTAAAATCTTATTATGTTAAACACTTACACATTCACTTTTTATTTTTTTTCTTCATTTCATTAATTAATTATTTCAAGTACATTAATTCATAATCCATGTTATATACTACTAACAAATACTACTGATTATAAAACATGTGGAATAAATTTTTATATACAAAAACAAATTATCCAATTAATTATTAAATTAAAAAATTATAATAAAATTTATTATACAAAATATTTAAAAAATAAAAATGACAATTTTTGGAATCATTTTAAACAATATGAAATTATTATTATTGATTTATCAAATTATAATGATAATCAGTTCATCCATGAGGATGATGAAGATGACGACGATGATGAGGATAAGGCTGATGATATGAATATGTTACTTTTATTAATACAAAAATTACAGGAACTACGTTTTAATTTACCATGGAATAGAATGAGTTATGATAAGGTGAAAGGAATTTTTGTTATTACTTCAACGGATGGTAAGTTTTATATCCTTATCCATATGATAATGATAATGATAATAATGATAGACACTTTATTCAAAAACATTATTTTTGATTAAAGTAAAAAATATTTTATTTTTCTATTTTATTTAAACACATAAATATCGGTACAAAGGGGTACCAAATACATATGCGCCACACAAATCGAATGAGATTTGTGTGAGGGCTATGATACTATCCGGGTGCCCAGACCGAAGCAGATGGTCTTCTCAGGAGCCTACATCCGGAGCCCTTGACCTAAAGATCTGATCCATAGGGCAATGAAGCATCTTAAGTAGATTCAGTTCCATTGTAGCCGGTGACCAACTATTGATTCATACGCCATTTGTCTCCTCAGGATACTGTTGCCCATGTGCACCATTGGTTTGGAATGAGGGTTTCCCAACTCCCCTAGAAGGACTTGCTGTATCTACCAACCTGGTTAAAGCTCCGGACATTCGCTTTTCGTCCTCTCAATTTTGTAAACAACAGAAATGCCACGAGAAGGCAATGAATAGGACTTTCCTGGCAGAGGCTATATACGCATGGTCATGTGAGAGCATTTGGAGAGAGAGAGCGGACTCTCCCCACTCTCGGCCGTACCAGGGCATTAAAAAAAGTAATTCTCAATCCGATTATCACTTGTTTCTATGATGAGCAATGGAGAAGAAAAAATAATCAATAATCATAATCATTTTTCTTGAGGTTAATAGCAATCATCTTTGTGATAGCATCGAAGTACTCTATATAAACGCTTAATTATATTTGACCGTTTATGTATATAATTAAGTAGTTAAAATATATCAGAAACATAAAACTTTCTTGTTATATATATATAAATATATATTTATATACACCTGAGTACTAATATCTCATTGATCGGTCACAAGGTAGTGTGCATTTTAACGTTCGTCCAGTCCTTAAGAAAACGTGTCAATTAGTCTTAACGACTTGAATTCTTATGCACTTTGTTGTGATGTTAAGTAGTATACATGTGGTCAACAAGAATCCCTTGACTTACATTTCATGCTATTTGGCATACATTAGTAATGTGTGCTAGGAAAGTATCATTTTACGGTTAATTACCTTTTCTCACCACATATCAAAATATTACTAACATGTCCTTGTTCTGTCTGAACACTAGTCTACTCTTAGTAAACAGGGGGATATTTGTTTTAGTTTTGTTTACAGCCTTGAGGTGATGGGTTACTAAGTGCATCATTGTGACTTATAGCCCATGAGTTTGATTAGTGACCGAACGACCATGACCAGAAAAAATATCCTACCATCAACTGACGACCTGTTAGGCTAGCTAGCTGAGAGGGAAAGAGAGGAGACGGTATAGCTGGCACCATATATCCCGTTTACTTCTGATTCAACTTATCTAGAATAGGTGAATGACATGACCACAATGCACAAGGAATAACAAAAATACAATTATATCAAACCTAAGACATTAGATTAATTTTAGAATAAAAGAGAATATGATAGCAATTTACAAATTAATCAAAAGCTCATAATTCGTACAGGAAATCATGTACAAAACTAATGATTAGTATTTTACAGATTTCTAGTTAAGTGAAAGGATATCCAGAAAATCTATCTTGCAGTCTATGTCATTGCTTTTTTCATCAACCACATCTCATCAGACAGATAAAGAATTAAACTTTACTTCATTGCACAATTAAGTGGCTACCAGAACTCAGTAGCTGAGTGGATAAAGTGATGGAGTTTGAAGCGAATGGTACTGGGTTCGAGTCGCAAAGGGAACATCAACTCCGAGACGCAGGAACATCTGGCTGATGAGTCCCAAATAGTACGAAACGCGCATCCTGGATTTGACTGCTAACCGCTATCCATCTTTGCTTATAATGCTTGTCAATTAAGGCAATATCAAGGGAATATGCACAGTGTATACAGTATGCACATATGCCAATAAGACACTGATCAATTGCAATCCTAAACATCAATGGGAAGATTCAAACATACAATACCAAGTGAATTTAAGCAGAATATTGTTTGATTTTCTCAGTTGAGAAGAGTCTATGATTAATGAATTCAAACAACTTATTCACATTATATATTGAACTGTTCATATTTACTTCATACTATCATTCATAAAGCAATAGTCAAATGATTTTCGCGAAGCAGGATCGTGGATGCGCATCGCTCAGGAGTTCCACAATAGGACGAAACGGCCGTCCAGTGCTTCCAGGTTTTCCATGGTGGTCTAGATTCAATTGACTCATGATCTCAACTATATGAAATTACTCAAAATCTCCACAGAACCCCCTTCTGAAAATAACTAATAATATAAGTTGAAATGAATGAGTCTTAGTTTTTTTTTAACTTTAGGGTAAAACAACTCTTCAACATTTCTTTGTTTTGAAAGTTATCTTAACTGTTATCAAGAAGTAATCATTACATTGTTACAATTCAGTCCAATAAAAAAAGAAACCCCTTTCATTTGAATACATTCATTTATTTTACATAGTAGTTTATTATTATTACCTAATAATTATCAATATTTTACCTAGTAACTGAACATCACTAAAATCCCTTATTTATTGATTTTATTTTTCTCTCCAGATATCATATATAATCAATTAATACAATATATATCTTGGGATTGTGTTATTCGTTTCAATGAAACAATAAATAGTTTGCAACCTACAAATTCAGATTTGAAAAATATTACAAATAATATAGATTTTGATCAAAAATCGATATTGAAAAATTTCTTATTTAATCATTATTTATTAAATAGTAACCATGGTAACAATAATAATAATAATAATGATCATTATTCAATTTTATATGATCTATTCATTGAAGCTTATTTATTAGTTTGCCAATTTATTGATATCAATCAAGATATCACTTTGATTAATAAATCAATAATAATCAATAATCAATATTCATTAAATTATTTATTACAAACCATAAATGTTTGGTATTATCTTCAATATGATCATAATAAACAAAATAATAATCATCTATTACGTAATCAATTAAATGAAACTAATTTATTATATAATTCAATGAATAATAGTTATAATTCATTAGAAAATCAAATAAAGGAAATGAATTCTATAATAGAATTAATGAGTAAAGATTTATATGATTATGAAGAGATCTATTTACCAGAAGCTAAATTAAGCTGTACAAATATAAATGAACATTTAAAATATTTAGAAAATGAAATCTTATATAAGGAAAATGAATTAATGAATATGAAGAAACCAATGGATCGTGTGAAAAAATTAGCTGAAAAAGAATTTAATAAAGTAAGTTATTCAGCTGACGTGTCGCAAATAGAACGAAATGCACGTCAAACTGGATTCTACTACTAGTCACTATCTATCTTTGCTTATAATGCTTTTGAATTAAGGCTTATCAAGGCAATACACACAGTATGCACATATGCCAATAAGAGACTGATCAGTTACAGTCCTAAACATCAATGGAAAGATTCAAACAAACAATACTAAGTGAATTTAGTATTTCTTATAGTTTAAAACTACTTGTATAATGTTAGTAGTATGATGAAGTAAATGTAAAACGATCGATGTGATTAACTAATTTCAGAAGAGGGGTTTCGTGGAGATTTTAGTAATTTTATAGTTGAATTCATGAATCAATTGAAGCTAGATCATTATGGAAAACCTCGAAGCACTGGACGGGCAATTCATCCTATTGTGGAACTCCTCAGCATTGTGCATCAACGATCCTGCCTTGCGAGATTTAAACTCAGGACTTTTTAGTCTCGTGTGCGAGTGCTTAACCCCTAGAAGTTGAAGTTAGACATTAATACTGTTGGATACCGTCTAGCTCAGTGGTCTATAGGTTGAGCGTTCGTGCTCGAGACAGAAAAATCCTCGACTCGAATCTCGCGAGGCGACATCATGAATGCGCACTGCTGATGAGTCCCACAATAGGACGAAACGGCCGTCCGGTGCCTCCAGGATTTTTATGGTGATTTAGCTTCAATTGACTCATGATTTCAACTATATAATTAGATATTTGTCTGTACTGGGATGATTAAGGGAATTAATTCTCCGTCTGAGGATTTGTGAAATATACTCCCAATTCTAATTGTTTTACCTTACCTATTAACAGATTTCATAAATCTCTGCACCAAATTATATTAATTAAACAATATCTCAAGTAAATTACATAAAGTGATAAGTAAAACTAAGGAGTTTTGCCAAAATGAGCCTGAAAAACCTCTTGTTTTCAACTTACCGTTCTAACAATAATCAACTAACATTATGTGAATACCAAGTCATTTTTAATCCCACTATATTAAGGTTAACCTGATTTAATGAGATATAATGTTTGTTAACGATGTATATCGGATTGAAGTTTTCAAAATAGTCACTTTCTACAATTGAAGACTTTGTAATTATCAGAGGGGTTTTTGTGGAGATTTAGTAAATTTCATAGTTTAAAGCGTGAGTCAATTGAAGCTATACCACCATGGAAAACCTGAAAACACTGGACGGCCGTTTCGTCCTATTATGGGACTCCTCAGCAGTGCGCATCCACGAACCCGCTCTTGCGAGACGAACCCATGACCTACCAGTCTCGAGCCGAAGCCCTTATCTGACAGACCACTGAGCCGGCCGGCATCCAACAGTGGTAATGTCTAACTTCAACTGATCCACGAAGTTGAGCAACCATTCACCAGTTGTCTTCAGTGAGTTCCTATCTCACAACAGACGTGGTTTTGAACTTCACTGGTCACTGCTTCTCACTAGAGACTTTATGTTTATCATATCTTTTGAAGTCACTATATATTTATATCTTAAACAAGATACAACAGAAAGATTTCAAATCTAGTTTTTAGAAAATATATCAAAGCTTTGAATATTTCACTAATACAGTACTCTGAATATTCTGTAGGTTTTCACATGTACTTTCACAGAACTGTATTTACCACTTTTAAAGTATTCACTTTATAGATTATGAAGTATAATTTATAAAAATCTAATTTGACGTTGATTGCTGTTGAAGGGATTCTGGTCTTTATTATTGAGTTCGACTGATTCCGTAAAACAAGATGCAAAATATCAGTACAGTGAGATGAAACGATCGAAACAGAGGTCAGAATAATAGAAATAATAATAGAATCAATGATAGTAGACGACAATACACTCAGATAATATGATACTAGAAGAAAGAATTAATTCATGGGTAAAATATATGAGACAATTTTAAAGATCAAGGTCTAGGGCAAGACAATGTGTGAATTTATCTGCTCTATTTTTGTCGATTCTTAACCACATTTCATTGAGTAAGAGATTAATCCCTTATAAGCCAGATGGTGAGAGCGTTATCTCTAAAAGAAAGCCTATGAAAAGGTGAAATAAGAATGAGGATACTGGACGATCCTGGTGAATATCAGTTAATGTTACCATTTCTGATATCAGTTCATCATATACTCTGACTCAACCATTAGTGTCCGAGTGAGAGTCCATCATAAGGTTTGTATATGTTTTTGGTAACAATTACCTGTCAAGCAGTAGAGTTAAATACTGCCTTAAAGTCATTAAATACCACTAGGTATGTCTAAGTCCTATAATCTAACAAAGGATAAATATTAGGTCAATAACTCTGTGTCAAGTTCTGAAACTAGCCTGATTGCTAAAAGTTCATTGTTTACGAGACCTAGTTAAGCATACTCTAGTTTACTCTTTGAATCATTTCTCACAACAAAAGAGTAAACACAAACTTATATGTCTTTTTTTTTAAAACTTGTTTTGATTTTAGTTAAAGAATGCTTATCGTTTAGCTGTTGAAGGTTTACATAATTTATCCATTGAAGATTTAGATGAAATACGATCATATCGTGAACCACCAGATGATGTGAAAAATTGTGTCTATTTAATTTGTATGCTTATGGATGAAGAGGAAAAGTCAGTTGCCTATACATTTTTTAAGATTTATTTTGATTTCTTAAAATTATAATGTCCATAAGTTGAGGTTTATTTATTTATTTAAACACATAAATATTGGTACAAGGAAGCACAAGATACATATGCACCACACAAATCTCATTCGATTTGTGTGAGGGCTATGATGCTGCTCAGGTGCCCAAACTGAAACAGGTGGTTATCTTAGGAAACCACACCCATAGCCTTTCATTTAAAGCTCTGATCCACAAAACAGTGGAACATTGTGAGGAGATGCAGTCCCATGTTAGTCGGTGACCAACTGTTCATTCATACGCCATTTGTTCCCTCAGGATACTGGAGCCCATATGACCATTGGTTTGAGATCAGGGTTTTCCAACTCCCTTAGGTGGACTTTCCGTTTCCCCGAACCCGGTTAAAGCGCCGGACATTCGCTTTTCGTATATTGAACTACTGAGATATAAACAGTTGACTTCAATTCTATGGGTTAACATTAATGTTTCCTAAGTGGATTACTGATCTGTAATATCATTTAAATAAAGAACGAACAATGACAGCATTTATACAATGCAATAAATTTATGCTCCACTCATGACCCTTAGTCACATCTAATTGGTTATCAGAAGGTAGAACTAATATTTAGTTAGTTGGAATACAGGATATACATATATACGAATAATTTGTTACATTCAAGATCAAAGACTACTAAGGTTCGGATTAAGGAATAAGATTAAAATTTAGGTTTAGGAATTGTTGTGAACAGAATGATAAAGAAGGATTGATAAACTATGAAAGATACTGTTTAGAACATTAACACGTTTAATACTAAATCAGTTGAATTACTGACATTAATTTCGCGTGATTTCCTAATCCTCTTAATGACAAGCTTTAGTTTAGATGCTACTGTCATCATAGTTGCTACTATATTATGTCATTCTATCTCATAAAAATTGTGTCCTATTTCTGTACCGTAGCTGGTCTAGTTTGAGATATATTGTCTTTTTTCACTTAATGCCCATTGAGGTCCACTTTATCAAACATATATGTGCTTTATTCTTTTAGTTACTTGAGTCCGGAATTCGGATATAATAGTTTTTTTTGTTACTTTGATGTTCTCTTCTCTTGTCAACCACTTAATATCCACGTGTCAGATCGTTAGTCAGTGAATAGTGTAGTTCTCTACCCCCAGGGTCAAGTAGTCACATATCGAATTTATGCATATCAAAAAGTCATACTAAGTAGCCAAACTTATCAAGGATATTATTGAGTTTCGAGACTAACGTCCCCGGTTATCTAACTGCAAAATCAGGGTTATACTAGAACCTGAGTAGGTAAATGTCTGAATACATTCATTCATTCAATTCATTTGTTTTAAATGTTAACAACCTTTAAATCATCTTCAAGTTTTCATAGTTCGTGGTCCCTATTTTTCAGTTTTTCCATGTTTATCAACTTCAAGGATCTTTGTGACTAACTATTGTTTAATTTTTAGTTATTTATTAAATAACTCTTATTATAATACATGCTATCCATCATTGAGTTTTGGGATTCAGCTTCAGAAGAATTGATCAAAGATTTTTAGAATAAACAATAATTATGGAAAAATTATGGAAGATATTCGCATCTTCAAATATTTATATGATTATGAGGTTTAGTATACACAACTCTTCTAAGTGATTTAATATTAAAAATGTTATGCTAACTGGTCATCCAAGTCTAATACTGGTATGCAAATTTCTTGTATAAATGCTCAACCAGCTAATTATAGGCGAAAAACTAGGGTGAATAGGAAGCTTTCATTAACCAAAGTGAATCAAAATATAGGCAAAAACTCATACATAAATACAGGTATGCATTCCACATATAATCCGATCAGATCTTCATCTGATAGTTTATATCTGTATTTCTTGGATAATTATACCAAATCTTAAGCAGTAGCATTCACACGTCAGTATCTCTTACTTATCATAGTTGACTTTGAACTGATACACTTTTAATCACCTTCCCTTCCAAAAATGTAAGTTTGAATTTTTGGATTTATTTGCAAGGATTGATTAGGGGTGGAGTACATCTAAGACACTTTCGATGACATCTAGTTCAATTGACTTTACACGAAGAATAAAATCCAAATAAGATAAGCTGTTACCTACTTCAAATAAATCCAATTAGTTATTGGGATCACGAACCGACCTAGGTTAGAAAACCATTGAAAATCTAGAAACATTGGACAGATGTTCCGTCTCAGTATGGGCCTTCTCACTAGTGAACGTCTATGACCCCACCACTGAAGATTTAACCCAAAACCTACATTCTTATGTGTGACCGCCTAACTTCTAAACATTAATCAATTCTCACACTACTGAGAAGTCTCATTTTGGGATGACGCAGCTATCCAATGCTATCACGTTTTCAATAGTCGTCTAACGGAGGTCGGTTCTCTATATCAGTATTACTCAGTATCCTTCACAAACTTCAATATTAACGATCTCAAATCGCATTTTCAAAAATAATAACTACCTAGCAAACCATACAACAAAGCAGCCTTATATAGTTCGTAACATTCCAAATTTACAACCTTTGAGTCTATTGGAAGACACATTTGATGAACTTTTGTTAGCACCACAATCTACAGCAGGTATCTTAAACGATTCAAGAATCATTAGCTTGATTTAGCCACATTCAAATGTTGGTCATCACACTGAAGCTCAAAAATAAAGACTTTGAAAAAAGTCAAATGTCACACCTACCACTTTAATCTACATATTTGTTCTTGCTTATTTCATTTTCTTTAAATAAGATGTATTATGATGAACATAGTTCTTGTTCTTTTTCCCTTATATACTTTTCACTATTCTACAAATCAAGTTGGGAAACTGCAAAACATATGATGGTTCCAGTGAAATTTATTAGCAAGATTTTAAAACTCTCTACCCAGTCACTAAATAAACATAAACATAGAGAACTAAGAAAACGTTTAGATCATTCAGAGATATTAACATATGAGAACTTGTTACAGGTAAGTCAATGAAGTATTGATGAATAAATGCCTTTAGAAATATGGTAACAAACAAATTTTTTTAGAAATTAAATAAGACTGAAGCTTGGAATTGAAGTTAATCGAAGAGTTTTGTCATTCAAATTAAAATACAAGCCAGGAAGGTACTGATGTATCAGTTTTGAACAATGTAAGACCGTGTACAGATTTGTTTTGATCAATGTAACTATGTCTCATCAGTAGTTAGTTAAAATAATGTTGTCTTTGGTCTTTGCTTCACACAGACTCGAACGTAGGAATTTTAGATCTCGTCGTAAGCACAATACAATTCAGTTAATGGTTTGATTTTCCACTTTGTTTATATAGAAACTTTTGGCAAATATAGTCAATTGTCAACGACAGTATCTGTCCTTAATTCCTGGATTTTACCATTTAAACACATCAGTTTGTTTGTTTGTTCTGGGTACCGATTTCGGCACTGGGAGATGTTGATTTAAATTTCATGTGGAACAACAATTCTTTTAAGATGACGGATTTGCCTCATTCAGACGTTTCAAGTGACATGAAATCTGTCTCGAGAACTATCTATCAATCACATCGAACCATTTGACAGTGTCTAATTTATTAATTTGCCAAGAGATTTTATTTCTGAAGACAAACTTTTTGATATACCGATGAATCCTGACACCCGAGACGTTGCCTTAATAAAGACCGAAATAGTGAAACGTTCTCATGCATTAAATATTTAATACTATATCCCTAATTATAGATTCTTCTGTCATTTAGCTATGTAGTTATAACATTGAATACTTTTAGTTACCCAAAATACCTGTGAACTAAAATAACATGAGCTGGAAATCGAAATGGTGAAAGCTGTAGTTATTTGGTTACCCAGTATCCTCATTCACCAAAAGATAAAATGTTTATTTATCCGATTAGCATATATAACCTATCATTATATCTTGGAACTTTTCGCGGAAATTGGATTCTGTTGCACAGATTGTGGAAGGACATTCGTAGGCCGAGAGTTGACTTTTCTACAATTATCATAAATATTTTATTAAGATCATGAACCAACAGAATTCAGACAACTATTGAAAACCTGGGAGCACTTGACTACCATTTTGTCCTGTTGTTGGACACTTTATTAGAGTGAATCGAATGAAATTAGGAAAATGTACCTTTGGATTCTAGCTCAGTGGTCTAAAAGGTAAACGGTCATGAGTAAAACTGAAATTTCTGAGTTTGATCTCCAGTGGTTGAGTCATGAACGTTCAGTAGTCAGGAGTCTTACACTGAGACCGAACATCTGTCCAATGTTTCTAGACTTTCAATGGTTATCTGACCTAATTCGGTTCGTGATCTCAATAAAAGTCAGTACTGTTCACAATTCTCGTACTGATATTATTAACATGATCATCGATAAGCATTTGAAATTATTCAACTAATTAACAAATGATATTTTGTCATATACAGACCATTCACATAACTGACGACTTTCTTGTAGTATACCTTCGAATAGTATAGGAAGCAGGCATACTAAAATCTATGCACGTATAGAGAGACGCAAACGCTATAGGTAGCAAATATATCATGCGTTACTAATCAGAAATCTTTAATCATATTAAAACTCTTCACGTACTTACTGAGATTTTTAGCGTACTAAACTCCTTTTATTAAACAAGGCAATTACCAATAAGGATTTAGAATTTTCTGTTGTTAACATTCATTACTGCAAGTAATTGCTATTATCATATTCGTATCCTGAGCTCAGTCCCTGCATATCGAGTTAGCGAAAATTTCAATCTGTTTAGTAACTGGCTATCAGTGGGGTCCAGTTTCGCCTTTAATAGCTCTGTGGATAATGTGTTGAGTATTTTAGAAGAGAGATGTTGGATTCAAGATGCAGTTTGAACACCAGTACTCGGATGCAGATACATCCAGCTGACGATTGTCATATATGGAAACATCTTCCCTGGATTGAACTGTTAACCACATTCCAAATCTACGATATCAATTATCACAATATACTTCAATTAGTAAATAAGTTTTACTTTTGCTGTGTTTTCCTATTAACAATTCAAAATAATGACTGGTCCATTCAATTTATCAAGATTTTTTGGCTTCAAATCAATAGGTGAGTGTTGCAGCTGCCCGATTATGTCAATGGTTAAGAGCATTATGTGAATGCTGTGATGCTGGTGAACGTTTACAGAATCATATCAATGATTATTCTTCAGTTGAAGCACAAGTTATCCAAAGTGAATCAATATTAGGCAATTTACATTTATCATTGCAACTAACAAAAATAAACATAGAAATGGCTAATAATCATTTAATTGAATGTGAACATCAAATTAAACGTCTTTCAAAGAATATCAATGTAAGCTTAATCGTTTTTCATATTGATTTTAATGCTTATTAAAAAATAACATCAAGTGTGTTCTAGACCACTAAGCCATCACTCACCGGTTTTGATGTCTAACTTCAACCAATCCACGATTGTGGATGTGCACCGCTGAGGAGTCCCGTACTAGGACGAAACGGCCGTCCAGTGCTTTCAGATTTTCAATGGTGGTCTAACATTTATCGACTCAGTATCTCAATCTAAAACTTAATAATCTACACAACCTTGCACTGATAAAGTATATCCAAAAATTAGTACGTGAATGAATGTATTTTGATTTAATAAACGATTTAATTTTGGACTTGTTTTTGAGACTTGTTTAAGGAAATTTTTTCGGAGAGCCGATAAATCTTCATTTAACCAGTCTCTCATATCCATACTTTGGATCGTAAGAATTTCAATGGTTCCTGATCTTCAAGTATAATCAGTAAGACTGCACATCCAACAGAGTTGATAGATATTTAAGGGCGACAACACCGAATGTAGAAGTGGCGACACAGTTTCAACAATCACCATTATTATAATGGCTATAATATTTCCCTGCGTTATTCCTGCTAATTGCCATGGCCTCAGTAGTGCATAAGTTTTTGACTCGACCTCTCTTTGATCTAATTTTTTTAACCATACTGCTGGAGAGTCGGTGACCTCCAGTTTCAAATTTGAACTTTACTTGCAGAAGTGATACATTCAACCTCTCATCCCTCCTTAGCCCTAATTCTCTTCTCCACTATGTCATGTTTTGCTTTTATTATTATTTTGTACACTTTTTAAACCGCAATCAGTTGATATTATCCTTTAACGATTTTCCATGATAACTATTCAGTAATTATAATGACCTTTATGTTTTTATTTTCTCTTCATATCTCTCTTTCCAGACCCGTAAATTATTTCCATCCTCTTATTCTTCTCTAACCCCTTGATATTAGTCAACCTTCTCAGATCACTTTATTATGTAATCTCTTTCTATTCCTCAAAAGACTCATCTATCTACCCAAGCAACGATAAATACGAATGATTCCGTCTAGATGAACATTTTCTTTGTTGAATTCTCTCCATTGTTTTCAATCAATCACACAATGAATTACTTCAATAACAATTCACATGAACCAAAATCCACTCCCTTTGAACTTAACACATTTGGGGAGTATATTAACATGTGGTGTACCCCAACACATATGAGTACGAATTCAATCAACACGATTTTTCTGATTCGATAATGCCATTCCTTTCGGACTGACTAATAAAATTGATTTCTTCTAAAGATAAAAATCTATTTTCTAATCTTTTCTTATTATAGATATTAGATTATAGAATGAATGAAGCTAAAGCATTGGCATCAACTATACAGAGTAATTTATCTGAATTATACAATGATACTAGCAATCATCATGATACAATTAAAAATTTGTCATTTTGGTTCAATATACTCGGAGCATTGGGGACAGTGTATTGCCAGGCATTCCCAATTAAGCATAGGTAATTAGTCTTTTACTTTCTATCCTTTTGTGTCTATCTTTGTTTCGAAATGAAGGTCGTATTCGTATTTTCTTGGTGAATATGTAGTGAAATAAGAAATGTAATGATAATTAGGCTATGAAAACTTTGAATAGTGTTGTATTTAAAGTTACAATTATATCAATTTTTATGTTTAAATCAGAGGTAACCAAACGATTGTTGTTGCGATCCACAACATTCGATTCCGGTACTCATTATTTCTATATTTTTGTCCAGCCAATTGTGTGAGTGAAGAAAACTGAGAAATGACTAGAACGTCGAAGTTGTCCTTCTGATTCAGATAAGGATGTATAGGCTATGAACCTGACTAGGAATATAATCTGCTTTCCTCGATAGCTTATCATAATCATAGTATCGAAACCATTATTTGACCATAAGATGGCACGTTAACACAGGTATGTGATATACCTAGACTCCACACAATTACAACCATTTAATAAATAAGTCATTCTTTAGCTAATAAGAACCCTTGTACAACACTTTTATAGTACTTTACATAGTGTAATGAAAAGACGTAGATGGTTTGAAAGAAAAAAAACATCTGATATAGTTGCATGTGGTTTAAAACAGGTTTAATAAATGAGTAGGTTATAACTTTCAATGTAGATAAATCATGAATTAAGCCTGTTGGAACAAATTATATTAATGATAATTTCTTTTGAATGTATTCCATTTCTCAAGTAAACATTATGTGTACATTTTATTTTGTCTTAGTACAATAAGAGAAACAATCTGTCTGATTTCATCAATGAATAATATCACCTTAAAAACAATTTTAAACTAGGAAGAACGGTATAGTTGTACCCTGTAACGTATGGACTTCTCAGAATTGTTCATCTAGGATGATAGAAGGTACTGAACCTACGGCTCTCAGGTCTCACTGCCAGCAGAATTATATTCATTCTAAAAATATACAAATTCTATGGTTGCATTTTCCAACATCAGTCAATTCATAATATACAACGATCTTCTACTTCATACTAATTCAGTATTGCTTAGAACAATGCTACAGTCTCATTTAGAAGTTTCATGCAGTTAGTTCCCTTTATGAATTTAAATAAAGATAGAACAAATATTGATGCAGAATAACATGAATTCATTATATTTCGTGGTTTCTCATCAGCTGCTTACAACCAAATATGAATTAGAGTTTTATCATTGGAGTAATAAATAATGTGGAACAATTGACATAATTGAATGTAAAGGATTGGAATAACGAAAGTCATCGATGATAACTATATATATGGGCAAGGAATGGTCAGAGGTTATTAGGTATTGAAATAAAGGGAGGCGTAATAGTTGAGTGGAGTTCAGAGACAGATAAAATTTAGAAGTCATAAAATTTAGAAGTCATTACTTCTTATGGAAATTTCAAAAAATCTTCATTAAAGATAGTCATTAGTTAGCACAGAATTATTATTCATTTATTTAGGCGGTTTCATAGGTATTCGGAATCATTTGCAGGTAACTTTCACTATCAGTCAGCAAAAGCAGGAGAGCTACATTAACCATAATTGTTCTGACAAACAAAACATGAGTATGGATGTTTGTGAGGGTTGTTGACCGTCACTGATAATACAAACCAACTTATATTACACATCCACTGATAGTCAGGAAGTACTTACTAGTTGTTTCATTCAAATGTGTAACCCCTCAGTAGTACACATTCACGACCTCACTGTTGGAGAACGAATTCAGGACCTCCAGATAGAGTACGTGAACGCAAACCCCTGTGCTAGGATCTAGTTTTCTACGTCTTACCTCACCACAGTACGTTGCAACCATCTGTTTTCTTTTGTAGTTATTTGTTACACATCTGAAATGTTCAAACTCCGCTGGTAACAACTTCTTACTTGAATTCCACAATTACCTTTTAAAACTAGTCACTAGTTGGTCCGTTATAATTATCAATATGGTGATTTGAGAATATTACCGAATATCATTGATATAACAAACTGATCTAAGTTACACATCCATTAGGAACCAGTAAGAACCGAATATCTAGATAGTCCTAGTATAATTGTTAAAACCAATATATTGGTTCTTGTATTATTTCTTTTGTATGTTATTATTTTACAGATCTTTATTGTGGAATAAGTTCAAAACTCTTGTTTGGAATAAAATGAAGGTAAAGTTGATTCATTTAAAGAGACATTTATTTTGTTATTTATCATTCCGTTTCATAAATTTTATCATTCGTCTAAAAATGATTGTTCGAAATTAGTTCAGCAAAATTGAGACATATATATATTTTATAGAGTTGAGATCATGAGTCAATTGAATCTAGACCACCATGGAAAACCTGGAAGCACTGGACGGCCGTTTCGTCCTATTATGGAACTCCTCATCAGTGCGCATCCACGATCTCGCACTCGCGAGATTCGAACACAGGACTTACCAGTCTTGAGCCAGAGGCCTTAACCGATATATATATGACCGAAAACTGAAGGATTTGGACTTCGCAGATGACCTAGCCCTTATATCTCATGCACACGAACAAATACAGACGAAGACAACAAATAAAGCAGCAGCCTCTGCATCAATAGATTTCAACATACACAAAGGAAAAAGCAAGATTCTCAAATACAACCAACCCAATCACACTTGATGGCGAAACTCTGGAAGAGGTGGAAATATCCACGTACCTGGGAAGCATCGTTGATAAACAAGGAGGATCGGATGCAGATGTAAAGACGAGGATTGGCAAAGCAAGGACCACATTTCTACAATCGAAGAACATATGGAACTTAAAACAACTTTCAACTAACTCCAAAGTGAGAATCTTCAATACGAGCATCAAAACAGTTCTACTGTATGGAGATGAAACGTGGAGAACTACTACATCCACCGTCAAGAAGGTACAAGTATTTATTAACAGTTGTTTACGCAAAATACTCAACATTCACTGGCCGGATACTATCAGCAACAGCGTTTTATGGGAGAGGACAAACCGGCTTCCAGCTGAAGAGGAAATTAGGAAAAGACGTTGGAAGTGGATAGGACATACATTACGGAAATCACCAAACTGCATCACGAGACAATCCCTAACTTGGAATGGTGAAGGGAAGCGGAAAAGAGGAAGGCCAAAGAACACATTACGTCGGGAAATAGAAGCAGATATGAAAAGGATGAATAACAACTGGAAAGGATTGCCCAAGACAGAGTTGGATGAAGAATGCTGGTGAGCGGCCTACGCTCCTCCACTAGGGGTAACAGGTGTAAGCAAGCAAATAAGAAGACTGGAGGAAACTAGAGTGAAAAAGCCTTGTAAAATCATCTGGAATCAGTAGCGTTCAAACCAAACAATTATATCGGTTCATTTCATTTTGAAATGGATTGAATTATCCCGTTATTGTTATTCCTGACTGAATTTTGACAAGAAGATTGGTTTGCATATATTCATTTCATGAGAATCACCTCTATATATCCAATTATGGCACACGTTAGCATAGTACAAGTGGAACGTGACTAGTAGTGGGATCCAAGGAATGCATTTCGTCAGCCGAATTTCCTTACGCCCAGAGCTGCGGTTCACTCCAGAATTCGAATCCAGTGCTGTTCGTTTCAAACACAGTCACGTTATTCATTTAGCTACTGATTTTGGCCAGACGCCTGCTTGCGCGGCAGATATTAAGTTTAATTTGAAACAGATCAATCGCGATCAAAATTCATGACTTTTTTTATTGTAATCATCCGCAGAGTTGAAAACGTACATCTCGCCCTTTATGGCCACGTCAGTTAAGTTTACAAACAATACAGTTTTGTTGTTCAAACTGAAACCCATACCCACTATTAATCGTTTCAACAAGCAATATGTTATTTACAACAAACAGTATTTTTGATAAATTTAGATAATGTAATAATGAAAAGAAAATTATCGGAACTGTGTGATATTTATTAGCGCAATACATTTCGAACAATCCGATCACACTTATATGTGTTATGAACACTTATATATGAATAATAAAAGGTAAACTAGACAAATAGAAGGTAAAGGAAAATAAGGTTAATAAAGAAAATAATGTGAAACTCACCACATTGGATAATAAATCACTGTAACTGGGGTAGGTTTTTAGTATTATCAAATGAGCTACTGAATTCCAATGCCCACTAAATTAAAAGTTTCCGTTTGATCATCAACTCTACTGTACAAGTACATGCTAGTGATTTACCTCAAACACAAGGAAAATCTTATTTTGGATCCCTTTTGCTAGTCACAACCTGAAATTTTTAAAACTCTTAACTATAAATGATATTAAGGCATAAGTTATGGGTACCAGTTTGTCTAAATAGGACTATATGCTGTCCTGAATATCAACAGGTAGGAAATCTAAACCATTGCATATGTTCACTTAGTACTGTTTGCTTGAATCTTCTCATTGATGTTTAGGACTTCAACTGGTCAGTCTCTTATTGGCATATGTGCATACTGTGCACACTGTGCATGTTGCCTCGATATTGCCTTAGTTCACAAGCATTATAAGCAAAGATGGATAGTGGCTGGCAGTGGAATCTAGTTTGACGCGTGTTTCGTCCTATTTGGGATTCGTCAGCTGGATTTACATGCATCTCTGAGTTGATGTTCACTTTGGCACTCGAACTCAGTACCATTTGCTTCAAACACCACCACGTTATCCACTCAGCTACTGAGTTCTGATAAGAGACTGACCAGTTGCAATCCTAAACATCAATGGGAAGATTCAAACAAACAATACTAAGTGAATTTAAACTTCACCTCATTGCACAAGCAAGTGGCTATCAGGACTCTGCAGCTGAGTGGATAATGTGATGGCGTTTGAATCGGACGAAACTGGGTTCGAGCCCCAGAGTGAACATCAATTCTGAGATGCAGGTACATCCATCTGAAGAATCTCAAATAGGATGAAACGCGCGTCAAACTGAATTCTACTGCCAGCCATTATCCATCTTTGCTTATAACATAACATATGTGTTCATTGATGTTTAGTTTCATCATGTATTTCAACCTGTACTATTCTGCTTCTGAAGAAAGTCTATAAAAAGATAATACTCTTCTACTTGTTTTCCAGGAATTCTATCATCAAACTATGAATGATACCAAAGAAGACTTAATAATCTATGAAAATTTGTTTCAAAATTTACAATTATTTAAAATTATTCAAACAACCCCATATGAATTAATGAAATGCTTTACATTGAATAAACAATTTCCACAAGAATTAATACTTTTATATAATAATCAACATATTACTTATATACTTGAAGCCATACTATCTATATGTACAATTCTACGGTCGGTTAGATATGCTTATATTATACAATGTGATAACAATAATAAGAAGAATAAGAATGTGGATGAATCAATGTTATATATGTTTATTTATGATCCAGATCAAATTGGTATCAATATAATAAAGTTATTATTACTAGCAAATTATGATAATCATGAAAGTGATGATACTTCTTCAAGGTAAGTCCAATGATTAGTTAAAACAAATGACGAAACTATAATTTATGGATGACCTTTGAACGATTCTAAAGTGACCTTGAGAGATATTAGCCAATCAGTATAGAGTAAAAATATATTATACAAAACCAAAGAATTAATGTGGATACACTTCTTTTATATGGTCCAAAAACTTGTCATGATTAGAGAGAGGTTCAAAGGTTCTAAAATCGTAATGCATTTGGTAGAGGAACTCATCTGTATGGCTCCATAATAGTCGATCTCTAGAGCCATGATAAGGTCAAAAAAACTCTCCAGGCCTCGATCATATAGCTTCAATATTGTTTGTGCGTGCTCCGGTTGTGTATATTTGGCATTTTCATTACGGATATATCCCTACAATACTCATACCACTGAACACCCGAAGCTTCAATAACATCTGCGATTATTGCAGCCAATGTTACTGGTGCTTTTATTAAACAGTTCACGGCAATTATTATAATATGCCTTAGTCTCAATCTGAATCGAGTGGTAATGGTTCTTATTCTAGCAAACGTTTTCCTCCAACATATTTTACATCGAAGGACAACATCACGTTAGTCTGCACAAGGTTTACAACTCGTTTAATTACCTCAATTACAAAATGAAGGAACTTCTTAGTAATCGCTTAATTGTCACGTCTCGTTTAAAATCCTCTGTGAACCAATTGTACATGAGCAACAAGTACTGAAATTGGCGCCGTGACCTTGAAATCCCTCAAATGCTTCTGATTGGCTCGTCCATAAATTATAGTCTCGTCAAACAAATTTATCTTGACTTTTATACTATAATCTATTTGCTGTTTATCAATCTATAAAGTATTGATAAGAACCAGAAAGATTCGATCACAATACAAAATTCTTGTTTGATAAACTCAGTTGAGTTGAATAACTTCCATACAATTAATTTGTTTAATAGTTAAAAATTTTAAGTGACTTAGGTTCAGGATTGATGGCAGTATACAAAGATGAATTCATTCTTTATTTTTGTAAAATAATGAACAACAATTAGATTTTAAATTACTGAGATATCATCAACATACAAGAATGATATTGTTCAATCATTTATAAGCTGAATGCTCCCGTTGTTGATATCCTTGACTGAACTGAGATTGATTGGAATCTAGTGTAGAATATGAACAATGGAATAAAGCAAATCATTTCAATTAAGTTCAATTCAAATTTATTATGTAAGTTTTTATCCATCTAGATTCAATACACCTGGAGTTTGAAACGAATAGTACTAATTTCGAGTTTTAGTGTAAACATCAACACATAAATACATCCAGTGAATAAGTCCCAGATAGGATAAGAAGCATGTACTAGCTTCATTTGCTAGCCATTATATATCTATTTCATTTCGTAATGAAAGTGAAACAAGAAAAATCATTGTTAGAGGAAAACATCTCCTATTTTTTTGTTAACTCATTCTAACCTTATTTAATTTTCCTCAGTTTTCTCCCACTTTAATAATCATTGTATCCCGTACCAATCTATTCTCTAGTTGACTTAAACTAGTTTTTTAAAGTTGGAAAAATTTATCTTTATCAAACTGTAAATTCATATGGAAGCTTTCATTTGCACGATTAAGTGACGAGTGAAATCCAGTGTATAAGAGACATAAGATTATCTGCAAAGACTACTGTTATTACGAAATTAATATGAATTACTTTATGAACGTCAATTCATGAAGTGTCTACGATACATACTGTGCCAAGTTATGTCGTCAAAGAAGAATGATTCCTAAAATTGATGTATAAAGTAATTTGAAACAACATATGATAAAGCATATGGCTGCTAATAGTTGCCTCTAAATTATAATTTTAGATAATATTAAAATTATAACTAAAAACACGAAAACTGTTACAAACATTCACTGGTCACAGTAGAATTAAAAACGACTGCTTCAATGTTAAAGAATTGAAATCACAGTGATAACTTAATAGAATGTTGCAATTTCTTGTATTTGTTTATAATGGTTACACAAAACAGAAATATGCTACACATTATTGATGAAGTTATTACGATTGAAATTGGTTACTGAATACTAATAAGTAATATAAGAATGCACCCAAAGACAATCGGGCTGGAAGACAATGATCATAAATGCAAACAGATTTATTATACTCCATAAGCTTGTTTTATTAGCCTTATGAGAGACAATGAGAATAAATGACAATATGAAGTCTGCAGACATATATTTAGATAATTTAATTTATCGAATTCGTGACTTCACTAAACATTCATCATCTATTATCGCTCATCTGTATATGTATATTCCATGAGTAAGAACACGATAATGCCAATACATAAGGCACAACTCATTATCACAAACATTCAGAGGTTCGCAAAAATAAAAAGAACTTATAATATTAAACGTGAAAGTTGAACATACTAGTTTAGTTTATAGGAGGAGTTGTCCAAGTCTTACCTACTTAGGTAAAACATCTGAATAGTATACTTATCGGTGAATAAATAGTATAATTCATAATGTAACATATCAAGTTAAACCCCTATAAGTAAATTTAATCCTATCAAGGGGTCAAAAACGGAACATTAACCAATTCTAGTAATATTTTTACACTTCTTTATGTTATAGCTTGTGGCCTTTTGCCCTATTAATATAACCGCCAATTAGAGAACAGTGACTTAACGATCAGACCAATGACGCGCAAACCCGTACGGGTCAGTATCGGTAATTCTTCCCGCCTAGCCCTGTCTGTTGAGTCCAGAACACCCATGCCATCCTCCGTGATATAAATTATGTATTTCAAACATATTGGGATTTATATGCAAGCCAAACAGACCACATAGCATCACAAAATAGAAAATAACACTTGTACAAGATCTAACTAAAAGTGGCTGTGAAGGTGAGAGACCGTAATTAATAGATTTGACATAACTCAAGAACGGTAAATCGTATAATAATAGTCTATGGATCAAAATAAAGCTTATAATTGGAGGAGTATAGATATATACAATCTAGCTACCGAATAGTTATACATTAAGAATATATACATGTAATATTGGTCCATAAATAGTTCTCAAAAGTTACCATTCATAATTCTCTTAGGGATATGAAACTATATTCATTTATACGACTAAACGTTTCTGAATTGAATCAGCAATGGTTTTGGTTGATAATATAAATGTAGAAACACATATAAATATGACACTGTACTATTCTTGATCTAATTTTAGCAAAAAAGATCAATTAATTTGTGATCTTCATATAGATGGGAAAGAATTTACATCCAATTTTAACTACGCCATTGATACAAGTAAGTTAATAGGGTTGTTTATTAATAATGTTTTGATAGAAAAATAAGATGAAGTATTTACTAAGTTGCTCACATCAACTCTATCTTCTTATTGCTCTATTGAAAAACGGCGATAACTTTTTTATTCTACGTTGAAACTCCTCACCAGTATAAACAAACGACTTTACCTAGTAAAAAAAAGTTACACTTATAAATTGAATTGAGGTTTAATGGTCAGATCCTTGATCTGATCAAGGTCAATCTGTGATGTGAGACCTTAAATTTAACTATCTCCATAACATGGTATTGTAGGATGGGAGATAGTAAATTAATAGATCAATATTTAAAATATGGGTCAGAATTTAGATTAAAGTGTGTCAGTACTTATTAACAGCTGTCAATAATTGTGGAAAAGGTCATACAAAGTTTACTATCACGATCGATTAAGATGAAGACAATACCAGTCGGCAAGCCTACTATGCTTTTTATATACTTCAGGATCGTAGTCATGACCCTACTTAGATTATTTATATAATTTTCAGTTTGGTAATTTTTCCTAAATATATACATCATTTTTACTTAACCCAGTTGTAAGCAGCTAACGAGAACCTAAGTAGGTGCTATTCTCCTCACCTCTTTATTCTTTCTCCTTTCAGAATAATAAAAGGAATTATGTGTATCAATGAGCGATTTTCTAGTTTAGAGAGAAAAATGTTATCAGAAGGGGTTTTTTGTGGAGATTTTAGTAATTTTATAGTTGAAATCTGATGATAACCATATGTTCACTAGTGACTGGCTTCAATAAATATTTCCTGGAGTTCTAGTAGGAAGCAATGACCAGTGGTGTTCAACCATGTCTGTTGTGAGATAACAACTCACTGAAGACAACTGGTGAACGGTTGCTCAATTTTGTGGATTGGTCGAAGTTAGACATTAACACCGTTGGATCCCGGCTCAGTGGTTAAGTGCTCCTGCGTGATACTGATAGATCCTGGGTTCGAATCTCGCTAGGCGGGATCGTTAATACGTACTGCTGAGGAACCCCACAATAACACGGAACGACCATCCAGTGCTTCTAGGTTTTCCATGGTGGTCTATCTTCAATTGACTCACGATTTCAACTAGAAGACAGTTAGCCATTAAAGGACTTAGGGATGAACTTATTACAACATCGTCTCCTTGTCTATACATTTGATTATTGAGTTTAATAGTTCTTTGATAATCTTCATTTGGATCATAGTTTCGATTTCTTGTTCCTCTTCTTCTTCTTCTCATTAGATAAAATAATCTTTATTAATTTGGATCAATTTCATAATTTTAATGCCAAAAAAAATATTCATTATTTAATGAGATTTTATTTTAATCAAATTTTTGATAAAAATATATTGAATACAAAAAATAGTCAAATTATATTATGGACAACATTTAGTCAATATACTAAAATTGGTAAGTAATTATAATAAAAGTAACATTATATATTATTATCATTATATATATTACTACATATATATTATAATATACATATTGTTAATGTCAGAAGAGGCTTTTATGGAGCTAGACCACCATGGAAAACCTGGACGGCTATTTCTTCTTATTGTAGGACTCCTCAACAGTTTGCATTCCACGATCCTGCCTCGCGAGATTCAAACCCAGGACCTATCGATCTCGCGCGAGAACACTTAACCTCTAGAACTACTGAGGCGCGATTGTGGGATGCACCCTACTGAGGAGTTTCGTAATAGGACGAAACGGCCGTCCGGTGCTTCCAGGTTTTCCATGGTTGTCTAGCTTTAATTGACTCATGATTTTAACCATAATATTATTAATGATCTAGGATTGATAAGATCGACTAGTATTTGAGTAGAGTTTAATTCTCTAAGCTTTGATTGTTGTAATCTATTATAACGGTAGATTTTCCTTGTTCTAACGGTTCTTTTACTTTTTTTACACGTATGTGGGACGTTAATTTATCTTAGACGAATATCTACACTAGATTCCCTCCCAGTGTCTATTCTATAGGATTCAATACAACTTAGATTAAGAACATGTGATTAGCCCGACTAAAACCTCAATATATTTCCGCACTCAAATCCGACACAATCCAAAAACAAAGAACATTTGATCAATAATAATAATAATGAGTAATAAGGATAGGGGAATATATAACACACATAACACTTGTCACACTATCTACATGTTTGACTCAGCAAAACAACCAATCATTATCATTCTTGCCGACACATCATGATGATTATCAGTACAAACTTTAGGTGAAAGTGAGTTATTCGAATTTCTTCACATATGATTGATAGCTTGTATATAGCTTGATATATTTATAATACTACAATGAGTAGGAAAAATTAGATTTTCTGACGTTTCGTAACTGAATGTAGGCCACTTCTTCAGAGAATAAATAACCAAATTAAAATTAATCCAAGTTTAAATAGTACAGTGGAACAGTAAGAATATTAAAACACTGAGTCATGAAACGTTAGAAAACGTAATTTACCTCTTCCTTGAGATATTACAAATATATAATTTATTTATAATAATCTAGCTAATACTCCATTTATTCGAAATTATCAAATCCAAACGTGGTAATGATACCTACAAACTCGATTGGTTATTATTGACTTTTAACAAAACATTATCTGTGTATTTATTTTGATGGTCTTTCTTCATGACCTGATTCCTGATCTTGTCAAATACTATGATGTATCCTCTCTTATATCAGTGAACATGGATATTTGTAGGCAATGTATTCAATTGGGAATATATTGAAATTTTGCATAATGGGAAGCTTAGAATCCGGGTCAATCAGTGATCAACAAATGAGCAATGTTTTGAAGACATTTATAATCAAATACTAGTAACCTACACTGACCCTTTTTTCCTAATATCCATGTTTCTCAGCTTTAGAGTAGGAGTGAGTGAACTGTTTTGTAAACTCATTTGGTTGGCAGATAGAAATTTCACCTATACTACAAGCCAGCCGAAATTTCTCAATCCATGCTAAGATATTGTCGAACAGTAACTTATTAAGCTTGATGACTTTCCAGATAAATGAAGCGATTAATCAGTTAATCAACCGATTAAAAAAATCAAAGACAAATCATAGGATTAAGAATCTGAACAAAATGAGGAAAATTCAAAATAGATAGTACAGATAATGATATGTTAAAAGTCAACAATAACCAGTTGAGTCAACTTTGACAAAACAAGCTATCAATCATCTGAAGTTTGTACTGATGATATTGTTCAGTACAACAATGAAAGTTTCACGATAAAACGATTTTGCTCAGAGAATGAAACTTCATAGGAATCATACACCTAAATCACTAATCTTCTCCATCATCTCAGGATCAACAACTACTTTTACTTAAGTTGTTATCGGTTTATTTAAACATTAAGACAAATAACATCGATCATGTACTTGCTTCAATATCTAATATCCAAATTGGAATCAGTAAATTTAAATAAAAATAATTCACGATTATACATAAGTAATATCTCCACCCGCATTAATGAAATATAAGCTCAATTTCGTGGATTGGCTGAAGTTAGACAATAACATCGTTGGATGCCGACTCAGTGGTTTAGAGGTTAAGCACTCGCTCGCGAAACTGACAGGTTCTGGGTTCGAATCTCGGGAGGCGGAATCGTGGATGTACACTGATGAGGAGTCCCACAATGAGACGAAATGGCCGTCCAGTGCTTCTACGTTTTCGATGGTGGCCTAGCTTCAATTGATTCATGATTTCAACTATAAATTTCAGTTGATTGTAATTACATTTTACAAATTATCTTTTTTGAACAAATTTTCTTTAATGAATATATTTTTTGTTGCTTTAAGTGTATTATCTTTCTTTCTTATATTTATCAATCTTTCAGGATTTAAATGTAGACAGACATTTGGCCAAATTGATCTCTTATCAATCGATTTAGGCTTATCTCATTTAGAATGTGGCAGTGTATTAACAGGTTGTTTGTTAAATCTATTACATAATTGTGAAGTTCTTAAATCATTTCAAAAATTAAGGATTAATGAAATCGAAGCGTTTGAAAAGATTTGTGAAGATAAAGTAAGTATGAATATTTGTGTTTATATTAAGTAGATTACATTTAGTCTCTTTGACAAATATATAGTGATTGTGTAACCAAGATTATTAGTTGTAAATACAAGAAAACAGTCAGTCGTATTATAATCAAACCTCAATCTCACTAAGGCAGTTTGATTCTGGGTTCTATCTTTATTCACTTACTCATTAATATTAGTTGAATTTCCTCTTCATGTTATATAACTATGAGAACTGAAATACTAATGTTTTTAAATATAATTGTTCACTAGTTTCTGACCTGTGATTTGGTCACCAAATAGGTTTGAAGGTACTTCACAAACTAGCACTGTCTAGAGAACTACAGAAAAGAAGCGAGCACTGGGTACTCGTGTTATTCTCGTTTATGACTATTTAGAAGTGCACACTTAGCACCATCAAGAATCAAACTAATGGTCTTCAGATATCTTGGTGCATATGCTACATCTGGAAAGTTGAGTCGGATTACATTATTCTATGGGCTAAATTCAGTCTCAAATATCATTTAAAGTCATAAGCGATAACCGTTACATTTTCTCTATGGATGGAATCCATTGGCAATGACTTGTCAATAGAATTTCCAAGATGATTGACGGAGGTAGTCGTTAGTGAGCAAATGTTTATTGATTAGTTGGTTGGTTCATTGAGGTTGGCTATATTCTACATTCATAGCAAGCATAGTGAAGTTAGAAATCCGGACGGCTCGGTTTCGATGCAATGATCTAAATGTAATGTAAGCTCTTCGTCTCGATGCTTGACCGATTTGACAGTACTCTCTGTTTGGGATTTCCAAACATATTTGGAACAGTAGTTTTCTGCTTCTTGATTTCCAACGCTTCAGCAACTGATGTCAACCTACGATAGGTAAAACACTACAAATTTCGTAGTTTGTCTCATGCATTGATTTTAATCAGAAACTTACTTACTTACTCACACCCGTTACCTCTCGTGGAGCAGCATAGACCGCCCACTACCATTCTCCATGCAAATCTGTCTTGAGTAATCTCTTCCAGTTCCTTCCAGTTGTTATTCATCCTTTTCATGTCTGCCTCCAATTCCCGACGTAGTGTGTTCTTCGGCCTTTCTCTTCTCTGTTTCCTTTCAGGATTCCAAGTTAGAGCTTGTCTCGTGATGCAGTTTGGTGATTTCAGTAATGTATGTCCTATCAAATTCCAACTTCTTTTCCTAATTTTCTCTTCAGATGGAAGCTAGTTTGTCCTCTCTCACAGCAGGCTATTGCCGATGGTATCCGGCCAACGGATAGTGAGTATCTTGCGTAGACGACTGTTTGTGAATACTTGTACATTCCTGATGATGGTTATAGTAGTTCTCCAATTGACTTAGAAAACGAGGGAGAAAATCAAAAAGAGTTGAGTCGCTACTCTGTCTTAGTATGAAACTCTTTGGTAGTACACACATACTATCACACCAGGGATCGAATCTGTAACTTACTGGTCTCGCACTTAATGTTTGACCCTCAAACCACTAACTGTTCATCCATCAGTTTACATTTCTAACTTTCATTAATTTACAATATTTTAAGACTTTCATCCAATGCCTCACACTCAGTATGGTTAAATTTCATCGTTCATAGTCTATCACTAGAACTCCTGAAATTACTTTTAATGACCATTTATTGGTGAACACTTTACTTATCTCAACAAACTATTCTACTAAGTAATGATTAAACTATTCAAACTCACTATAAACTCTATAAATAAGCATAAATCCCTTACTATTTAAACAAAACTAATACCTAAACAGAAAAAAAGCATTGTAATGCGATAAATAAATACAAATAATGATAATAATATATTCTGTAAATAATAATTACAGAATTCACACCAGTTTACAGGCATGATCAATTTGATATAAATAGCAACATTAGATGTAGAGAACAAACATGTGATATAAGATTGTTTTAAGTTTGCTAGTTTAGTAATTGTTAAGTAGTTTATTTATAATATGTATCACAGCAATCCAATGCATCATTATTTATTATTATTATGTAAACACATAAATATTGGTACAAGAAAGCACCAGATACATATGCGCCATACAAATCTCATTCGATTTGTGTGAGGGCTGTGATGCTGCCTAGATGCTCAAACTGAAGCAGGTGATTTTCTTAGGGGGCCACACCCGGAGCCTTTGACCTAAAGGTCTAACCCATAAGGCAGTGGAGCAACGTGAGGAGATGCAGTCCCATGGTAGCCGTTGACCAACGATTGATTCATACACCATTTGTTCCCTCAAAATACTGGAGCCCATGTGCACCATTGGTTTGGAATCAGGGTTTTCCAACTCCCCTAGATGGACACTCCACATCCACCAACCCGGTTAAAGCACCGGATATTTGCTTTTCGTCCTCCCACTTTTGTGAACAACAGTAATGCCACGAGAAGGCAGTGAGTAGGACTTCCCTTGTAGAGGCTATATATTCGCGTGGCCATGTGAGAGCATTTGGAGAGAGAGAGCGGACTCTCCCAACTCTCGGTCGTATCAGGGCATTTGGGGCCATCCAATGCATCAGTAGGGAACATTTAATTTTTTCTTGAGTGGATAGCCTGATGATTTATGAACAGTGTTGTTTAAATTCACTTAGTATTGTTTATTTGAAGCTTCTCATTGATGTTTGGGACTGCAACTGGTCAGTCTATATCGAGGCAATAAGAACAGTATGCACATATGCCAATTAGAGACTAACCAGTTGCAGTCCTATTAAGTGGATAACGCGAAAGTTACTGAGTTCGAGTCCGAGATTGAACATCAACTCTGAAATGCCGGTACATCCAGTTGACGAGTCTCAAATAGAACGAAACGCTTGTCAAACTGGATTTCACTGCTAGCCACTATCCATCTTTGATGTTCTTTAAGGTTATTTCTCTTTAACCTTTTTTTTCTATCTTTTATCTTTTTTTTATAGATTCAACTATTGAATATATCAAATAAATTAATAAATTATAAATTATTCCATTCTGATATAAAGAAATCACTATCCAATACTAATTCAATTCAATTCAATGGAGATTGTTTAAATTTAACAAAACAACATATTGAATTAATTCAAATCTTTTCAAGGTTATCAAGTAATTCTATGCATTTCAAAGAAATACAATTACAATGTAAACATCTATATAATCAACTGAATATGTTTATATATCAAAATAATACAATTGGATGTATTATAAATTTTACATGTAAAATATCTTTATTATTCAGTAGTTTGGATGATATACCAAATGAAGATTATATTACATTTCGTTGGCCATGTAAACGATTATGTGAATATATTATGAGTTCAAAGCAAGCAAATTTATATTCTTCCCATTTGGAAGATATGAATGAAGTCGATTCACCTTCTGATGTACTTCTCAGTCATGAACATGAGATACAGGTAGGTAACTGATGTGTGTGTGAGAATGATAATTGATTGTTTTGCAGAGTCAGACATGTAGATAGTGTGATAAGTGTTATATGTGTTATATATTCCCCTATTCCTACTATTATTTTCATAGTTGAAAGCATGAGTCGATTGAAGCTAGACCACCATCGAAAACCTGGAAGCACTGGACGGCCGTTTCGTCCTATTACGAAACTCCTCAGCAGTTTACATCCCAGATCTCGCCTCACGAAATTCGAACCCAGCACCTACCAGTCTCACGCCAGAGCACTTAACCGATAGACCGCTGAACTGGCATTATTACTGATCGACTGTTCCTTGTTGTTAGATTGTGTCGGATTTTGGTGTGGAAATATATTGACGTTATAGTTAGGCTAATCATGTGTTCTTAATCTGAGTTATGTTGAAGTCCTATAGAATATAAACTGGGAGTGAATCTAGTGTAGATATTGGCCTAAGGTAAATTAACGTCCCATATACGTGTAAAAAGTGAAAGGACTGTTATAACAAGAAACCCTAGAGTTATAACAAGTATCCAACCTTTAAAACGGTAACTAATATATTTCCTTGTTTGAAAAAAAACTCGTTCAGTATTTTCATTCGTTTACTATTTTATGTCTGGTTCGACATTTAAGCTCATAACTAAAGTAAATTCTAGTGAGATACAATTAATGTTTGACTTTATTCTGATTACAGTCACTTTACCTTTGTTTTTCTCTGGAGGAAAAGTGATTAATATTCTTCTGTCAGTGTTTTTGTATGTGTTGTGACTTTATGAGAGGCCGTCGCCAATTTGTTATGACTATAAAATAAGAAGGCCTTATCCAAATCGTTATGACTTTATGTCCGACTTTTTATCACGTGATTTATTCACCAATCGAAATACGACTTTTCCAATCTTAGCACTATGCCAGAACGATGATGTTCAACCGGTATGAGCAGTCTAGCATCTTTATCGGTCCCTTGTCCTCCTAGCCCTTCCACTTGAGTTCAGAACACCAATTACAGCTTCTGTTATGTGAATCATTTATTTCAAGTATACTCGGTTTATATACCAGACAAACAGACCCCATCGTACCATAAAATAGGAAACAACATTTGTACAAGATTAAGTCAAATGTGGCTATAAATAAGGGAGATAGTAATTGATAGACTGGGTAAAACTCAAGATTGGTAAATCTTATAATAATAGTTCATAGGTCAAAACAAAGCTTATAATAAGAGGGACGCGAATATGAATAGTTTGGTTAAAGCTGAGTAGGCTTTAATTAATGACTAAATAGCTATCTTAAGTAATCTAACCACTTCTGAATCCAGCAATATTATAATTTGAACGTTTTATGATTAGAAGTTCATGAGTTTGCTTTACTTTCTTTCTTATTTTTTTTTCTACAAGGAAACTAGTCGACGCATTGTACATACATTATTGGAATTCTTCTTCAGCTCTTTAAACACTTGGAATAATTCATTAGGATTAATCATTCAAATAAAACTTTCCATATATTTTAATATACTTCAATATAGTAAATTAACTATTGATGAATTACAAAATCTAGATCAGATAAATGAAATTGAATTGTTCAAACAGATCATTTCCAGCAATATTTTTAGTTGTGAATATGACTATCAACATTGTTTCAATCACAATAAATCAGAGGTGAGTTTTGGTAATTATGTACTTCAAAAGGGGTATTGTGGAGGTTTCAGCATTTTCATAGTTCAAATCAGGAGTCGATTGAAGCTAGACCACCATGAAAAACCTGGGAGCACTGGACGGCCGTTTCGTCCCATCGTGGGACTCCTCAGCAGTGCACATCCAGTGCTTCCAGGTTTTCCATGGTGGTCTAGCTTCAATCGACTCATGATTTCAACTATGAAAATTATGTACTTGTCAAATGAATTTATTAATACAATAAAATTATTATAATCGAAAACTGACCAATTATTCAAGATAATTTGATCATTACGGACCGAGATTTATGTAAAATATTTCAGAGGTGATTAGTGTACCGAAATCCTTATGAAGTCAATGTTGTCACTCCTTAACCAACTCACTCAGATTATTTGATTTGATGTAGATGGAAATCACAATTAATTGATCACTAGGTGGTGATCAATATCATGTGCGTCAAGTCCTTCTTAGTGCTGATCGAATGCTATCGATCAAATTGTAATGTGGCGACTAGTATAGGTGGCTCGACACTGCGTGCACTATGTTGAGATAAGATGGTGGTTGGAGGTGGTCAACAGGAAACCCTGTACCCGGGGTTTGTGCTACTTGGCACTTGTCAGCAAGGTGTACCTAAATGACGTCAGTCGCGTCCCGAATAGCTCAGTGGTAACGTCTCTGACTGTGAAGCTGGGTGATATGGGATTGAATTCGTCAAAGAGCGCCAGTTCCCTCAAGATTACAGGTACACCTTGCTGATGAGTGCCACGTAGCATGAAACCCGGGTCCAGGGTTTCCTGTAGACCGAAATATACAACAGAGAAAAAAAAGATAAAAACATCATTTTTTCTACAAAGTAGACCGCACCACCTGTGAAGGATACTACACTGGAGTAGGAGGACAGAACCTTCACCAAGACACATTCGATTGAATAACTACTAACGAAATAACACGATATTTTATTCCTGATATTAACACACGTAGACAACAACGGACATTAATTTGATTGTGAACGTCGAAATTTACCATCTGAGGAGTTCCTAAGAATATCAGGGAATTTACATAAAGTATAAATCGATAGATACAGCAGTGTAGATCCAAATTATCAATCCACACAGATTATGTCAACCAACCAGTTGGTCAAAAGTCAAGCAAATAGTGAATAGGAATACAAAGGCTAAAAAAGATAAGGACGCCTGTGAAAACAACCAATCATGAACAAGATCATCAGAACCAATTGATTTGGTGCTTGAGAGACAACTGCAAAGTTTATTTCTACATGAAGTGGGTGATGATAATGTTGTCCAGAATTACTGAAATTTTCACAAATAAATCAGTCAGTCATAACTTAGAACCTGGTTCGAATGTATGTCGTTTCCAGATGCCATACCCCATCAGCACCGAGAGATGGAATTTTCAGCCCGATTTCCTGAATAGTACAGGTAGCATCAATGTAAGTGGCGACAGAAAACAATGGGCATCGAAGAAACAACTCAAGAAAATATAAATTGGTAAAACAAAAAACACAAATAAAGTTATGAGGAATCCAGAAAGTCAGAATCTGAGCAATAACAAAGATTGGATACACCTGAACCATTACAAATGATTTTGCCTTGGCATCCCTAGTTTTCTTCTAGCCTACTTCTACACCAAATACTATTGTCCGTCAAGGTAAACCGTGGTCGAATATATGTAATACATGTTCTCACCTTCTCGGTTGATGACGATTTACCACCTAATACCCTATTCCTAACCTGGGGATTGTTTGCTCGGTGGTCCCAAATATACACGAGTAATGCTTCGAAGAAACCTATTATCAAATATTGGTAACCTATGAATATCCTCTATTTTTCATACCTATAAATTAGAACGGGGTGAAGTGCTGCACACCAACAAGAAGTTATTATTATCAAATAGTTAAAGTCTTTTTGATGATTCATCTTTATGAACTGTATGAACTTTTAGGTTAGATATTTACCCTCTGATGAACAAGTAGATATCTATTTAACATTAAGTGTACTAATGAGGTATGGAAACTTGGACCGATGTATATGTTTGCCTGGTCTTACGTTGTAGCTGGCTGACTGACTGACTGAATTACTCAGTCCATTTATGCTATTTGTAGACTCTTACAAGTCATCTAAAAAGATAAACTAAAGTACAGAGCAATTTGCTTTCTGTATATCTGTGTTAATACAATTCAGTTTGATAATGTCCAATGTTCATTTTTGATGTTTCTTCTGTATAAGTACATTACAGAATCGTTGTCAAATTACTGATATCAGATGGTAATATATTTTTCCAAATGTATTCTTCTGAGCAATAGTTGCATAAAAATCCTCTCATAAGAAATCATTCAATTTTATTTACATATATATTATCAGGTTCGTAGACGTATTCAGTTGTTGGAGAAAAAATTGCCAACTTTAAATGGTTTAGAGAAAGCAATAATGAATGAGCCATTAATATGGACTGAAATAATTGAGGTAAGTAGTTCTATCCCTATTAGAATTATTTCTGTCTCTATGATGATATGTCTCCTTCTCAACGCCTTCATTTGAATCCATGAAGCCAGACCTATTTTTCAAAAGGAAACACGTTATACTTAGCATCGCTTCTGTTATGTATGTTTTAGCTCTGTTGCATCGACGGTCTTACAGCTTATACTTGGAATGGAAACCACTATAATTCCCAAAAGACGATATGAAAATATAGGGACTAGTATTACTGTTGAATTACTAGTTCTCCAAAAACACGTCTCGAAAACAAGTCGTCAAAATTACGTCATCGTTAAACTAAGTACGCTCATTTATACATATTTTTCAAACATTTGATGATTAGTTAATTAACACCATTAAAATGAAAAGATATCCAAGGTTACTGTGAAACAAAAAATATAATCATTACACTTAGTGAGAGTTCATACCTGTCATACTGAACAAAATTTATACTTAATTAATACAAACATATTGACCTGAAATAATCTTACCCTGGAAAGCATAATCCCAATATTGAAATGCCACACTGAGAATAAAAATTAAGTCATATAATGTTACAATGAGTTAGAAAAAACGTGATCTTCCCTTATTATCACGACTTATCATAAAGATTATACACTGGGTTAATCAGAAATCGATCAAAAAATAAATGTACGTGATTAGCCGACATATGGATCACATTTCTTAGGAATGAGACATACTTCATCAGTGGCCCGATTTTCCAAGTATCTCTACATGCTGATCAGGTATATAAATCAATTTCATTCTTTATTCTCAGACTTTTTACTCGAATAGTTTATTGATTTCAAGTATAGAGAGATCGCGTATTCGTATTAGAATTAGACACCGTACATCACAGTAAACATCATGAACCTTTTGACAGCAAATGTAAAACTGGCAATAAAATGAGAGTTATGTAATAATTCTCAAGTCCATCATTCAGGAAAGTGAAAGACGATATTATTAAGATTTAAACTATTTATAGTCAAAAATCTACTGATCTGAAAACTTTTAAGCTGATATTTTGATAAATAGTTCACAGAGTGCTAGTAAGAAGTTGTAACTGATGAATTATAACTAGGTTTGATATAGGACAGTTAGTTACCTTTCAATAGAAGTAGAATCATAGTTACACAACTCCTTGTAATGATTAAAGATAACATACATATAAACAACTCAATACAAGCTCAATAGTTCAAAAGTTAGGTGTTTGCTACGAAACCAAAACGTTCTAAGTTCTGTCCTTGTAAGGATAATGAATTCACACTGATGATGAATTTCATATCTAAATGAAACAACTGCCCGATATTTTCTAAGTTTTCACTTATTGTGTGACTGTAGCGTACGCTACTTATCTCAACAGATATAAGTAGTAAGTAACACCAACCAAAAGTGAGATGTCTGGCAGCAGAAGATTGATATGATCGAATTGAAAAAAACAGGAATGTAAACAAGGAGTAATTGTAATAACAACAGAATTGAAAGAATCATGAAGCGTGCAATACACAATTGAAGGAATATGTTCAAATAATGTATTTCATGTATAGTTTTCATAGTTTACAAAGGCACTGTATAATTTTGTACTAAACAATAAATTGGTTATTCCCGCCAAGATTTTGTTCACTACATGACTACTGTTAATCCATTGGGCAATAGTCTCCACAAACCTACTGTACTAAAGATATGAATCTATATTCATTAAATGTTGTTACCATAGTATGAATTAGATTGATTAGCATATTGTATGCTTCGTTTACATATTTTTCTTTGTTAATATTATTATCATGTAGACAAAGCCGAATTTTTTTCATTCATTGCCTGGATTCTCTACAAAACTATCCATACCTGAATCACATGTATTTTTAGTTTGGATTTCAATAAGACCTGAACTAGTAAGTTCAGTAGTATAATATTACATATTGAAATTTTCTATTAAAGAGATTTTCTTTTCAATATGTTCAGCTAGACAACAATCGGAAATTATTATACGAGGAAACTTCTCAGTATTTCACACTCTTCCCTTAGTTAAGGATTGAGCTTGTATTCTTCAGTGTTTGTAACGAGCATTTCATGTTTAGATTGACCAATCAAAATCTAATAGTCCTGATAAGTCTTTTACTTGAACGCTTAGACATTAACTTTATAACCGTTTCTTATCCCTTAAAAATCTATGACTGAGACCTCAGCCGTAAATGGATGGAAAGTATGAATAAAGCTTAGCATCAATGGTGAGTTATTCACGAAGGCTAAATGAATTTACAAGAATACATGAGACCTTAAAACGTATGAAAAACAATTTAAAACTGATTTTCTAGATTAGTCTTTAACGTTTAATAAAAAGAATGCTGGTTAGTCGAAATATTTTTTTATCATATTCCTGGCTTTTGAAGACTTTTCAGAAAACTATCAAAGACTTATAACAAGTCTAATACTTCTAAATTAAGTCGATTCATGATATAGCGAAACAATGTTTTAGTATCATCAGTAACATGTACAGCACTTTTGATATGGTTATGATTATATTTTTATTGACTCTCATTGTAAGTAACTACCCACAATCTTTTCTTTAATTAGCATGTTGTGTTATAAAGATTAAGATTACAGAATGGATTCAGTGAATGTTTAATCCCTATGATTGACTCCAATTGATGTCAACATGGAATGATCAACTATCGATTATTGATTAACTTCGTCTATATTCATCAATTTAATCACGTTGCTGAATAAAAAAATACAATGGGTCAAATACAAAAGTATTTTAAATATATATATATTTCATACATCTATTAGTGAAGGCATAATAAATGACTCAATTCAGCTAAGGTGAAACTTGCCTACTCAAAATATTACTCGTTACATGTGTCGGTATAATTTAAAATATGCAGTGAATACTGTGAACAAGGTGATAGACAGTGGATAAAATAAGTAAGGGTAATGGATACATGAGCACATATAAGACATTGTAATTATCTGCCGAAGTCCATAATTGATTATTATCAGAATAGAGTTTTTGGGAAGATAATTCAATAGTTGTTCCATGCTATCTGAAATATTAATATTTACCTAAAAGGTGGAATGAGCTTACTTAGGTATTATGGCAAAAGCTTATTGTAAGTGAATAAATATGTTGGATTTATGATATACGCCATCAGTTATTTGAATCAATTTTAAATGTGGCCAAATGATAACACCTCACGAAACCTACCTATACTGATATGACTTGCTGATTAAACGCTATATTCGGATCCTAAGCTAGTCTCGTAACCCCCAAGCTAGAACCACACAGCCACTTGAACACGAGGGAAAAGGCGGAAAACATATGAGAAGCGCTTTACTCCAAAGGTTCATTTATGTACAGAAAATATAGGGTTTTTATAGTATTTTAGAATTCCTTGGATTTTCCTAAAAATTATAGAATACTACTCAATATAGTAGCAATGTAGTAATCAGCCAATCAGAACCTCTACATGTGACTTTTCATTTTCGCGATATTTCTAACAAAACTTCTAGTCAAACACTGACTGAATAAAATGCTTCTTGATGTTTCCTGAGCTTTTCATGTCTATTGAGAGAAATTTTCAGGATCCTCCCAACATGGACACTCTAGAGCGTTATAATCGCAACAATCATAACACATTTGTATACAAAATAAACGAGATTAAATCTTATCGTAAACATAAACAAGTTGTGTAGGTAGTAGTGGCTGGGTACTACGTCAAACCCACATGGCTTATTCTAGAACAATTTATTCATTCTTCTTGAGTTATATTTTGACCTTGGTAATTGTTCGCTTATTAACCTTGACTGGTTTTTTTATACGAGCGTATGTGTGTTAATAGCTCACCCTAACACTACGTGTTAGCGATTTATTTTTGTCTAGTTATAAATATAGAGTCACGCTTGATCAAATACAGCTGACTCGCTCACCTCCTCCACGTTGCTTCATTTTCTATTTCTCCAACGACATTCTCTTTCTCCATTTCGTTCCTTTAGTTGTCTGTCCTAAGAATCAAGCTTCGGTTTTATGAACCATATAGGTGAATCGAGTGTTATTTCGATTAAAATCCATCTAAATGATATTTCATATGTGTCTTTTATGTAGAATTTTAATGTATTTGCTAACGGTGTTCTTTCTTCTGTTTAAATCCTACTTTCATTTATCACTAGTTCCATATCATTTCAAAAGTTTTCGTTAATCATATATTGGCTCAACACATTACATCAACAAATAATAATAATAAAGAATATTCTAGTAGATCATTTGAAGCTGAAAAACGTTTACGTATCGACGAATTGTTTCAACCACAAATTATGAAAAGAGTACAAGGGTCTTATTTAAATGAAAATGATTTCTTGTCTTCAGTTATCTATTGTGAGTCTGCTAGAAGTCTATTCATTATTTTTGAAGTATGCTGTACTTTATATATAGTTGAAATCATGAATCCATTGAAGCTAGACAACCGTAGAAAACCTGGAAGCACACTGGACGGCCGTTTCGTCCTATTGCGTGACTCCTCAGCAGTGAGTATCCACGATCCCGCTTCAATTGACTCATGATTGTGACAATATATATATATATATATATATATATATATATATTACTTGAAATCTCCACAGAAAACCCTCTTATACTGTATTTTGTTAAACGGAATAAATAACTACGAACTAATTGCCATAATGCACTGATACCAACTGTAGAAGCAGAATGAATCAGTGATCAATTGAACTGTGGTTGCATTTGGTCATGTTGCCGATCAGGAGTGATCTAAAATGATCGTGGATAATTTAGTTAGCTTGCACCTGCTTCAGTTTGGCCATCTGGGAAGTATCACAGCCCTCACACAAATCGAATGAGATTTGTGCGGCGCATATATATCTGGTACCCCTTTGTACCAATATTTGTGTTTAAATAAATAAATAATAATAAAGTTAACTTACAATCAGTCAAAAAAGTAAGCTCTGTGGAACAATTTTTTGAAATGTAAAACCTGAAAAATCAAATATTACTTATACATTCAAAACGCAGAGACATCCATAAGATCCTAGGTTATTAGTATAAACCATTGTGCTTTATTGAACATACTTTTTAATTCTAGATGATAAGCTTTAGGCTTTCTGATTCTTCACTTTCTTGAAATATTATTTCTGAATATTTCTATCGTACATCCAGAGGACATGAATCAATCAGATTAAAAAGTTACTTACCCAGTCTTCTTTAAGTTTCTTTCCTTGTTATATTTTCATTTTCTTAGCAGCGATCCTAGTTATTTTAACTAAATTTCCCACACTATCGATCGATAAAAACAAATGAAACATGGTGTCACCAGATATGTTTTAATAGTACTGATGCCATTGAATTGTTAAAACTTAGCTGACATTTAATTTGGTCTACAACTCCGGCTAAAAAGTGCTTATAACTCAGTGTAATACAAACACTATCACTTGTTAACTTAGAATGGGATTGATTAATTTTGATAGATTTGAGTTCTTCGAATGAATAGCATCGGAAAACTGATCCATTACACATTTCTGTACACTTGTTCAATGTCATTTCTTCGTCACAATCAAAAGACATTATTCTTTGAAATAACCAAACATTTTAGAGACATTCATTCATAGTATTCTTGTTAAAACTATAATCTATCAATGACAGGATATGCTTCAAAGATGAACTCTCTATGACCCCAATTTCGAATCACAAAACTAACTAGTTCGATAGTATTTTTTGGTCCAACCTGATTGGCCGCGATAGGTGGAACTCATCAATTTTAATAGTAAAGGGTTTCATTCATAAAATAGAATGACAGTTACTCAATATCGATTGTTTAAATGGATACATAAAGGGAGTTAGCGAATCTATTATTCGTGACATAGCCAAGGCCATAACAAATTCAATACTTTGACAAGTGAAATGATACTTGTTACGCCAAACTATAGTTTGTTACTTTTGATAAAGAATTTCGATAGAAATGGCGAATATCGAACTATACTGTTTGGTTATGATGTGCTTTGATAGTTCTTTTCTTACATTACACTTGTATGTATAAATTTTTGCCCATTTTTTTCCACAGTAATCCTTCCAAACGAACTGAATGAATTTAAACATAAGGATTTCCTTGTTAATGATATGTCTGGAAAAGTAGTTGTTTCAAATGGATTAATAAATGCATTGAATAAGATGGCAATGTATTCAAATAGAACTTTATTTTCTATAGACTGTGCAAATACTACTGATATCTCTTACTGGTTATCAGTATGTGGTAAGTAATATAATAATTAAGAGATTAAACCCAAGTTATTAGACAAAACTGTTATAGATTGAAAAGATAATGAATGTTGAGAGTGGGATACATTTTCGAGTGATTGTTATGCATTGTAATTTTCTTTAATATTTGAAATTTGATAACAATTTTCAGGCATTATATACATTCTAAACTAAGCCTGGAACCGTTTTAAGGTTACTGCTAATCACAAGATCGGGTATAAGAGACAGGTTAGGGTATATGGTTAGTAACTCAATCCAGTAAGAAAAGACCTTACTAAAAAACATTAAACCAAATATTCATGTTCATTTTACCAAAGTAAACCATATCTGTGAACAGGAACAAAATGTTTGAGACTTTTCCTTAAAAGCAATCTGAATAACTTATTGATAACATTTCAAACTGTGAAACTTGATGATATTGGATTTAAATCCGACACGGTACATCATTTTCATGAATATTGAAGATAAAATTTGATGCTGAGTGTCAACTAGCATGGTTTACTGGCGATTACTTTTAATTATTTAACATAAAGTATGTGCTCTTGACATATTTTATCATTGCAGTGTACCAAAGGATGCTAAACATAGACTATATAAGTCAGTTAAAGCAAAGATGTATAGTGGCTAGCAGTGGAATCCAGTTTGACGCGCGTTTCGTCCTATTTGGAACTCATCAGCTGGATGTACCTGCATCTCAGAGTTGATGTTCAATCTGGGATTCGAACTCAGTAACTTTCGCTTCAAAGGCCATCGAATTATCTACTCAGCTACTGAGTCCTGATAGCCACTTGCTTGTGCAATGGGGTGAAGTTTAAATTCACTTAGTAATACTTGTTTGAATCAATATAAGTTAATTGAGATTATTGTTGTATTTATTTTCTTTTTATTCAGAAGTTCCTATGTGAACTAACTCTTTTTCACTCGTTTTATGTCCCGATATACATATAATAAATATTTTCACTTTACTCATATTTAAATTTTGAACTGTTTCTTTTTCTGGTTAGCGGTTTTTGGCGAGTTAGTTTTCTACAAGTTGTGATCGCTAACCCTATGCCCAGCCCTTCTCCTTTATCCGGGCTTGGGACTGACAAACGTCCCAAAGTGGCTCCAGGTGGAGTATTTAAATTTTACTGTTTCTTAAAATGTTCAACGTCGAACATTTAAATGTTTACATGAACGCCCACATATTTATATTGAATGTAAGTCTTTTTCATTTATTCAGGATCCAATACAAATATACTTCCATATCAAAGAATTTTAATTATTCTTCAAAATGTACACATCATTGACAAAAGAATGGATACAGTATTGGACGAATTATTACAATATGGTCTTTATAATTTAAGATACAAACAAATTCATCATTTACAGAATCAAGAAAAGCCTCTATTAATCAATAAACTTGGAATATGTTTTGATATTATCATTGATTTCACTTGCTGTACATCCGGAAAACAAATAGTATCAGTATATAATAGATTACCAGGTAAATTATGATTTATAATATTTCACTAGTGAAATTGGAAAATCAGAGTTTGTGTGTATTATTCTGTTGGGGATATCAAAGCCCCAGAGCTTACTTGGTCAATGGCTTAATTTTGTAATTTTATTTTGAAAAATTGAATTTCCTTGTTTTCGCGCCAAAGGCGCTCTTTCCACCTTCAAGTCATATTTCGCACTTATAAAATATCTTAAATGCTATTGGTCCGTTGTATCTTTGAGTGTGCTGTTTTGTAATGCTGACCAATGACAAATTATTGTTGTATATATATGTTTGAGTTTTTTCCCCTTATGACTTGCTTGTACTCGGCTTCTTACGGAATATATATTCCCCTACTTCGCCTTGGACTTCTTCCTCTAGTTAGCGGGGCCTGGGACAAGGGATTAGATTAGCCTATCGTGTCATTGTGTAATTGGCCTTCGTTCGTTACCGAGAAAATCGACTTAGCTCAAGCATATCATATTCAATTTGAATTGAGTTCTAGTAAGAACCTATAATTGTCAATTTAAAAGTAAATCAAGCGTGAAATTAATATCACCGATGCTGCAAATTTATAGTCGTGTTGTTATTCTAATCAATTAAATTTTGGAAATACACGGCATAGAATCGTGATTTAATGATCTGAAATAATCATAATTATCTGAAGATATGATAATTCTAGTTTTGATCCAGTGTAAGGTTAAAAGTGTGAGTAAAAAGTATTTTAACAGTAGTTAGCTGCCATGGATTACGACCAGCCTTGCTTCCAGGACAGTTGTTTTCATTGCTTAATATATATAATATATTAATTCTATAGAACATCTTACTCGATTCTCCAATGGACAGGTAAAGATGGAAATATTTGAACCACTAAAACGAGGAAACTTATTGAGTTTTGCAATGATAGGTTGTAAACCTTTGAATGAAAACACTTTAGTTAATAGGTTGGAAGACTGATGGTGGATAAGATTTGTAGCTCAAACGGATGATTTTGATAGAGTTCTGTTCTCTGAGCTGGATGATTTGGTCTGGGAGCTTTCGTCGTCCTTCTGAACGACATCGTCATCAGAAGGACGATGAAAGCTCCACGACTAAATAATCCAGCTCAGAGAACAAAACTCCATCAAAAAGACTGATGTCTAGCTAGTGAAAATAAATTTAAGTATCCACTGAACGTGGACAAATATATGAGTTCCTTTCCATTTATTGATTTCTACTCTGGATTCCACTAATTGTCACTGCTCGTTTTTTTTTGTTGAATAACGTATTGGCTAATGTATATTCTGATTCTCTTTATTTGGTCACGAATCTTGTATCTGGTTTAATGGGATCCAGTCTGTATATGGTCTATTAATCTAGCATCCTGTTTTGTCGTAACAAAATCTGTCAGTAGTTGGATTATCGCATTTTAATAAAATATCGTCAAAACGAGATATTGTTTCCATTTTTCCGTTATATCAAAGATATAATTAGCAAATTAAATGTCTAAAACAGGGAAATGCATGACAGTAAGTGTATTTTTGGAAAAATAGTAACTTGGACGTTTCAGTAGGTCGACAGTTTCCCTTTTTTCTGTTTAGTGCTTATTAGTTTTTTTCCATATCTCTCCAGTTTAGTTCATATCAGTCCACAACGAAAATTAATATCCAATTCATACTTATAATTAATTAAGACGTCAATATTGTATACAATGTTCGGTAAATAGTACAACTGATTCTAAGAAAAATCAAACTCTATATTTATACACTTAGTATTACTTTTTTGAATCTTCCCATTGATGTTTAGGATTGCAACTGGTCAGTCTCTTATTGGCATATGTGCATACTGTGCGTATTGCCTCGATATAGCCTTAACTCACAAGCATTATAAGCAAAGATGGATAGTGGCTAGCAGTGGAATCCAGTTTGACGCGCGTTCGTCCTATTTGGGACTCGTCAACTGGACGTACCCATATCTCAAAGTTGATGTTCAATCTGGGACTCGAACCCAGTACCTTTCGCTTCAAACGCCATCACGTTATCCACTTAGCTACTGAGTCCTGATAGCCACTTCCTATATAATTATACATATAACAATGTTATCATCAAATTTGAGAACTACAGCTTTTTAAATTATGCAAGTTTTTGAGAGAGAAAAACCGTAACCATTTTCTTTTAAAGTAACAAATCGTCGTTTTGTTTATTTCTACCTAGGTTGGTTAAGATTGAAATGTCTACCGTTCTTATTTCAATATGAAATTGATAAGTCATTATTTACTACGAGTTCTTGGAAAGTGGTAAGTACATCAGTAACTGATGTAGTTTTACAATTGAGTAGTTAATATTTTATTATGATAGTTTTTAACGTCTGTTATTATCATCATCGAACCGAATCAGTTGGAAAATCATTAAAATTCATGGACTATTGAAAAACTGTTTTATTCGAATTTGACAGCTTTTCGGTGATGTGTACTTATAACCCAACACATATTAAAAGATAAAAACATCAAGCTTTCTGGACAAGCACGATCTTATCTATCTACTTAATCGAAATTCAGTGTTCAACCATTTTAAAACCAATCTCTTAGCGATATGTTTAGTGACATCAATGAATTTCTGTTTGACTATGGACTTGATTAGCTCTACCGGTTATTATGTATTACCGGAACTGTCCATTTCTCTTTGGTCTTCAGTAGTTAAAGTTTGAAGTCGAAATTATTTGTGAAATATTTCCACATTTTCATATATACTAGTGACAAACTTCAAAATAGACTAACTAAGGTTTTAATACATAAATTAAAGTAGACTACTATACAAATATCTAAGGTGTATTAGCATTACAAGTACGAAAAGTTTGTAAGTTAATTGGTCTCATCAAAATATTCATGTAAGTACTTTATCAGGACCTCACTTATGACTAAATATATTGGTGATATGACTTGGTGATACCACAACAAATCCTTTATATTACTGCCTAATGAATAAAGTAAAGATAGAATATTAGCCTACTCCAACTATTGAGGGCCCGACGAGAGAAAAACTAACCGAATAATCCATTTTTTATGTAATGGTGCGCCTAATAAAGGAACAAACATGAGATTTTACAAAATATTTACCACTTCGAGAAAATGTAAATGCTACTACACAACAGGACTTGTGTAAAAAACGAGTAGACGATTTAGATTAATAGATAATACACTGACAATTTAAGATCGAGTAAGGATAGGAGAGAACAGAATATGTCATACATGTCCATCATAGTATGCTGATGAGAAGGTCATTGAAAATTTGGCTACTTAGATCAGATCCTTAAATATTTCAGATGACTTCAAAATGATAGCTGAGGGAAAAACAAAGTCTGGATTTTCATGTGCCTTAGTTGACCTATAATTAGTAAATGAATTACTTATCTTAGATTTTAATGATATAACTCATATTTTTGAGATCACTGACTGATGTAAGTTATACCACCACTGACAACTCAGAAGCACCGGATGGCCATGTTTTCTTATTATGGGACTCCTCGGCAGTGCCCGTTTACGTCCCTACTACGGTAATCGAATCCAACACCTACAGATTTCGCGCACGAACTCCTAACCTCTAAACCTATAGGTCGGAACCAAATGGTGTACATTTTTGTCTCCTATCAATCCAAAATATTGCGCGACCATCTTCCATTGTCTTCTATGGATACCTTCCTCACACCCAATACGATTCAGCTGCTCATTATAACACTCATAAAGTAAAAATTATCGTCAACGAACGTTATTGTGCTATTTTGTTATATATAATAGTTCATACTACTTAAATGTGTAATAGTAGTAATAATAAGTTAAATATCTGTAATATCCCAAAGAGTAGAAAAATTAAGTTTTTAAATTTTCTGCCGTTTCATGATTCAATGTATTACTCATTAATAACAATTTACCTAATCCTCAGTTTATTTAAAACTATCAAGTCAAACTGTAAGAATGACTCCTACAAACTCATTAATAGTAGTATTATTATTTATTAGTAATTGGTTTTACTATTTAACAACATAGACCTCGTTGGTAAATAAAAAAGAAAAGCCGATTTGTTATTCACAAGAAACTATCAATGAATCTATAAACGAAGAAAATTCACAATTGTGGTTAGAAGAGTCTGATGGATTAAATGAGAAAATTGAATCTGAGTAAGCTACTAAAAATTCTTCATATTTCCAAGAAGAATAATGTATTCATATGTTGAAGACTTTCCATGCTAAATGTTTACATGAGATATTCAAAAGAAGCATTCATACATTTCGTACCATCCTGTAATGAGAAACGAAATCAAACAAAGTGTTCTATATAAACTTTCCTTCTTAACATTCTTCGTACGCTCACGAGTAACTAGTTTCGAGAGGAGTTCTTTAAGTCTTAATCAAAGATCATACATTTTACCATGTCAGTATTAGGGCAGTTATCAGTCAGTCATACTGAACAAAGTTTCCCTGTATTATGCATCGCTCAAAAGCTGGACATTTTGAACTGTGCATTCATTATCGAGGGTTTAAAGATAACAATGTCTGAATGTTCTGTGTTCAATTCCTAGGGGGCCTTGGATATGCACTGTCAAAATTTTTTTATGCTAGAATAAAAGAGTAATTCAATTCCCTGGTTTTCAATAGTTCTCCAGTTCATATCAGTTCATGAAGAAATCTGATTCTCAATTAAACGAATCTTTGGAAGGTTTTCAAACCAAGCATCCATGTTCGATTCTTTGTTGGCAGTGATTTCTGTAGCAGTTATCTATATACGTATAATTTTTGATGTAGTTACTATATGATGGCGAAAATTTATACCAGAAAGCTTATGAAATATAAATCCATCAATTTTATCCCTATATAAAATGTCATTGAATATGATTACTCGACCATTATCGTAATTTCTGTTGATAAAATCTGCAAATTAGAGTCCAGATTTCTGTAACCAGGCTTAATGAGTTGTCAGACAAGTTAATTATAATTTCATGCTCATCTTTTACATTATAATTGTGAACAATATTCGGTAGTTGAGATGGAGTTGGTACCTATTTGATAGTCAGGTTTTATAGCTTATTCCACGTCCCAGAAACTATTAGTCGGGATTTGTTTTTGGTTAAGCTCTTTTCATCTCAAATACATCACCAATGTTATTTTATATTTTTATTTGAATACATAAATATTGGTACAGAGGCATCAGATGTATATGCACCGCACAAATCTCATTTGATTTGTGTGAGATCTGTGATACTGCCCGTGTGCCCAAACCGGAACAGGTGGTTTTCTTAGGGAGCCACACCCAGAGCCTTTGACCTAAAGATCTGATCCACAAGGCAGTGGAGCATCGTAAGGAGATGCAGTCCTATGGTATCTGGTGACCAGCGATTGATTCTCACGCCATTTGTTCCTTCAGGATACTGGAGCCCATATGCACCATTGGTTTGGAATCAGGGTTTTCCAACTCCCCTAGGTGGACCCTCAGTGTCCACCAACCCGGTTAGGGCGCCGGACATTCGCTTTTCGTCCTCTCAATCTCGTAAACAACACCCCCCGTCACGAGAAGGCAGTGATTAGGACTTACGTGGCAGAGGCTATATACACGTGGCCATATGTGAGCATTCACTCATATGGAAAACACTGATAAAGTTTATAAAGAATCAGACGTTTTGAGTGAACCACAATCTAAGACACTCTCAATGTCTTCTGTTTATCTTTACAAAATTTCAAATGATATTAATATAGTTCACATATAAAAGATAAGGAATAAGTATTTGAATACTTTCTCTATACTTTTCTTTATCTAATTTCGCAAACATAGTAATCGGTGCATAGATCAATGATAACTGTAAAAAGTTCTTAACAAATTAAAATCTCTATAAACAGCTTATTTTCCTAAGACTAATCTGTCTTTTTATGGCTTAAGACAATTATTCTTTTCTTTTATTGGGTTGAACATTATCGTCAGAGATTCTGGTGGCGTAAACCTCCGGGAAAATTAAGGAAATACTCTGATTTTCAAAAATGAGTTGTAATTTTCTATACATATTGGATAATTGGAGTCAATCGACAAGATATCCGAGACTTAAATTTCATGCTAATCTCAGTGAAACAGATATTCCTTTAAACTCACATCACCACGTACCCATCATCAGGAGTGTCAGTTTTCCGAAGATTGTAGATGGGCCCATATAGTTAGGAACTATCCTTGCTTATTTCAAACCATCTTACTTACTTACGCCTGTTACCCATCGTGAAGGAGCATAGGCCTCTCACCAGCATTCCCTATTCAACTCTGTCCTGGGCAATCCTTTCCAGTTGTTATTCATCCTTTTCAAAAAACCATCTAATACCAAAACAATTACGAGCTAATTCGAGTCATTTAGATTAGTTATCACATTGAGCCTTAATATATATGTTACTGATTGATCGCGCTGTATTTACATATTCGTAAGACAATAATATCTGTATTATTTTTCCTGTTTTATCAGTAAACTTTACGAATGTATGTACAACAAAGAAGATATGGACAAAAAAAAACAATCGATCGATACAATTTGGGCTAGGATTGAGAAAGAATTAAAGTGAGAATATGAAAAACAATAATTAAAAGCTTATTCTGTTTCATTGTATTTTGGAAATTATTTTAAACCTTTACATAACGGACTAACTTTAGCTAGATAGTTATTAGAAAGTAAAAAGAACTAGTTAGACAAAGTTATTTCATCCTAGTACAGGACTATTTAACAATGATCAACTATCATCCAAACAGGGGTCATATGTAAGATCTTCTTTCAGGCCTCACAACTTGTGCTTAGCTTTTAGATTATTGAATTGACATCCAATGATTTATATCTCTAATTAATACGGAATGTTGTGAAACCATTATCCGTTAGGCTTAACAATGTCTTTCTCAAAGTTGGCATGGTTGAACTCTACTAGTTACAGCTTTTCATCACAGATTCGACAATCATCTCTAAAAGTTGGCCATTAGTAAGGACATAATTATTACTATTAAAAGAAATTTTGTGAAGATTTCTGAATTTTGTAACTATATATATCTTTATACAAAAAGTTATTATTGTTTGTTATTGAAATAATATCTACAGAGTAGCAATTACTTATTAAGTCAATCAGTCAGCTACAACGTAGGACCAAGCACACATATACATCGGTCCAAGTTGCCATACCTTATTAGCACAAGAAGATGAATACCGAATTCATAAAAGTAGTTAATTTAGTGATGGTAATATATAAAAGAAAGGTTGGATATAAGGATATAGTATAGTAAGAAAGGAAGATATGAAGCAATTTTAATCTCAAGGTTTAAAGGAAGATAAAGGGTGCATACACCTGAGCCATTGTGATTGATTCTGAGCCATGTCACTTATTAAACACTTTTGACAAACTATCCATAGTGAAAAACAGTACTATATGACTGAATTAATATATAACACTAAATTTCTTTATATTGTATCTAAATGCTAGGTAGTTGAAAGAGCTTAGCAAGAATCCCTGAATCTTAACTACATCACTAAAGGTGTAGGTATAATCTTCAGGGAGCTGATGCTCACCTGTAGGATTCAAACCAGTATCTCATTCAGAGAAATGATGTTAGTAATACAATAAAAAATTTAACCTGGTGAAAGATTTTAAATTTCTAGTGAAAACTCGTAAGTAAATAACACAGTTAACTGACATATTGTAACGGCTGAAATAAATTCGAAAAGGTGAAACAATATTGTATTAGTTAAACAAGAGAAATGTAATATACTACTGAAATTAAAATATATTTCATGGTGGTTAATGTGTATTACCAAACAATCTTGCCTGACTTTTATATTGAATGATCCAGTTAGTTGGTATTCATTAAAAGTACTAACAAAAAATCATTTTTTATAAGGTAACACCAATCAAACCATCTTGATTTACAAAAAATGATCAAATAATTCATAGTACTGTGGCGTATGCTATTTATGTCAACATAAGTAGTATATAACACCAGTCAAAAGTGGAATGCTTGGCAGTAGAAACTTGAGAAGATCGAATCGCAGAGAACGGGAACGAAGAGTGATTGTTGTTGTAATGAAGGAACAATGAAGTTCAAGACGATTTATGAAAGATTTGCAAATGAAAAGTTGAACGTATGGTTTTCACATTTTATCAACAGAACTCTGTAATTTTGTATTAAGATACATTTGGTTGTCCCCACCTGGATCATCGTTCATTACAGTACGATGGGTGTATTTCTATGTCCTAGGATTGTAATTAATAGTATGTAAATTGGTGAATTGTACATCTATTTTTAAAACTAAATGAAATCATGAGTCAATTGAAAAAAAACCACCATCGAAAACCTGGAAGTATTGAACGACCGTTTCGTCCTATTATGGGACTGAACCACGTCTGTTGTGAGGTAACAACTAACTGAAGACAATTGGTAAACGGTCGCTAGAACTTCATGGATTGGTTCAAGTTATACATTAACATCGTTGGATGCCGGCTCAGTGGTCTAGAGATTAAGTGCTCTGGCTCGAGACTGGTAGGTCCTGGATTCGAATCTCGCGAGGCCGAATCGTGGATGCGCATTGCTGAGGAGTCCCATAATAGGACGAAACGGCCGTCCAGTGCTTCCAGGTTTTCCATGGTGGTCTAGCTTCAACTGACTCATGATTTTAACTATGAAAATACTGAAATCCCCACAAAACCGTTTCTGAATAAATCTTATATTATTTGTTACTTTTGTTCACGTTGGTGTTAGGATACTTGAAACAATCTTTAAACAATTGGAATTACGTTATTTATCATCATCATCATCATCATCATTGTCCATCAAAAAGACTTCACCTATATTTTTGTTGACAACTCAGTATTACGCATATTTACGATCTATAAAGTATTATCATTGTCAATATACAAAAAAATACACTTCAAACAATTACAAATTATTTATATGGTTAAAACATCAATTATTAATTTCAAATCAGTTTTGTAAACTAATGAATTCATGGAATATAGAGAAATTAATTGGCTTAACATTACCTGCTTCAATAATTGTAAATCCTAAATCATTGTTTGATTGGCTTATTTATTCTACATCAAATAGTTCAATGGAACAATATCAAATAATATCTACTGTAAGTTATGAGAAAAGTAAGAATTTAGGGTGTGTTTTTTTAGATTGAGGCTAACAATACTTTTTAAAACAGTAAAATAACGTAGAGGTTGACCAACGTATTACACTGTTTCAAGAAATCATCACATCTGGGTTCGAATCTCGCGAGGCGGCATTGTGGATACGCACTACTGAGGAATCCCACAATAGGACGAAACGACCGTCCAGTGCTTCCAGGTTTTCCATGGTGGTCTAGCTTCAATTGACTCATGATATCAACTATATAAAATCACATTTTGATAGAACAAGTAGAATATTATCTCAAGTTGATAGATGAGATGCAGTGAACAGTTTTCCATCCTCGGTACTGAGTTTAATTACACATAGTCTATGAACCATAATGTGGTAAAAGTCTTGTTAGAAATTGTTTTCCTTTTTGTGAAACAAATAAATGAGACATAATAGATTTAGTTAAAAATTTTAATTAATTTTAAAAGACTAATATTTATAGATTACACTCGTCATGAATTAATTTCAGTTCATGTACCATTGAAAGCTAAGGGGAGACAAGGTATCTGTTTCTTTTTTAGTACAGGACTCTAAAACAGTGTATACTCATAACCAGATTGAGGATTGAACCCAGCAGTCTCACCCCCAAATACTTTGACACTGGATCGATGTCCACTTGTATAAATTCGACTTCAATTAGTTTAGGATGTAGCTTAACAACCATCCGATTCCAATGATCACAACTGTTTCACTCCCGATATATTTGGAATTTATCAGTCACTATTTCTCACTGGAATTTTTAAAACGTCTTAAGTAACTAGTAACTATTTTAGTTCAGAAGGGGTTTTTGTGGATACTATAGTAATTTTAATAGCTGAGATCATGAATCAATTGAAGCTAGACCACCACGAAAAACCTGAAAGCACTGAACGGCCGTTTCGTCCTGGTGGTGGACTTCACAGCAGTGCACATCCATGATTTCGCCTCGCGAGATTTGAACCCACAACATATCACTTTCGCGCGCGAACGCTCAACCTCTAGTGACGGGCTTCAAGAGGTATTTCCTGGAGTTATAGTGAGAATCAGTAACCAATGGAGTTCAACGAGGTTTGTTGTGAGATATCAACTCACTGTAGACAATGGTGGATGTGTCGCTCAACTTCGTGGATCGGTTGAAGTTAGATATTAACACTGTTGGATAGTAAATAACATTTGTACAAGATCAAGCCAAAAAGTGGCTGTGATTGAGGGAGACTGTACTTAATAAACTGGGCATAAATTAAGAACGGTAAATCGTATTATGATAGTCTGTTAGTCAAAATAAAGCTTACAATAAGAGGGATATGAATATACATAAATTAGTTACTCAATAGTTATAAATTCAGAATATACGTATAATAATAGTCCATAAATAGATCCCAACAGTTACCATCCATTATTCTCGTCGGGATATAACACATAAGATGATTTTATACGCTATAATCTCTATCATACTCAAAGATAGAATACCAGTTAAACATTGATATGCCTTACAGTTGTCAGCGTTAGAAGATAGTATTCTCATTTGATTTGTGCGAGAGTTGTGATACTGCCTAGGTGCTCAAACCGAAACAGGCGGTTTTCTTAATGGTAGTCACATCCGGAGCCTTTGACATTTGACCACAAGGCAGTGGAGCATCGTAAGGAAATGCAGTCCCATGGTAGCAAGTGAACAACGATTGATTCACACGCCATTTGTTCCTTCAGGATACTGGAGCCCATGTGCACCATTGGTTTTAGATCAGGGTTTTTCAACTCCCCTAGGTAGACTTGCCGTGTCCACCGACCCGGTTAAAGCACCGGACATTCGCTTTTCGTCCTCTCAATTTCGTAAACAACAGTAATGCCACGAGAAGGAATTCCTCGGCAGTGGCTGTATGCGCATAGCTATGTGGGAGTATTTCGAGAGGGAGAGCGGGCTCTCCCCACTCTCGACCGCACTAGGGCATTTGGGGGCATGAAAGAAACATAATGATATATATACATATATATAATATATCCTTACATATATATTTTTACTGTTATAATTATTCCTTAGATTCAAAAGTCAGGCGACAACACAATATTTAAAAATGGATTAATTATCACTTCTATTCGTTTAATAATTCATAGAAATACTAAAAAGCATATTCATAATCATATGGAAAATAATTCAAATAGTCTATTAAAAATAACTAAATTAATTAATCTACAATTAACAACTGTATCTATTGAAACATTTAATAAAATGAATTATATCAATGCTATATGGATTGAATCATGGCCTCCTAATGAAAATGAAATTTATTTAAAAATACCTTTACTACTTACAAATTATGATAAATTATCAAAGATTTACATTATAACTGATTATAATTTATAAACTTTTAATGAATTCAATTAGATAACATTAATAAATCATTAAAATATCCCTTTACAGTGTGTTTTTAATGTCAGTTGATTAGATCAATTCCTTCTTAGTATGATTTTTGTGTATGTGAATAGATTGGTAGGGTTATTTACGTAGTTTTCAGTTGACATTACAAAACTAAGAATAATACATCTGATGAGATTCATTTGGTATTGTTTGGTTGAATCTTTTCATTGATGTTTAGGATTGTAATTGATCAGTCTCTTATTGGCATATGTGCATACTGTGCGTATTGCCTCGATATAGCCTTAATTCACAAGCATTAGAAGCAATGATGGATAGAGGCTAGCAGAGGAATCCAGGACCCGCGTCTCGTCCTATTTGGGACTGGTCAGCTGGATGTACCTCTATCTCAGAGTTGATGCTTACTTTGGGACTCGAACCCAGTAACTTTCGCCTCAAACGTCATCTCGTTATCCACTCAGCTACTGAGTCCTGACAGCTAATCGCTTATGCAAGTAGCATCAACTGCAGTCCTAAATATCAATGGGAAGATTCAACTAAACAAAACTAAGTGAATTTAAACTTCACTCCATTGAGCAAGCAAGTGGATATCAGGACTCAGTAGCTGAGTGGATAACGAGATGACGTTTGAAGCGAAGGGTACCGGGTTCAAGTCCAAGATTGAACATCAACTCTGAGATGCAGGTATATTCAGCTGACGAATCCCAAATAGGACGAAACGCGCGTCAAACTGGATTCCACTGATAGCCACTATCCAGCAATACTTCTGATTATTTACAGATCAGAAAGACTTTGTCACAAAAATTGAGAATGATTAATCTCTTACCATTGGCTCACTTCCACGTTTCAATAATATTTACTCTGACTGATTTCATATATACAACAAATACGTGAACTAATGTAATAACAGGTCAATATTAAAGATTATTGAAACTTGGAAAGCCTTCAGAAAAAGTATGATATCTGTGTTGGAAATATTGAAAGCTTATAGTTTCCTGTGCTCCATGATTGACGATTCACTATCCGGATGATTATTGATGAACCGAATTTAGAACGATAAAATTATAACAACGAGATACCTAACGAAGTCGATTTCTAGTGACTTCTATGAATTTTTTTTGAACAATATGAAAGGAAGTGAGACAAATTTATTTCCAAAAATTGAAGCATTAAAAAAACAGATCGATGTAAACTAGACTTGATAATGTTAAGTTTTCAAAACCTTCGTTGAGCAGACTTATTCCATGTATATTGGTTTATAGTTCACCTTCAATTAGATGCTGATTTATGGCATTAAAGACTTAATATTAGTGTTGAGTAAATAATTATTTTAAACATAAACATAAGTAAAAAAGGGACACCAAAATATATATGAGCCACTCAATAAATCACCAAATTTGTGAGTAGTCTGGGATACTATTCGGATGCCCAAAACGAAGCAAGTGTTTTCCTTAGGGGGGCACTCCCAGAGATTTTGTCCTGGAGATCTAACCCACAAGGCAGGGGGCAACTTTAAGAGATGCGATCCCATAGTAGCCGGCGACTAAGATTAGGTTCATACGCCATTTGTTCTTTCATGATTTTGGAGCAAATCTGCACCGTTGATTTGGAATTAGAGTTTTTCAACTCCCCTAGGTGGATTCTCCATACCCACGAACCTGATTTAAGCACCAGACATTCGTCCTCTTAACTTCATAAACAGAACCCCTTACCACGAGAAGGTAGTGAGTAGGACCTCCCTGGCAGTAGGTATATGCGCGTAGCCATATGAGAGCATTCTGAGAGGGAGAGCGAACTGTCCCTGTCTCTGAAGAGTCAGTTAGATTGAGCATATGATTGGGCGAGTCCATTAATACATTTCTGAACATCACGCCTGACGACTGAGCAAATGAAAATTGAACACAACAAAAGGCTTCATACCTATAAGTCTGGTCGACACTAGAAACAATATAGATTTAAAAGCGACTTTAAAAATCCTACATCAATCCCCATTCAAGTTGATCTACGCTTAGTGATTTTGCCCATCACATTACATCTGAATTCAAAAGTATAAACCTAATGTTTGTGTTCATAAAACGTCTATATAAACTCTCATTTGATTCAATTCAATTAATATGGTCTCCTTACGTGTTACACTTACATAATCAGCCTTCAATAACAAACTGACAAACTAATTTTCTCATTCACTACATTTCGACACCGTTAAGCCCATTACCAATTACGAATTCTAATTAGAATATCAAAGCTGACCTCTAATAATCACATGATTACTGTTTTCTTCAAGAAACTCAGATAGTAAGAGTAGGGAATAAGAGCGAACGATAATTTCCACAGATCATATTCAAACAAACGACAAAGTACAAATAATTATAGGGCGGAAACAAGTACCAAAGAAGAAAATCATTCAAAATATTTGAACATTTAAAAAGATATGCAGAAATGACTATAAACAGAGTACTATTTACTGAATCTATCCAAATAAACAGTATCCCATTCTTTTTGTATCCCGTCTGGCCTTGGTATGGAACTTCCCAGTGGCGTCCATCCATGACCTCGAATGCAGGGATCGGACCCAGGACCTTCGGTCCAGTGAGTAGCCGAGACCAATGGAGAAAACCGTGTCGGGTATGAGGCAGCTACTAACCAAAGGCAATGAAAAATGGTCGTACAATATCATGGATTGAATCCAGACAATAACCCAGTTGGATACCAGTCCAGTAATCCAGAGGTTGAGCGTTCGCGCGCAATACCATAGGCCCTGGGTTCGATCCCTATGTGCGGGGGCCGTGGATCCGCACTGCTGTCGGGTTCCATACTAGGACGAAACGAACATCGTGGCTCCAGGTTTTGAATGGCGGTCTAACTTACATGGGTTCATGATCTCAATGAATCGATAATTCTGTTGGTCACTAACTTGAAAAAAACATTTCATTGATTTGGACATGTTTTATGAATATCATCTCAGCAACTGATGTATTTCACATTGTTTGCTGACTCTGTAACTACATCGAAAGAGCAGAGGTAATCAGCGTGGCGATATTGCGCCAGGGTACTAGAAGTAACTGTATAGGACTAGAATTTATCAGTCCATCACGACCCTCAGTCGAGATCCCAAAGATAGTATATCTTAGTGACTGAAAACGTTATCAGTCATGGCTCAGAATGAAAGTTAGTGATGATTCTCTCATGGTTTGTCTATTACATCTTTCTTAGTTTCCTACTGTATTAGGATTTTCATATGATGAAATAACTAAGAAAAACCCTCCAATTCACCTAAAAAAGTTCAACAACTAAATATTACTATTCCGTTAAATGTTAATTAACAAGTCTAAGAAAGTGAAGAGAATACCCTCACAGTAGTAATCAATATATATAAGTGAATATAATCATTTGTTGCATATATAAATTTACATCATTTTATTTTATACAATTTTTGTTACATGTACAACCCAATTTCCTTGTTCATAGAAAGATTTGTCAATTCTTAGAGCAGGTACTTTTGATATTAGATCATCCAATTCTCCCATAACAAATAAATGATAATAACGACCATACATTGAATTAGGTAATGGTTGATTAGACTCTAGGATAAATAAAATAATATGGATTATTGTCAGTCTTATTATTATTCTGTTGTATCAAATTTGAATTATTCAAACAAACAAAAAGGAATTACTGATATTTCTACGAAGTTATCAACCAGGTAACTAACTGTCGGATGAGGGTATGTCTACGAAGACGCAAACATTTTCGACTGATATTTGCAGAATAATCGGAATTTAATGTTGGATATCTTAATGTTTTGCATCGACAATAGACCAAAGTAGTGCAGCTGTATTTACTCGTTACCATCTTCAGTATTAGATTAGATTTCATTTGTTATTTCCCAATTATATTTCATTTGCTTAATTTAAGATTATCGCTAATAAGTAGTATTTAGACTCCCATCCTTTTTCGTTTTGTTAACTTTGTTTTGTTATAATAATGTATATATTGTGGCAAATTGTGGTGATATACGACATGTATGCTACATATTCTACGTTATTTAAGACTACTACTGATGGATTGTATGAGATAGACTCTCAATTCACGCACAAACCCACAGATATAAAATAATAACGACTGAGATAATGACAGATAATAAGCCATTTTGAAAACCTATCAAACAATAATACCCAGAATATTACTTGAAAATTGAATAAAAGTGTGATTGAACTCTTCTCACATATATAAGAACTCTCGTCTAAGTTAGAACGAATAGTTTCACAGTATTTGAGCGCCGAGTTGAAGTAAGACATTAAATAGGAATAATATATTTGTAAAATCGTCAGACTTTTGGATAGCATAGCGTAGCGTTAGTATCGTATATAACAGTGAAACATTTGTTTATCAACATGCAAAGATATAAATTTGAACTCTTCGCACCTTCGAATTTATACATTAATTATTCTAACAATGTCTGATATGTTTACTAATGCTGTAATAAATTTCTAATACTAGAAGACTGTCTGTTCAAAAGTTTTAAGAAAAACAGTGTTTCTGTAAAGTTATTTATTGAGAAATATTATATTTTCCAACGATTCGACCGGAATAAGTTAAGAAAATGATTTTCTAAATCACAGCATTGAAGTTTCCAAAGTTTGAGCGTCAAGTTATATCTAGTTCTGTGAAGGCTGTAGCCTTAGTAACTAAATCTCAGGAGCATTCAAAGTCTTCTCATGAATACGCATGGATTTCAGATTGTATATTGGAGCTCTCATAAACTTTTATGATTTATTTGTCTTCTCTAATGTTGGAGGCTGAAAATCACTGGGGATAATGTAAATTTGTGTGGTTGAGTTTTTTATGCAGTTGCGTCAGACTTTTGGATAGCATAGCGTAGCGTTAGTATCGTATATAACAGTGAAACATTTGTTTATCAACATGCAAAGATATAAACTTGAAGTAGTTCAACAGTCCAAGACATTACAAGTATGTGAAGAATACACATAGAGGGAGGGAGAGAGAGAAAAGGGGAAATTAACACAAGGTAAAAGAGAAATAATAAATGTAGTAATAAATGGTAATGAAATGGGAGCAAAAAATAATAAGGAAAACAGATTACGATAAAAGATGGAAAGATATGGACATCGATCACTAATAATAAAATTAGGTTATTGTGGCTAATTTTACATCCCTCCACCAATAATCGGTAGTCACTCAGTCTCAGTTATTTCATAAACTTCACACATTGTAGAACCCCGTGGACTCCTGAATGCATTACACCAACAACTATTGGAGACCACGTATAGTGATCAACTATCCTGAAGCACATATTATTCCGCTTCTCGAGCTAATAATACAAATTAAGGTCATCATCAGTTGTTTGACATATGTTATAACATATGTCCCATATATTTTAACCTCGACATAAGTTCTTTATCTCACTACATAGTCTACGCGCTTTATTAAGTACTTTAGATGTACAATCTTAACTGCTTTATCAGTGGTTCAAGAAGTGCAAGCTGTTATATCCTAACGAAGAACAGATGAGTGGTAACTGCTTAGAATTATTTGTGAACTATTAAAACATATGTTCTTATTGGATAACTATCAAGTAACTGTATTATATGTATATTCATATTCCTTTTATTATAGGCTTTCATTTGATCTATTGGCTATTATACGACTTACTATTCTTGAGTTACCCCCAATCTATTAGTTATAGTTCCTCACACCCACAGCCACTTTTGACTTGATCTTCTATAATTGTTATTTCCTATTTTGTAGTATGATTTGGTCTGGTTCGCTTGTATATAAACCAGGTATGTCTGAAATATGTGATTTATGTAGCGGAGGCTGATATTAGCGTTCTAGACTGAACCGGCTGGGTTAGGCGAGAAGCTGCTATCTCAGAGTTGACTCTAGGCTGCTTGTACTGGTTAGCGTGTCATTGGTTTGGCAGTGTCAAGGTCATATAAATCGGTGTTATAACGCGTGATATTGACGGGTTACAATAACATAACATAAGCGACTTTTTAGTTACGGATGATCTGCTTTCACTCTTTAAATAAACACTCAATTTCTCTACTTTTCAGTTACGAACTATCATTCCTGAAGATTTCTGGAATCAATCTGTTGGGAACAGACGTTATTCTGTGCATCAGATTTAATACCTCATAATTGAGGGATAAAACTTAATAACCGATTCGAGACGATCACTGAATACTAGTGGCTAAAATGACTTAAAAACTCATTAAACTACTAAATTTTTCTCAAATGATCATGGTACCTAATGAATTAATCACCGACCCGTACTAAAGCCAAAAGTTGGGCTAGCTATTGTTGCTCTTAATATTAGCTTCAAGTCTGATTTGTAATAATGCCATGTTGCTGAGTCTATGGTATTGAATTAGCAAAACGTTAGTTTGCTAATTATAATCCAGAGTGAGTTTAATCATATCGAGAATAATTAGATGATATTGTCTCTTGAGGCTTTATTGTTGCAGATATGTGTTAATCTAGCGTACACAAGTTCAAAACTATTACAGCTACTCGACACTTTTGAATGGATATATTCATGTTTTCAATAATTTCTTCATTCGGAATAATTCAGTATTAAAGCCTCTATATGCTGTTAAATGAAACCACATAAACCATCTCGGGAGTGAAGCAGTTATTTACAAATGAGATAAGGTGATGTTGCGCTATATCATGAATCGGCTTAAAGTAAACATCTGGACTAATAGGTTCCGAATCACTGGCTTACAAGCAACGCGCCTGCCATGAGACCTGAAGATTTCAGGTTCGATCTCTTGTGGGATCGTGAGTATGTACCGCTGAGAATCCCCATATTAGAATGAGCTAATCGACTAATGATTCTTATTTTTCAATGGCTTCCCATTTGATATTAATCTGTGAAAAAATATTTTTTTGACAAATCTTTCATTGAAAGTACGTGGATTCATAAAACTCGTAAGACAATATGTGTCGAATTATTTGGATTGACGAAGACATAATGAGTATTAACTTAAAACTATTCAAACTATCATGAAAAGCGAATGTCTGGCGCCCTAACCGGGTTGGTGGACACGGAAAGTTCACCTAGGGGAGTTGAAAAACCCTGATCCCCAAACCAATGGTGCACATGAGCTCCAGTATCGTGGGGGGGACAAATGGCGTATGAACCTATCGTTGGTCACCGGATACCATGGGACTGCATCTCCTTACGTTGCTACAGTACTTTGTGGATCAGACCTTTAGGTTAAAGGCTCCGGGTGTGGCCCCCTAAGAAGACCACCTGCTTCGGTTTGGGCACTCGGGCAGTATCACGACCCACACACAAATCAGTCAGTCAGTCAGTTACAACGTAGAACTTCGTACGTACGTACATCAGTTCGAGTTGCCATAACACATTAGCACAGAGATGCAGTTGTCGATTAAAATCCCATAGTGGTAGAAGTAGTAGGAGTATAATCAGAAATCCAAAAGATTAGGGTTTGAAGAAGTTATTGAAGGAGTATAGTACAGTGAAATAAATTAAGAGTGAGAAAAAATATAGAGACATTAAGAGTTCAGAAGATTAGAAGTTAGTAGAACACAAAGAGTGGATGCACCTTCGCCATTGCAAACGATTTTGAGCCATGTCATTCAAGGTCTCTAACCATCGATTGCTGTCATCTCGCGAATCCCAACCAGGTAGTCTACACCTACCAACATGGCTCAGTTCACTTGTCAGTGACTTCATTGATTTGTGCCACGTTTTGATCTGGCCACCGCTAGCTTTCTTCCAACCTACTCCTGCACCATGAAATATTGCACGTCGGGGCAGTCGGTGGTTGGGTATACGTAACACATGTCCCAGCCATCTCAACTGATGAAGTTTCACTACTTCATCAATTGATTTGCCATCCTTACCTAGTACTCGTTTCCTAACAACTGCATTACTTACCCGGTGGTCCCAGCATATACGAGCAATGCTTCGAATACACCTATGATCGAACACTAGTAGCCTACGAATATCCTCTACTCTTATCGGCCATGTTTCACTGCCATAAAGTAGGACGGAGCGAACTGCTGCACAGTAAACACGTCCCTTGATTGCTAAACGGATATCTCGCCTACGCCATAAATGACGCAAGTTGGCGAAAGCTAGACGAGCCTTTTGTATCCGTGCTGAGATTTCGTCACACACCAGACCACAAGGGCTGATGAGACTCCCAAGATAAGCCGGCCGGCGCACGGCTTTGCCCCCAAATGCCCTGGTACGGCCGAGAGTGGGGAGAGTCTACTCTCCCTCTCGAAATGCTCTCAGATGGCCAGCGAATATATAGCCTCTGACAGGGAAGTCCTACTCACTGCCTTCTCGTGGCATTACTGTTGTTTACGAAAGTGAGAGGACGAAAAGCGAATGTCCGGCGCTATAACCGGATTGGTGGACACGGAGGGTCCACCTAGGGGAGTTGGAAAACCCTGATTCCAAACCAATGGTGCACATGGGCTCCAGTATCCTGATGGAACGAATGGCGGAAGAACCTGTCATTGGTCAACGGCTACCATGGGACTGCATCTCCTCACGATGCTCCACTGCCTTGTGGATCAGAC